CTAGCAGGCGTCGCCGTTGGACTCCATATTCCTTGTGATATCTTTTTCGAAGAAAAAAAAAAACTGATCCGACGACGGCATCTTCCCAGCTACGGCTCAATTCACTGCTACCATACCCCAGGGCTTCTTCTGAGCAGCAACCGCAAGGACCGAACCGCCGGAGCCCGTCGTCTTTTATTTTCTCACCTGCAGCTGCAGCTTAGCAACGCTCCAAAGCTCCCCTCCATTCGCCGAAAAATGGTTAACACAAGCACCGTGGTGACGGCATCAGTCGCAACCGTTGCGACAGGCCTCGTGGGTTCGTCGCTGCTCCAATGACATGCGCCGTCTTTTCTCGACAGGCATTTGGTGTTGCTAACCTTTTTTCTTTTCTTTTTTCTCTGCAACAGCGTATGCCGTCTACTTTGACTACAAGCGACGAAAAGACTCCGAATTCCGCCGGAACCTGAGAAGAAACGAGCGCAAGCAGGTCCGGGCCGAGAAGGAGGAAGCAGAAGCCTCCACACAGCGACTACGAGGCCTTATCAAGGCCAAGGTGGACGAGGCCAAGGAGGAGGGCTTCCCTGTCGGCGTCGAGGAGCGAGAAGCTTTCTTCAACGAACAGGTTATGACGGGCGAGATGCTGAGCCAGGATCGTATGAAGGAACCCCTCCATGTCGCCATCTCTGCAACGGCAAAAATACAAAGACTGACCATTTTTCTCTTCTCCAATATAGCTTCTAAGATGATCGACTCTGCGCTCGCTTTCTACAAGGGTCTTAAGGTCTACCCTGCTCCCGGCGACCTCATCAAGATCTACGACAGCACTGTTCCCAAGGTAGATTATGTCATGTCATATGCTCTGCATCATCTGGATTTGTAGCTGACGAGGTGCCCCCACAGCCCATATTAGACATCCTGGCCGACATGATTGCATACGACGGCGACATCAGCATTCGCACTCGCCCCTCATCCGCAGGCATCAACCTGGGCGACATCCCCAGCGTTGGCCTCGACTAAGTTAACACTCCGAGAACTAATAAAACAGCAGAGTGTTCCTCTCCACTCCACTCAGCTTCTAACGAAAAATGATGATGAGAAGGGAAAAAAGCCAACGCATCAATTTCCTTCTGCAACCAAAACAAAACGCCTTTGAACTTGGCAAGAACTGATGACAGGGGAGAGAAAACCAAAAGAAAAAAAACATCTGACAAAAAAATTAATTCTTGTTTGACTCGAAGCTCCGGATCCCTCCTCTTTCATTATACATCTCCATCTGTACCTAGAAAACATGAGGGGGGAAACGCAAAAATCGCTTTGGTGTACCATAAAATCCTGAACCTCTTTCTTTACGGGCTCTTTCTTCTTGCTCCGGGATTCAAAACATCTGGGGGGCATTTGTGTAAACAGTTGTATGCGGTGAAATGATATAGCCATGGGAGGTCTTTGGGAAGGGCAGTGCGGGTAGCGTTTCCATAATCCAACATGAAATTCTAATGGCTTGTTTTTTTTTTTTTTTGGTCTACGTGATGTTACGGAGCGTGTCATTTCTCCATCAGTCTTTTGGTTGACAATACAATGATATTATGCTTTTAACTTATATATACATATCGTACCATTAATCAATCTTACTCAGGCGCCTCACGCGCAACAATGGCCTCCATTTTGCGGCCCTTCCTGTCCACCCTCTCGTCCCGAGGATCAAATCCTCCATTCCCCCACAGCGCCCACTCAGGCGTCGGCGGGCCCATGTAATCCTCGGGCGTCCAATCGCCATCAGGACCCCTCTCCTCAAGAAGCTCAAAGAACTTTTGATAATCGATATGCGTATGCCACTTGCCATCGACGTTGAAACGGTTGCTCGCCAGCAAGACGCAGCAGCTATGCGCGTGCTCGGCCGCAATGCCGTACCCAAGGCCCTTCTCCTGAAGCCGCTTATCCAAAGCCTTGACAAATTCGCAGACTTCCCAGTAGAACGGCACGTTGGACATGCTGAGACCGGCGTTGGAGGATGTTGACGTACCGCAGTACGTCACACCCTTGACTTCGACGAAGCACGGCAGTCCGCGCTCAATGAGCTGAGCGTAGCCCTCGACCTCGTCTTCCACGTTGAAGCCCTTGACGAGGGTAAGGCGGTAGACTGTGCGATGGCGGAAACGCTTTTCGCGCAGGATATCGAGGCATCGGAGGAACCTCTCCCAGAAATCACGGTGAAGAGGCCTGTCAATCTTGCGTAGCGAATCTTTGTTGGAGGCGTCAATGGACACATAGAGCTGTGTCACGACCTTGAGAGCAGCGAGTTGATCAGGGTGTTGAGCGTTGCAGACAAGGAAGGACGAAATCCGCTCGTTGTGCAACATGGCAAGGAATTCGTTGATGTAAGGATAGAAAATGGGCTCTCCGACCAGAGACAGAGCGCAGTGTCGGATTCTCAGAGCCTCGGCATATCGCTCCGCTCGGACGCCGGGTACACCACGCATCATTTTGATCTTCTTGTAATGGTTCTCTTTGACGCCGTCGAAAATCATCTCGGGAGGGTCAACCACCCATCGCCAGGTTGTACCAACGGGGTTCGTTCCGTGACGCCAGCAAAAGACGCACTTGTTGGAGCATGAGAGCGATGGGGTGGTCTCCATACACTGGTGAGAATTGATGCCGTAAAGAGAGTATTTGTAGCAGCTTCCTCGTCCACGTAGGGCAGACTTGGTCCAGCGACAGATCTTGACGCCGGAGTGGGAGCCTACAATGGAGTATCCTTGCTTGGTAAGAGCGGTATAAGTCGGTGAGTTCTTGGCCACCATCTCCTTGATGATGGGTGCTTGAGCCTTTCTCTTGTTGGCGGAAGTATATGTCGTGAAATCAACGGCCAGGGGAGCTTTCCGAGCACCTTCATTTCCATCTTTGTTGGGACGGATCATTTTTCCAAGATCTTCAACATCATCCAATGGTCTGGAGTCGTCGGATTTTCTACCTTCACTAGGCTCTTCGTCGTCGAAAACGACCTCGCCATCATCGGCTTCGGCCTCTTCGTCATCGCTTTCCACAGCATCACCACTGCCGGGAACTCCTTCGCCGAGGAATCCGGTTTGAGCAGCCTGAGCAATGACCTCTTGGACTCCTGAAGTCCATTCCGTAAATCTTTCCGCGTGGTCACTCTTCATGTCGCCCATTCCGACGGGGTAGGCTCGCTTTCGACCAGTCAGCTTGGACATCCATTTATCGAGGTCCTTTGCCTGGAAGCAGAATCCCTCGTCTTCATTTGGCCATCCCTCCTTGTCTCCGAAACCGAATACCGAGTATCCAATCAAAGAAGACAGAGGAGCGGTATCAATTCTGAAGTCATGATGGGTTTCTTGCAGATGCTGCAGGAATGTATCGTTGATGGTATCGATATTGTAGCTCGGGATGAGGAACAGGTAGAAGTATGCGGCGTCTTCAGCAGATTTGGGAGGGCTGACAAAGTAATCCTCGAAATCAATTTCGGTCAAATCGAGTAACTCTGGCTTCAAAAATTTGCTGCTGGTTTCCTTTGCTTTCTGATCCAGGAATATCTCAAGCGCATTGATATAATCGCGAGCAATCTTTTCAGTCTTTGTAGTAACAGAGGAGAAGAAAACCAGCACCTTTGCAGGTCTGTCCGCGTGATCGATCATCTCTGTCTTTCCTTCTTCCGAAGATTTCCTTGCCAGGCCACCTTTTATCCGTCGAGGGCCAGTGGATTTTTTCTCCGTCTCGACGACTGGCTGCGCTTTGACAATCGGCTGTTCGCTTGTCTTGGGCTGTTCCTGGTTGTAAATCTTTGGAAGCGCGGCGAGAGGCTCTCGTTTCTCCGTCGTATGGAGGAATATGCGCAGACCGGCGAGAAGAAGGAGAGAACCCAGAATGATTGTCGTGCGATGGACGTGCCAGACTTCGATCAGATCTACATTTTTTTTTGTCAGCACGCGATCCAGCCTCAAGCAGCGCACAACCAACGAGAAACTCACCAGCGACCATCGCCTCCATCTGGAAACGGAATCCCGCGTCCATCTTGACGGCAGCAGCTCTTGCGCGCAATCCAGGCGTTTGCGCACAAGAATATCGTCCAGCACGTGGGCTTTTGTCTGGGGATGCTGGAGACTTGCTAAGAAATCTGTGCCCCGCGATGCAAATTTTGGCGGGGCATCACGATAAAGTGCTGCTGCTGACTTAATTCTGCGTGCAAGATTGTGTAAATGGCACTGTCTCGTTTCCTATTCGCCCGTTGACATTTTCAGTTTCTGCTGTCTGCCATAACATAACAGGAGTTCTGCTTGCCGTAAAAGTACATTTGTACAATATATAGATTCAGGGTGCAATGCATTTTACCATTGTTGTGTACATGTACCTATATTGAATACGTACTGCACCCAAACTTGATACTCATTTCCAAACATCCCTAGCCCGGATAAAGGTGCCTTGTCTATCCCAAATTCCGTCCTATGACCCATTGTTGTCTGGCTACCGTGCTATTATGGGTCTCAACGTCTCATGATTAATTATCATCACATTGGGAGGGGAATGTGCATTACATCTTCTTCGGAAATCCGGCATCTAGTTCAATGATGAGAGAGCCTCTCAACGTAACTGTTATTGGCTAGGAAACAAACTTACACATCATCAGTAGTCCATAACAAGTAAGTTGCAAATACCTAAGTAGGCAAGCTTACACATGGGCGTATGAATGTGCAGTTGCGAAAGTACATACCATGAAGGTCATACATGAGTGATTACCAATCGCTCGTCCCAATTGGGTTACTCGGAACTTGTAGCTCTCACCATCTCATCTCTAAGTTTGCCCGGAGAATATGTGTAAGTCCGAAATATACTAATACAATAGATTTTTTTTTTTTTTTTTTTTTTTTTTTAAAAAAAAAAAGTATAAATATCTCTACTCTCTGTATTCTTAAAAGCCAATCTCTCCTTAGGTATCAATTCCGTCTTCTTTGATTCCCTGTCTCATTCAGGGGATTTCAACTCACGCCTCTTATACCCATCTCACCATGGCATCTCAGACCCTCAATGCTATACTTGTAGTTGGCCCTACGGGTGCCATCGGTAAAGCTCTATGCGAGGCATTAATCTCCCAAAAGGCTGAATTTAAACGCATTGCCTTCTTCAACGATACGTCTAGGCCAGCGACAGAGGAGAAGCAGGCGCTTTTCGACGAGTTCCGCAATGGGGGCATGGAGCAAGTCTCTGGCCAATACAATGACACTACATCATTTGCTGGATTTGACTGTGTCTTGATGCCGTTAGGAAATCATGCCATCAAATATCAACCCACTATCATCGATTCAGCCATTACGGCTGGAGTACGCCATTTTTATACAAGTGAATGGGGAGCGGACCTAAGTGTTGGATCAAATTGGACGCAGCGCTATTACCAAGACAAAGTCATTACCAGAGAACACTTAGAGAAGCGCGGCCGAGATGCGGATACTCTAGACCTCGGTTGGACGTACATACAACTCGGGCGTCTCACCGAATGGAGCATCATCAAGCATTTTGGAATCGACAATACAAACCACGTTGCCAACATCTACGGAACACCAGAAGGACGACAGTCGTTGCTTCCGATCAAAGATGCCGTTGCATACACGATAAAAACCCTCAAGCATCCATTCTCAACTGCCAATAATGGCCATCGACGTACCTATCGCTTCCATGGCTCCTCTCCCACTTGGAATGAAATCTTCAACGACCTGGAGACAATCACTGGTCACAAGTATGCAATCACTTATCATGATGTGGAAACAGCCGTGGAGAGAGAAGCTCGAGCAAAACGCCTCAACGATGTTGACTTGGAACTGGAGGCCAGTCATCAGTTAATTCAGGGACGGGGCGGAACTCTCTTGCCAGAGCCCTATGTTAACGGTCTTTTCCCTGATATTCATCCAGAGTCGGTGCACTCTGTCTTTGAAAGAATCTTTCAAGACCCAGAATTAAAGAAGTTTATTGGTGCCCCCTAAGCTAGTTGGATAAATTAGATCACGGCTGCTATATGAGTGGGCTCAATTTATTAACAAGTAGTTTGCTAATGACATTTTGGGTCAAGTTCATCTCTACGTGTGGAAGAGATAATATGCTATTGTGTATCCGTATACCAATAGTCAGCTTACCTGCGCGAAAAAGACTGCATAAAGGCCATATTGATAAATAATAAGACAGTTGTCAATAAAGCGGTAACATCTGGTTCAATCAGCGACCATTGTCCGGCCCTTTGATTCAAAATCCAAAGTGATGGTATACATCTCTAATCCCTTCAGCAAAGGGGTAATAAGACCTCCTTTGGAGACTTATTGGTAGGACCTTGAATTAAGTGCGATCTACTGTGCAGTGAATTGCTGTCTTACGTTTGGAAAGTGTGAGCGATGAAAGCGTTAGATGGCCTTGTGGGCAATGTTAGTATGGCCATGCTACAAGGAATGCAAAGAGAAAGAATATATATATATATATATAATGAGACTATACTCATATATATGTGAGGGAATCTACCTAAAAAATGTCATGTACTGTAAATCCAAGTGCATCAACAACAGGTAAGCTTCCCCAAAGGCTATCGCCGGCGAGTGTCAAAATATACTGGTATAAGATCAACCCCCAATTGTCGAGTTGTACAATTATCTGATTATGAGGAGTTCAAATCTTACAACAAGACGCGGAGGAAATATCGTTTATTACTATTGCTTAAGCAGATACACGGTTCCTTAAGTATCTGCTACTCTAGCTACTTTCTGATACTATCGCTACTTTCTGCTACTTTTAAAATACTCCTCTAGTATCTGCTATTACTCCTAACTAATCACGCATGAAAAGTACCGATTTATTAACAGAGAGTGAAGTACCAATATACATCTGTAATCGCCATAAATTATGTATCAGCTCCTACTACCTCCTGTCATTTCCTGTTCTCTTCTTATTCTTCCATGCTCGGTTGGCCAGCTCGCCTTGCTCCTCTGGCTCTAGCTTGTGCAGCATGAACCCTAAAATCAGGTAATCAAGGACAACTAGAAACTCTTCAACAACAGCCATCCCGGCATGGACGGCGACACTGCCTCCAACTACGGAGAAGGTGTGGTTATGAACGAAGATTGCCAGCGCAGAGTAGGCCAGGCGTACGAGAATTAAAGGCCAGGCGATACCAACAGCAACTAGACTATGGCGCTCTTGACGAGGAGCTGCGGTTTTGTAGCCAGATGAGAGAAGGAAAAAGTAGGTGATGCCAGCGAAGCCGACAATAAGGAGAATGATGGCCGCTTTGCTTGTGCCGGAAATCGTAACGTTGCCGTCGCTGTCAGTCGACCCATCACTGCCACCAGCAATACTAAGAATTAAGCCAAGGGTAATTAAGAGCTGAACAAGGCGAAACTGCTTCATGCCGAAAATTTGAGTTCCTTTGGCATTGACAAAATCGGCACTGGCTAGTTGTTAGAACCAGATTCTGGAGCGTGATGCGTTGGTCGTTGGGGTGCACGTACAATCTTGAGAGAACTCCCAAAGTAGCAAGCAAGAGGGGAGAAAGACCGATAGAGTCAATGATAAGAGTCGCTTTAAGGAGACCATCTGAGTGGTCAGTGTAGGAGAGAAGCTGACAGATGGCACCAGCAATCCGCACAACACAAAGGATGACCGTATAGATCCATCCCGAGGCCCTATGGAAACCGTGGCGCGAAGTAACTATGATAGCTGTAACAAGCGCCGGTATGTAGACAATAAGTTCTACAATCGAAACATAGCCTTGTGGACCAAGCACCATGACGAAGATTGCTGCCTCTGCTGTTCTTTTGCGGTTTGTTTCTGCGTTTCTGTCTGACCGAGATGCAATAGCTCAATGAATGATCAATTTCTGAATGTGAGATGAGCGATGGGATGAATGATGAGGAAGATAACTATCACGGTTCACCAACAGCTAAAATCGAGAAAATGTCACATCTATTTAAATTCTTCAACACTGCATAGACAAGGCAGATTATTATTCTGCTGAACTGAGAAGATACAGATCACACACGTCAGCTGTTACCATTACGGGATGCAATTCGGCGCTAACAGTTTGATGTTGTTGCCGTGCTTCTTCTTCAGAAAAAGAGAAATCGACCACAGAGATCCCGTAGAATATGATTGCTATCATTTTTCGTCCGAGGAGCGCCCAAGCCTGGCGAAGGTGGTGGCTTGGTCGTCCCCCAAGGTTGTGCTATTCCAATTACAGTATCTGTTTCGTCGGGCCTCGTCCACGACGATGATCCACGCTCTAGCCGAGGACCCAGTTCAAGGGGAAAATTGTATTGCGTAACATCGGATAAGGTACCAGTGCGGTAACTCCCTTTAGTTTAAATGTTTATTATAAATAGAGTAATATTCCCAGGTGCCGAATTCCGAAAAATGTACGCCGCCGCAGTATATGAGTCAGTAGCTGTGCAGGGTATCGAGCTGGTTTCCCAAATAGGAACACAACCGGGCAGTCTTGAATAGGGACATATAAGCCAACCCTTAATCCTTCTTGAATCAATGGCGAGTCGAAAGCGGAAGAGGCACATTAATCCTAAATACAAACCTGAATAGGCGCATTTGCGTAGGATGTTCTATAATTTGTAAGGGTGAGATCGATACTCTAGCGATAAGAATGCCCGTGACCGAATCCCACCCTTAATCAATTTTGACATAGCCAGCGCTTGATTTATGCCCATCGAATGGCCAATCTTGTCTAGGCAGTTCGAAATCCATTTGCGAAGATCGTTACATGCAACTCCTGAGTTCGCAGCAACCAAGAGGGGCCACATGATGGTGAGACCGCCTGCTCCTGTCGCTTGAAAGGATGATAGACTGGCCCCTGTGTTTGTCTCTTGACCGGCAGTTGTGTCTGCTGTTTCCAAGCCTCCATAGTCTTCTATTCCTATACCCAAGTTGTAAGGCACGCTGCCGCAGATATCTTGCACCAGCTGAAGCATTGTCTGGCGAGCTTGGCTTGTCAAGCTGCTACGTTGCGGAGAGCAAATATCATCTGAGAAATCTTCCAGCTCCTTGACGGTATCGATGATGAGCTCCTGAATAATGATGCGAACTGAACGGTAGTTATTCCACATTGTACTTGCGGAAATGCTATGATATATGTGATAGCTGTCACCCCAGATAGCTTGGGTGATGGGCTTTCCATCAAACATTGGAACCTTGACTGTAGCGTATCTGCACAACGTAGGCACGCTGATCATGAGTGACACCATTTCGGCGTCGATTTTGAGAGCGGTACGAATGATATGAGTAGGGTCGATGATGTGTTTGTTCGTCACGTTGGCGCAAAAGTCCGTTAATCGACCGATTATGGTGGAAAGCTGGTCTAGGATTTGATCGATGGAATTCTGCTCTCGTTGAATTTCTTCTGTGAGTTTAGTGAAAACTGATGAGCTGTAACGCTCCTGGTAAATTCGACTGAGGCTCTAGATTTCTTTCGGTGAGTATGTCTTTTAAATGCCAGTGGCTGTTGTTGGATCTTACAACTTGAGCACGTAGTTGAGTGAATAAAGCAAGCCCCTCTGGTCGAGAGAGCTGCTCTGAGCCGCGAACCTCTATTAACCTTACTGCGCCCTCCATGTGATTTACCCAACGGTCAATAAATGAGCCGTCAGTACAAGTCATGACCTTTTTTTACTCTTAGAATTGGTTGACACTGCGTTGAGATTGTGGGACCAACTTACTTCAAATATGCCAAGCATAACCACCGCTGCTAGTACATCATCCGTCTTGCACATGACTGGATCTTTCAGGGCCAAATTGGTCTTAGACAAAGCCGTAGTATACTCTTGCTGGGCCTTCAGCATGGTCTTGGGAGAGAGTCGGATATTCGACAGAGCCGCTAATGCGACAGCATTGACTGCCGCATTGACTGCTGAGTTTTGTGAGCTCTTCATAAGAGGCAGTAAATATGACATATAGCCGCAATGGGGGCCTCCAGTCATGTAATTAACATAGAGATAGCTCCTTGCAATTTCTTGCACGGGATACACAAGATCGGCCCTTGGGATGGTCAAAGTCGTCTTGTTGCCGCACAATGCTCCAGAATCGCCCGAGTCTCCAGGTATTCTATTTGAAATTGATGTCTGATGTTCTACAATGCTCGTTGAGACACGGCGTTTCTTGCGCGCGGGAAGTAGATAATTGCGGATAACCTCTTTGCTCTGATCTTTAAAGTTTAGGTCCAGCAAGTTTCTGTATCCAGAACAGTTGACCTTGGCTCGCACACACGGAGTGCACGAGGGCGTTCCATGATCGCACTATGAACTTTCCTGATTAGCCGGTAGAGCTTCCCAACCGTGAATCAACAATTCTTTTAACGAATGACAAGAAAACTAAGTTCTTGGCCCAAAATGTCTTTGCTGCCTCAAACGCATACTGTTTTCGGCTTGTTTTCGGCGTGCTAGTATGGATTAAACGCACCTTCAATCGGCGATGTCGACAGCGCTCACACGCAGCGCTCGGCTTGCCGCGATAAACCATGCTCAGTGATCGCGACTACTGTTGCCAAGAAATTCTGAAAGAAGAAGCAGATACGTCGACCGGCAATGGACATGTTTGAGAAGTTAATAGTCGAGTAAAGAGAGCATGGCGATGATGTCGGCATTGCCGCCGTCCCATTATTTAGGCATTCCGTTTCGGGCAACCAGCTCGACGCTATGATATAGATGGGGCTCTAAGCAACACCGTACCGTTATAGCCGTGCTCTATACGTGTAATTGGTTGATTTCATTTGCAGCCACGTCACCGCCAACTGCTAAGCCTCGTATGCCATCATTCCCTGCTTTCTTCAGAGCTTCTTTGCGCGATGAGGAATGAAGTGATGAATATGACACTGTCGATACACGCCATCGTAGGACGCCATCTTCTTGCTTACAGTCCGGCGATATTGATTAGAGGCGGACACCACCTGGAAGAAGCCAGCTAGAAAGGGACATTTGAATCCTATCAAAGTCTACAGGCAGACCTAGTATCGGCGAGAGAATTGCTGTGAAGCACTGTCCGTTACGTTATTAAACGACAGGAGGCCTCTTTCTCATGCCTGTGAACTTATATTTAACATTACACCACTTTGGATCAAGGAGACCCGCACAATATACTCAGACGGCTGGTTCCTTGTCTTGTAAAGCTTCATCTTGCATCTAAGGCAAAGTTGAGAAACTCATGCAAGCTCAAACCGTAGATATACGAATTAAGCAAAACGATGTGGTATAAGCTGTACTTGAACTTGAGAGGTTAATGAGGTGCTGAGTCTTGTCCTCACTTGCCAATACCGTATTAAATAAAGGAACTTAAGAAATACACGGCTGATGATATTATCGCTACCTCTTCCAGTATCTGCTACTATCGATACCTTCTTCTACCTCTTTAGCATCTGATATTAGTATTTGAGTAAGAATAGAGTCTTATATATGTATACGGTACTAACGCAATCCCGCCTCAGAGTCTTGTTGGCTTTGACCCTGCTCGTGACTCTCCCTGCTAAGCCGTGCACTGGCAGCTGCAAGCAGCAGAGATGCTACTCCCAACTTGCCACCACCAAAATCTCCCCTGGCAGCCCGATAGGCAAGCTTCTCTTTATTACTTCGCTTGCTATTTTCTCGTTCCGGAACGGCTTTTTGAGTGAGGCCGGCGTACAAATATAAGAGAACGACGATCATCTCCTCGATTCTTGCCATGAATAGCTCTGTGAGGACAGCCGACGTCGATGCCTCTGCTGCTGCATCTTGGAATCGCTTAGAAAAGATGAGAAGAAGTGAGTTGATTATGCGGGTTAGTAGAAATGGTAGTGATAACACTACGACAAGAAGCATCGTACTCTCACCACGCCGTTCTGTCATGCAGCGGGCGATGTGAGCGCCCCCGGCTAGAAGAGCAAGGACGATAAAGACAACTAAGTATATAATTACTCCAGCCTTGACTGTATCTTGGCTCGTAATTCCTGCTGGGGTATCTGCCGATGTTGCGCCAACAATGCAAAGAATGAGAGCTATAACTGCCGGGACTTGAACGATTTTGGTGAGGAATAGACTGAAGACAATGTTGAACGGCCGCTTAAGGAGATCAAAGTATCTGCAAACCATTAGCTATCGATTTCTAGCAATGAAAATGGTCGAAATAATAACAACATTCGAGATAGAATACCCAAGGTGGCCAGCAAGAGAGGTGAAAGACCCAAGAAGCCGGTGATGGTAGCAATGGTCTCGGCAGTGTTTGACGTGGCGGTGATGGTTGCAATTTGTGCAGAACAACCGATGACACGCATGGTGCTGAAAATAGTGAGAAAGATCCAGCCTGAACTCCGTGATAGTCCATGGCGACAAGATACAAATATGCTGCAGATAAGTGTAACGACGTAGTAGATAAGTTGCCAGATGGCTAAGCCATCACTGAGCGTGACATGAGCCATTGCGGTGCAAATTTGTTGTGGTATGCAGTTTTATAAGGCAGTAGAAACATTGATTAACATTGATGATCTAGAGGAACGAATTTCATAATATACGAGTAGCTGGATGAAGTACCCAGGTTGGCTCTATGAAGCCGTAAGACTCAAAAGTTTCCGAAATAGGCAATAGTTGAGTTTCGGGCAATCCACTCCAATCATCGTCTTCCACTTGCTCAATCTTACTACATGTAGGTTTCCATGCGCGGCGTCCCTGAGGCGGCTATGCCTAGCGCCGAAATGCCAGCCCGATACAGAATTGCAGGGAATGTGGTCAAAGAGCCTGATCTGTATACTTGGTAGCAGCGAATATGTATTCGGGTATTCCCAGGTTCATGTTGTATATATAGGACAGTTCCAAGAAATACTGCCCTATTTTGTTGAATCTCAGCAGAACTAGTTTCATCATTATCATCATGGGATTAATACGCGATGCCATTGGCTCCGCCCTTGGAGCCAACCAGCTTAACAATGGCCTCTCTAGCAGACCTAGGTTGGCCTTTGGAAGTGATAACAGCCGCAACGGCCGTCGGCTTTCAGTATCATCTAAGGATCAGTCGTCATCCTATAGCCAAGGATACCCCGATTACGCGAATCGCAGAGAAAATCGGAGACGGTCATCCGATGGAAACGAAAACGATGTTTATAAGAACGGCAGTCGTTATGGAGCTGAACAATATTCAGATCGTCAGTATAGGTCGTCAATCGTTAGATATCCCTCTGATCGCATGCAACATACACGAGATGGCTATGCCAGCCAGCTCCCACAATCGCCTCCTGGTTATGAGACTTACCCTGGCGACGGCCGAGGGTACCAATGGCAGCCTTACGACGGAGAGCCATCTACTGATGCATATTACACCGACGACAGAGGGTTTTCGCGAGCCGCCAATTTCTGTCCACTGGCCCTACCGCAGATTGCTTATGGGGACGGGCAACCTTTCCTTCGTGGGTACAGCCAGGAACTAAGACGCTATAACATCACTATGGAGGACTTTATACAAGTTGTGGACTCAATCAATATCGCCATCATTCCCAATCCAGAGAATCAGATCTTCCAGAAAGGCGCAAACATCGCCGGGTGGTTCGTGTAAGTATCTGTAGTCTTCCCGCATCTGCCCTTGCCATAGCTGATGCATTGTTATACAGGCCTGGGGCTGCCGGAATCGGTCTCATGGTAGGCCAAATTGGTGTCGGACTCGGCGCCGCAGCTGGCCATGCATCTCAGCTCTCTTCTGCCTTGGGGAATGCCAATATGAGTCTCTTTCTGCCAAACGGCCTTGAGTTATGGTAGGCCTTCTCGATTGGATGACTTGTACTATTCCAGAGTATGTTAACGTTATTTAGTATTGGAGGCTCAGCGAATGTCGACGCTGAAGTCGACATCTCACAAGGCAGTGCACAGCCATATTCCATCAATGTATCGCCGGAGGAAAGAGTGGCATACTACGGTGACCTTATTGCTCCAATTTCACAAATTCTGCCACCACTGCAGCAGAGTGGCCGCAATGATCCAATCGCCATGCTTGGCAGAGGACTGGCCAGTCGAGATAGTCAAAAGAAAATGGAGAAAGCACAGAAGGACATGAAAAAGGGAAAGAATAAAAACATCAATAATCTAGAGGGGGGCCTCAAGTGGGTAAGTCATGTGGTGTCATTGTCCTTGGTTGCAATTTTGAAGACAGTTACTGACATATGTCTTTGACAGCTTATAGTAAGACGAGCCAGCGCGGAGGCACTATCATATTGGGAGACACATCGACGGTAGAGAGCTTTGTCTACGGTAGCGATAGACAAGACATATTTAATGGATGTTAGGCTTAAGGAAAAGAATGAGAACCAATACGTATTTCTAAGATAGGTTATAAAATCATGACGAATGATGTATTTGCATAGCGAGTCAGTCGATTTAACAAATGTGCCCTATAAACCACAATGGCATGTAATTGGCGTGAAAGAGAAGTCTTGCGGAGTAGCCCAAGACAACGATTGACCATTGAGAGACGTCACATTAATATCCAGGCGATGCAAAGACTGGAATCCAGACGACGCTCAGTGTACGCGTAACCTCTGCGCTAAGTGTAATGAATACCTCAATCCTCAGCGCCGCAGTTACGTGTGAGGCAAACCACCATGGAGAGCACTTCGACACTATTGTCAGCTTGAGGCGGAAGAACACGCCATTCACCTAATGTTAGGGTCACCTGGGGAAAGTTCCAGCAAAATCTCGTGAGTTCAGTATTACTAGTCCATACTGGGCTAGCATTTCGACACCTGTCTGTCAGTTCGACTAATCCACGGCGCCGTTGCAGAGTATAAATCGTATGTATGTTCTCCAACCCACCCATCAGATGCCGCCAGTCTCATTATCACTCAGCCACAAAGCTTGAGCCCTGATGATCCCAATTCACATGAAACCACTAAATAAAGTTTATCGGCTATACTGAGCTTCTCCAGAAGAGTCGGGATGAAAGCTATTCCAGTTACAGTCAGATGATGAAAAGTATCGCTAGCTTTAGATACGATCGTATGACGATCACAGCACTGTTTGTGCGTGGCAATTATTTCCAATGTGGTGCATAAATACCTGCAGTTCAGCTACTTAATACACCAATCAATAATGTTTGACTTGCTGGTTGAAACTTACCAAGCGATAACACCACAAACACCATGGCTTCCACAAACGGCCCATCAAACTTCGTCCCAGAACAGCTGTTTCATACTGTTCTCACAGTAATCGACTACTCCCACGATTCATCCGGCGCCAACCGCACATTATTCGTCCTCAAAACCCACGGCACCCTCGCCGCCGCAAAGAAGTACGCCAGCCACGCCCTAGAAGCCGTCAACTTCACAGTCGAAGACTTTGAAGTTTATCGCATCCGCGCTGAGGAAGACCCAGCCAAGGCCTGGACTCACGGCGACGGCGTGCTGGTTTTCGCTCGCGCCTTTGATGGACAGGAGTTTCTCGTGGGAATTGACACTACCCCAAACAATGAATCTTTGCCTGCAACTCCGGATGGAGAATTAAAGCTGCCCGAGGGCGCAAAGTTCCTGCACTACGTCCTGCAGATCACGGTGGATTACAACGCTGATCGTAGCGGAAGCTCGCAGAGCACAGAAATTGAAGGCACATATGTCCATCGTGCGGATGCATGGACGGCGGCGCATGTATCTCTCGATCCAACGGAATTTGCAGAGTTTGATCGTCGGGGTGACGCACAGTTCATTGAGCAATGGCCCTTTGGCGAAGATGTTGCAGTTCATGCCGTTTCTGAGACTGGGCAAAACTATTTCATTGCGGTGAAAAGCCCCCCCGAGAAGAAACACGAGGTGAAACATCACCATCACAAGCATCACGCGTTGAAAAAGTAAGGGATTATGTTGTATGGATTTGAGTCGTGGGAATTCTTTATCGTAAATGAGCTGCACTGTGATTTCCAGACGCTCCTTGATTAACTTATAACCTGTACGATATTTATTTTAGTTCATTAGGATGCAGATCCAATAACTACATACGGTGGTAATACAAAAGTCAAGATGAATCCCACAGCGCGCCATTGCAGAGCTAAGAAGATTTGCATCTGACACTCCATAGCATATATATCAATTTGTGACAGAAGAAATCAAAGTTAAAGGTATATACTATTTCATATCACTAATGTATAGCTTCTTCTCGCAATAATGATTAAGTGATGAGAATTATATATACAATGTAACATTATTAGCTTGAGAAGTACAGTATTAGTTATACTGTACTTCCACTATAAATCCACTATAAGCACACTACTTATGTATACAAACCATGACAGATAGACAGTGTACAAATAAAGAATCTCTATTCTGATATAATATTATCTTACAAAATTACTCTTTTTAATAACATCAGTGTTTTAATATAATGTTATTTTGCAGGCGGCTACGGAGTTTGTCTCAACGTTTGCTGACCCACCGTATAAAACGCTCTTCATACCATCTACCTAGTATGATGATTGCTGTTTTACATATCATTCGTGATTGTAAATACTTCTCGCCGGTTCTGCCTAGAATGTAATTATTGTAGTATTCATACAGAAGATAGAACTCGGTCTTAATGAATTTTGAGTGTTTTAGTTACTCGTTCATCTCTCGGGAACCCATGGCAGAGTGTAGACAATTCAGAGAGAGAAAGAATATCCAGTTGCAAGGTATACATTACTACTGCCCAGCCAACAGTGACACGAGATTCACGTGTTGTTACGCGGCTACATGTATCTCTCTCCCCCTCTCGTAACATTCGGTACATCATGCCTCCATTGCCATTGTCACCATCCGTACTATCGCACCAGTGCAAAATACCCTTTCTCAAAGAAAACTAAAATGACCACGCTCGACACTCTGAAGCAGGCTCTTAGACAAAATGTTACGTCCCCAAAGCAGCCCCTATCTGACGCACAATATAGCGCTGGCTTTGACATCCTACTCCAAGGGCCCGGATGGAAGACGTACCAAGACTTCATTTTCCCTCAGCTGTCTCAAGTGCTGACCCCTCTTTTCAACTCGCGTGTCCGCATCTCGGTGCTGGAGATAGGACCCGGCCCCAAGAGCGTGATTGGATATATGCCTGACGATCAAAGACGGAAGATTAAAAAATATGCTGCGTTCGAGCCAAATGGATTATATGCCACAAAGTTGCAAGAATGGCTGGGGACAAAGTCTTCGCTGCCCTGTCTGGAAAGCCCGCCCGACATCCATCGAAAGCCGTTTGCTCTGGACAGCGCCGTCACCGCCGTAAATAATGGCGAGGAAAAATTTGACGTCGTTCTCTTCTGCCACAGCATGTATGGCATGACGCCCAAGCGCAAATTCATCGAACGAGCGCTTGAAATGCTTGTTGTGGAACCGGAAGGCGGGCTGGTGATGGTTTTCCATCGCGATGGTCTGGACTTTGATGGCTTAACCTGCCATAAAACTGCTTCATTCCCTTCTGGAATCGTTCGTGTAGCAGATGATGATAAGATTTTGGACAGTTTTGCCTCTTTCATTGCGGGCTTTGTCATGCAAGAAGAGGACGCGGACAAGGCCATCCACATCGAGTGGCGTAAGACGTGTCGTAACTTGGGTCGTCGTCAGGAATCTCACCCAGGTCATCTCCTTTTCAGCGCACCTGAAGTCATGGTGGCCTTCAATCATCATTCTACAATGTTACCGGAGCTTACAGCGCAGGTGCCGTTGGTGATGAAGGACAAGACTGTGAAGAACTGGGAGGCTCGGCTCCACCGAGCCGCTTCAATTATCAGACCGACGAAGGTCCAACACATCCAGCAGTGCGTCCAATGGGCTCTGAAGCACGGAGTTGGTTTAACTGTCATTGGTGGGGGCCACAGCGGCCACTGTCTGTGGCCCAACGTTGTCGCAGTTGACATGGACGATTTTAATCAAATATATGTTCAAACTCCCGGAGAAGATGAAAAGAACCCCGACTCTAGTTCCAACTCTTTTATTATCGCTGAGGCGGGTTGCAAGACAGGAGATATCATTCGTACTGCCATGGCGGTGGGCTTGATAGTGCCTCTCGGAGCCCGTCCAAGCGTGGGCGCTGGATTATGGTTACAAGGCGGACTCGGGCATCTGGCCAGGCTTCGTGGACTTGCATGTGATTCCATTGTCGGTGTCATAATGGTGAGCGTCGACTCCGCTCAGATCCTTTGCATCGGTCATGTACCTATTCAATATTGGCCGACCGGTGGTGTCCGCCCGGAAAACGAAGCCGAGTTGCTATGGGCAATGAAAGGTGCTGGAACCAACTTTGGCATCGTAGTGAGCGTCATTTTCAAGGCTTACCCGGCTCCCACCTATACAGTTCGAAACTGGATTGTGCCATTGAGCGGCAACGTTGATGCGCAACGCGGGCTCAGCGAATTTGATACGTTCGTTGCTCGTGATCTCCCCCGAAACTGTTCTGCAGACGCGTATCTGTACTGGGATGCTGGCCAACTGCATCTTGGCATGACCATGATCGAAGCTTATACATCTGGATCTACATCGGAAACGCCCACGCTCGTAGATACAATTCTGGGGCCAGAGTACAGTTCCAAGGTCGTAGACGCTGTCGGTTTGTTCCAAACCGAGATGTACGTGTCCGGGATGCATGGCGGACATGGAGGAGGCAAGACGTCAGCGTTCAAGCGGTGTCTCTTCTTAAAAGATATCGGAGCTGCAGGCATGGCCGAGAATTTGGTAGCAGCGATTGAGTCTCGTCCCACAGCACTCTGCTATCTCCATCTGCTGCAGGGCGGCGGAGCGGTTGCCGATGTGGTCCCTGATGCTACGGCTTTTGGATGTCGCGACTGGGACTTTGCATGCGTCGTCACCGGCGTCTGGCCCCGCGACCAAGACGGAACCCAAGCTGCTCGAGCTGCTGTACAGTGGGTTTATGATGTCGCCCGGAATCTGTTGCCCCTGAGCAGTGGGACTTACGGCGCGGATCTCGGACCAGATCCCAGAGATGCCGAACTGGCGGAGAAGGCTTTCGGTCCAAACCGGCAGCGCTTGGTCCGTCTCAAACGCGGCGCAGACCCACGCAAGGTGCTGGCTTATGCCTGTCCGCTCCCGGAGGCGTCCATGGAGCCGAAGCTCATCATTCTTGTCACGGGAGAGAATTGCGCCGGCAAGGACTATTGTGCTGACGTTTGGGCCTCCGTGTTTAATAGAAGCTCTCCCAAAACTCTTACGGCTCGGGTAGTTAGCATAAGCGACGTGACCAAGCAAGAGTATGCGGTGGCTGCTGGCGCCGACTTGAACGCCCTACTCCAGGACCGTGCCTACAAGGAGCAGCACCGGTCAGCGTTGACGGCATTCTTCCAAGACCAAGTGAGGCAACGGCCCCAGCTACCACAGGAGCATTTCATGAATGTAGTGAATGGCGCCGTGGGCGTGGATGTGCTGTTGATCACTGGGATGAGAGACGAGGCTCCAGTAGCAACCCTATCGCATCTAGTGCCAGAGAGCAGAGTGCTCGAGGTTCGTGTCGAAACCAGAGAAGAGACGCGGCGGATTCGTGGAGGGTATCAAGATGGTGGCGGAGTTGATCATAATAAAGACCACACCAACAACACCAATGGCGAGTCGGTCTCGACGGCCCCAGGCTGGTGCCCGAGTCTCACTTTCTACAACGATACGCCCGGGAGTGAGATGGCAGAAGTGTATGGCCAACGCTTTTTGCTTCCCTTCTTCCGCAAGGACTTGCAACAACTGGCCAACATGGTGCGTTCGGTGCCGGACTTCCCACGCCCGGGTATCGAGTTTCGCCACGTGCTCGGCATCGCCCAGCAGCCAGGAGGATTGGCCCTGTGTATTTCTCTGCTGCGGAGCCATTTTACTGGTGACTGGAATGAGATCAATGCGGTGGCTTGTTGCGAGGCCGGAGGCTTTATCTATGCGTCGGCGCTGGCTACACAGATGGATTTGCCTTTGGTGCTGATTCGTGAAGCTGGCAAGCTCCCGCCCCCCGTCGTTTCCGTCATCAAAAGACCATCGCATATTTCGAATTCAGCATCCAACGGGTCAATCGAGAAGAAGATTGAGATGGAGCGGGGTGTGATCCACAGAGGCGCGTCTGTACTGGTCGTAGACGATGTTCTTGCCACGGGGGAGACGCTTTGTGCGGTTGTACAGCTGCTGGGTGAAGCTGGCGTCAGCGCCGATCGTATCAGTGCCATGGTCTTGGCTGAATTTCCTCTTCATCGCGGCCGAGAACTGATGCGCCGTTGTGGCTTTGGCAGAGTCAGCATTCAAAGCCTTTTGGTCTTTAGGGGGGCTTAGAGAAGGAGGATGACTTGTGCCGTCTAGACTGGCTGAGATCTTGGAGTGAGTACATGAATATGAATCAATGCTGTGATGGAAGATTCAAGGTTTCCAGTGGGAGCAGGTTGGCAGCTAGTTTCGTTTTGACAGCGCCTCTCACAGAAGGCCTTAGTGAACAGGTACCAGTAACCAACCGGACAGATACTCCTAAGCCAGGACAAAGTTACCTACATGCCCGTACTAACCCCTCCTGCTGTGCTGCAATAAACTTGGCCCCAGTAAAGCCGTGCACCTACTGTTTTAACTTCCATCGTTGATGGAACATGAATCACCAACATCTATCAGCCTCGACGCAACACCACAATCAAGCCTCTCTTACGCAACTCTTCTCCATGGACTCCATCTCAAGTCCACTGCAATCAAGGCCTCCCTTAGAGACCTTGTCTATCAGTCAGCTTCTTCGCCTGCACTGCCGGGAAAAGCTATCTGTTCACCCTCTGGAATGGACCGGCCGCCATGTCGAGGTGCTGCAGTGTTCATTCGAGGAATCCCCACCACCTCCGCCTTCACAAGAGCACCTAGATGAACTAGACAAACTCCTTGCTACCAGCAAGAAAGTTCCAACTTCAGTTAAGTTGCTATTTCTTTCTCATGATTACGGGTGGCGACGCGAGGGTCTCTTCAGGCGCATCATTGGCTCTGAGGGATGTCCACTCCAGCCCTATGGGTAGGTCTTCATACTAGAGGGGATTTACAATTGTTTTTCTTCTTTCTCTTTCTTTCTTTATTTTCTTTTCTTTATCTTCTTTTCCCCGCTAATAAGTGATCCGCCTAGGACATCAATTGGGTTTTATTTCGATGGCCGTTGCGTGAGCAGTCTCCCCTGTCAACCCTTTACCAGCAGCTATAGTAATAAGGCTGCCTTCGAGAAGGGAACGGCGCCAATTGTCTTGGTCAACATCGATTGCGACGTGCTTGAAAGTCTTCGTAAAGAAAAAATGCGTCCCCGTATAGGTAGACGATGGAGTCTGCAAACTGATGGAATATACTTTCGTCATGTGAAAAGAATTACGCCACCGAACCGTCTGCGTGATCCATACCTGGTAGCCCTCTTACTAGCAATTGCATATAACCAACGGCGCTGGACAGCATCTTCAATATGGACTAGAGAGAGTTTTTGGGTATGATACTCCCCCATGGCATTTTCACCTTCTCATGTCCACTAACGCACTATGTTTAGCCTCAAGTGGTGATGACAAAAGAGATGGACGAATACGTCCATCTCTTTGCCGCACATATTTCATCCAATTACCTCAACAAGTTCGACTTTCCTTCCCGTCGACCTGCCAAGTCAGCACAACAGCCATTGGTGATCTACCATATTCCCCTACCAATAAAGCCGTACGACACTTTCCGCCATCGGTTACTCACGATACTGCTTCACCCAGCCGATTACTACAAGGAAGATCGGTCAGACTGAGGGCTAGATAGATTACCATATGAACTCTAATAGTATCAATTCGTCATCATCCTAATTTCCATAGCTAATAACTAATACCCTTCATCATGATAATATCACACGCAAGTTATGCCTTCATAGACTCTGTACTTATGAGTGGCCTCGTCATACATGGATTGTATAATGCAGGACTGCATCATAACAACTATACTAATTGCGCACAATACGTCGTGTTTGGTTATTTACTACCAATTCAGGCCATTTCACACCTTCCGCCGTCGACTGTTTCCGGTATTACTACACCCAAGAGAATATTACATAAGCGGGTAGCATTGTAATAGAGAGGCTTGAACGTGCAATCTTCAGATAGTCTGAGAGGTATATAATAGTGTAACCATGCGTAGTCTCGTGGACCTAGGCAAACAGTCTCTCGGCGGCATGCACGGTAGACATTATAGAACATTAATTTGCAGCGTAATAGAGCCTGTATCACGATGCTAACAAAAGACCGGTGAATAACCTGTTTTGCCCTTTTCACTTTTCAAGTTACGATACGTCAATCCGATGTGGTGCATGAACTGGGATCACGTAGCAGTGAAGAGGCAAGTGAATTGCGTTTGCAAGTGATGGATAAAGGGGGGGGTAATTAAACGCGTTTGCAATGCCTCTCTGATAGTGACGTCAAGTGAGTGGCAGGTGTCAACATAGATATATGTAGGTAAATAGCACGGAGGTCTCGAGGGCGAAAAATTTCAGCCTGAGTGTTACAACCGCACAACCCACACATACATGCATACCTACCTGACCTATATGCACCACTCCAATGATCAACCGAAATGGCCTATTACGATTCCATTCGAAGTAAGAGCAGTTACTGGGCAGCGGTGTCGTCTCGTCAATCCCAGAACTCCCAGGCTCTCCAAAGTTCGACTCACCAGGAGACTACTGCTCTTCACTGGGGCATCGACCATCTCTTCGCTTGGCGAGTTATCTGCAAGCCTCCCAGCGCAATTCTTCCTTTCTTCCAGTGCAAGGTTGAATTTGCCGAAGCAGGCAAGGATGAGTGGCACCAAGTGATTCGTCAAGTGATTGATGGTCCTAGAGAGAGTATCTCAGCTCTAAGCAAGATGAGCCAGGCGGAGATATTTCAATCCTATAGCAGGGGGCCCTGTGGACTCATCTGGGCCGACTTGGCAATTCTTCTGCAACCAGAAGCTCCCAATAGCGACCCAACCCCGCCGACCGTGCGCCCTAACCCCCAGAATGCTTATCTCTTCTTCTATCTCGACTGTCCGGTAGTGCCTTGTCCTGCGGAGGTCACAGTCAACTTTGCGAGCAGTCTAATCCGAACTATTCTCAGCTTTTCTCAACCACCGGATGAAAGATCATCTACCATTGAGTATCGCGGGAGGCTTAGATACAGAGGCGAAAACTCCGAGTCAGTCGATGAGGGAGGGATTGAAGCTATTCCCTCAGGGATGCAAGTGGCACTTTTGGAGGCGAAGCGTTTGTTTCAGCACATGGAAAATGGCAGACCAGTTGTTTCTGATAACCTTCTGAGTCAAGTTGTTGGAGTGGCCTTGGATATGAAAGACTCTGTGTGTCTATTTCTGCTGAGAAGTGAGTGCTTGAACCATATCACCAATTCTTTCAGATGTCCTGGGATTTTCTAGATATCTCTAGTTTCGCTAGATATCTCTAGTTTCTCCCAACAATCCTCCCCCTTCTGGCCATTTTGGGCTCCGCTACAAGACTACTTGAGCTAACGCAATTAATAGTGTCATTGTCATCGTTGCCATTAAGCACTACATCAAATTCTTCCATCTCACTATTCCCGATGCCTTTTACGCCCGATTCAAAACTCTTAGCCTAGAGGATGATACCGCTGATTTGGAAACCTTCCTTCAGGTGGAATCGACGGAGTGGCTGGACGGGGCTGAAGTCGACGGTCGACGGAGCATCGTTCATCATATTATGGCTTTGGTAATGTGGGCCGACCATATCGTAACGCATGGCGAATCCAATGGCAACCCGGATGGCAAAGATGAGTCGATGGATACGAGCTCTTGATTCAACGCCTCTCGGCTATGGTTGAGGTTTACATATACTACCACTTGGTAGAAATGTTAGATATGGTATAAAGGACATGGTATACACACAGTCATATGACCAGGTGATATTCGCGGATATATCTTGGCCGTCATAATTGGCATTAATAAATATACCTTTATACAGCTGACTATGATGTGTATTTTCCAAAAAGCGTCTGATATCCTTCGCGTAGCGCAGCATGAATTGCTGTTGGCACAAATCCATATACACTGCAGTATTTTCCAGCCATTAGTGCGTCAGAATCCCAGTTACTGTGAGTGATTAGGCGATTTCACAGCTACCGATCGTTGAAGTTGATAGTAGGATTGATGAGAGCAGAATCAACCGCCAGACATAAACCGGCAAACTGCGCCACGGAAAGGCCGTGTTGCTGCCATGTTCGTCCATTCTTCGTCATTTTAGAGACCCTCAAGTTTCTTTTGTGCTAGTAAAGATCAGCGTCTTCTTCTTACAGAAATGATACCAAGCACAATAATGTCGCAGGGTCGGTGAGATAAGTGGCCCCTGAGGAATGATGTTCCTTGGGGGTTACATGTGCTTACCATCACTGCCATCATCTGGGGAGTATGTGATGGTTGGCGGCTCCGAAGGAATGCGTTGAGTAGCAGAAGGTGTGGTGGTGTTGGAGAAGTTGCCTGTCGTCGTAGCCGGTTTACTAATGCAGTAGCGTTTGCCCGGTACAAGAGTGCAGGCGGATGGGTTGGCTGCATCGAAGGAGATGGATGGATTCCATGAGATAAATTGAGTGATGTTAACTAAAATGTGAGCGGAATATCAGTTCTGTGGACCCTAAAGTCAATAAGAGAGTTTGACGGGTAGATACAACTATTGAGACATGGGGAGAAGCCGTCGACCACAAAAAAAAAAAAAAAAAAAAGACTGAGCAAATACTCACGCTGATGTAGCCACGCAGTCCAACCACACTCATTCATGGTGCTATTGCGGTACGACTTCTTATGTAGCGCGTACCTCTTGCAGGAATCCGCGGTACCAGGCGCCAGTTGGGGAGGCTTTGACGTGTATCGTTTGGGGAAAAGAAAGCTCGGCGGTTTGCCCCGGTGGTCTGCTGATTCCTCCATATGGAAATCAGGGCCCTTGTCGTAGCCCAGACCAGGATGGGCTCTTGATTCGTAAGAAGCAGTGTGTATAGGACTGTTGGAGGGAGCTGTTGGGGTCATAGCCTCGTGTAAAAGGTAGGGAGGTTGAGAAGTAATTGGGTATTTGGTAACTCCGCAGCTATTGACTGGTCAACTTCGGGCATCACCTTGCCGCAAACAAGGCCAAATTTTAGAATGACTCACGACGATGTCAGCGATGAGTATGAGCTGGCCAAATCAGGATCATATCCAATAGGCGAATCTAAATGAGCCTGCTGAACGAGCAGGTTGCAGTCCGAACATAGCTCGGCAGCGGTTACACCCTCTTTCTTACTATTCCATTTGAAAAAGTCCGGAGAGCAGTACTCTCCCGTGGTTCTAGATATGAAATATTAGTTGAAGTGATTATATAACAGTAATGGGAGCCATACGTACGGGTCTGTCATACAAGCGTAGTGGTATGTGTACAGGAGAAGGTCTGTAATATACGTTGGAGGAAGTTGCACATCATAGTCAATATAAATATTTTCCGAGATTTTACAAACAGAGAGCTGCTTTTCTCGCAAAGCCTTCAATTCGTCCAAACAGATGTCAGTGCAGATCTCGGAAAGAAGGCTTGAGTCGGTGAAAATTTCTCCTCCTGCAATATCCCAAAATTTTTGGCTACATGCGACTTTCTCATAGGATGGGGCCCTATCATAAGAACATTAGCCTTAAGAGATCTCCTTATACCATTATATGAGGCGGATAAAAAGAAAACGCGTACGCGCAAGCTGCAGATAGCCCGGTGTTAATATGAAGGTGTGCATTTTCTGATAGAACTTGGGAGTACACAAATGGCTGTAGGAGCAAGCTCCACAGCTAATACAAGTATTAGCCACGACAATTTCGTCCAGTTTCTTGAACTCCAGTATTTTGATGTGTCAAGGGATGTGCATTCACGGACCAGATAATGAACTGAGAGGGACATCGAGATCGGAGATGGTTGAACAGCGAAAGCCAGCCTCTCAATCTTGATGAGCCAAAACTAGGGGAACTAAAGAGCGACCGGTGAGAGGGATTTTGGTTGGAATCAAAGCAGAGCGTGAGCGCCCCACTGCAGCTCGTAAAATTACATGTACCCATGCTCTTTAATTTAGGCATCATTGGCCAGCATTGGAAGGGTGCCGTCCAACAACATTACATTCTTGGCACTTGGAGTTGCATCTGAAGCCGGAGATTGCCTAATTAAGCGTCAAGATTTCCAACATTAGAAGAAATTTGCATGTGATAGCGCGAATGTAAAGAAGAAAAATCCATTGAAGCACAGAATAAATTTTATTTAAAGAGAGAATTGATGCGCAGTACCAGATGAAGCGATTCGTGTGTTGGTTGTGAAAAGCGCTAGACTGAATTTTGGCGTGAGGAATGTGATTGAGTCATATACATGTAGATATCAGCACCCACTTAAGGGAGTGACTGCAGATGGCCACCACCAGATGATTACAGGTAGAAGAAGGTAGCGATAGTACATGTAGCGATAAAAGCACATAGATGGAGAACTTGGTAGATGAAGGGAAGGGCTACCTAGCACCCTAGCGACTAAGAAGAGTTCCAAATGTCGTAACAACGCAGAATAAAGTCCTTTTATCACCATTATTTAGATAGATACACGGTTCCTGGAGTACCTACTATTCTCGCCACTTTCTACTATTCTCGCTACTTTCTGCTATTCTCGCTGCTTTCTGCGACTATCGCTATCTTCCCATACACAATCGTCATTCAATAAGCTTCGGTTTGTTCAAAGGACTGTAAAAAGGTTTCCTAGCGCGAGGAATGATCATCAGCAAAATGCTCTTTTGGTAGAAGCCAACTTAACTCAGAGCACGAGAGAGTAATCCTGATCAGCTATTGAACGTGTGGGAGCGGCAGCTCTGGCTCTGGCTCCGGTAGAGTTGTTGGCTCCGTTCCTGAACGATACGCTGGATATGGCGACTTCGGGTCCTGCACGCATAATCAGTTTTGCTATGCATCAAACACTGCGTGTGTGAAGCTGAGATGTTAGTTGAGAAAGCAAATAGAACCAGTACTCACCATCTGTTCCGCCGCCCCTCCCTTGACTACTTTGTACCTAGTCTCCCAATCCTCGCTGTTGGCAAAGAAACAATAATACAACCAATCTACAGCTTTAGGAAGCGGGATTGTGATCACTCCCTCATAGCCAGATAAGTCTTCGTCGGATGGGTTTGGCGCGGAAGCGTCGTAGTCTGGATTGACGGCTCTCAAAAACAATGTATTTTGCCACGGGTCTGGTTCGCTGGGTCCCTTAGGTTCGTACACGGGCCTTGAACCTATAACGGGGTTGTCAAGAACTGCCCGATCTGCTACCAAAAGGCAGTCTGTTGCTATGCGATTGGGAATCTCGTTTCGCTCTCGCATGGCCTTGAATCGTTGCCGCAAAGTCTCGAGATCCGCTGCTTCAAGTAACGGATCAGAAACTGCGATTGGAACATGGGTTGATGATAAACTGGCTGCTATTCTCCAGTGTTTATGAAACACTTGTATGACAGTTGTGCCGAAGATGCCGTTAAAAACTCTCCATTTCTCATCGGTCCCCTCACTGTATGCGGTCCGGAAAATAACAAACCCCCATTGCGGCAATTGTGCATCGAACATGTGGTTCACCCATTGAGGCCGGGATGCTCTTATTCTTGCCGCCTGAGCCGCGACTAATTCTTGTCGTTTTTGAGCCTTCCGCGCCTTTTTTACATCGTCAAAAGCACGGGCACGTTTTTGTGCTCGGCGGTGTACCTCAATGTCATATTCATTAGACAAAAGATGATGAACCTGTCTAGCAAGCTGATGCTCATCATCGACGAGGCCCATTTTCCATAAAAGCGTGCTTGAGCCGCTGCCGGGAATATGTACATCATGGGTGGCCCCCAAGATAATAATAAAGGTCTCAACCTCTGTTAAGGTTTCTGGATCGGCCATGGCCTTCTTTTTGAGCTCATCCATGGTAAAGCCGGTCTTCTCTTTGCACAAACGGTCTTCTTCATCTGGTGGGGGGAGTCGATAAATCTGGTTCCTTTCAGCTCGCGTAACAGATGTCGGATCAGCTGTGGCTGCAACGCGTTGGAATAGTGCCTTTAGATCAGGTGCCATCCTGGCCTTAGGGAAGGGGGTAAATGCGTTGTTGGAGGTGGCCATGTCGAAGGTATATGTAGGTACATGTGCGTTGTGTGATGGTCAGAAGCTTCAAGGTTGTTAATGCAATTGAGAGCAAACGCTTCTTGGTCCGACCAGAGAGTTTATCATCACATGATGATCGCATGATTAGTCAGCGGAGGGTCAAAGCTGCCAACAGCTTTATTTGCCAAGTTGTTGGATCAGCCAAATGAGTAGTGTATTGAACAGTTCGTTTACCAGCCGCGATAGTGCGTTGTACAACTTAGATCTAGATCAAGGCAGTGGACGGTTAGGAATAGGGAAGGTTTCTTAATCTGGCAGGTCTATTCCCCAACTGTCTAGCTCATTCATGGGCTCCACAGACCAATGGATGTTATATACGCCGTAGAGGCTATTTGACAGGAATGAAGCTAGTGATGTGAAGCACCACGATATTTAGTGGTTTTGTCACTGTACTACACAGACAGTATTGATTGGGAAGCTTGAAATATACTCTATACTCTTTCTCCCCCCCCCCCCCCCCCCTTTCTTAGTTTACCCTCTCGTACATTTTATTCATGTTCGATGCCAATGACTTCAAGATACTGAAAATTGCAATCGAATGGTACCACATTCTTGAGGTGGAGAGAACTCGACCAAAACCAGACTCCGCATCAAATCCTTTCCGTAGGACCAGGATGGGGCCTGATATGAAGGGACTTTTCTAACGCGTGGTAATCGCAGTAGACCCAACACCTGCTACGCGAGCTAAGAGGAGACTTCCCTCACCTGGAATCAACGAAGCAGCTGGACAGGGCTGACATCGATGATAGACAGAATATCGTTTATTATATTATAGCTTTAGTAATATATTCTTTAATTTATATCATCACCTATGGTATATTCAACACTAAATGACATTTTTTTTTTCAAAAAAAAAAAAAAAAAAAAGTTAATAGATACATATTCCTATTTTAGAAGCTTGCAGCTGTAATTGGGGGCTTCCTGAATCGTTACTAGAGATAAATAGCAGACATGATATAAATTAAAATCACTATTCAAGTACATTTCCAAAATGCGTGCGGTATCCTTTACATAAACAACGTAATCTCATACCCGCTGCAACAATTTCAGGTAATCAATCCAGCTAGAGCTAAGATATTATAAATAATTAGGCATTTCCGCAACGGCCAAACGTAGGCTGGCATCCTGCGCCGCAAAAGTCGGTCGAATTGCCACAATACCCGCTCATGCTGCAGCAGTTTGGAGGTTCGCAAGTGTAGTCTGCACTCATAAGAAATCAGTCATCGCCACTCAAGATCATCGTACCTTCCAGAGGTATGTGGCGGGACTAGTATATTATGTACAAGTGGGAGTGCCGGGAAGAAGTAGGGGAGACACGACACCGCTTGGAGGCAACTTACTCTTTCCACCACCACACGAGCCATCAGGTGAGTAGGTGACCGTTGGTGAGACCGATGATACGCTTTTCGTTGAAGTTTTTATGACAGAGCCGGTGGCACATTTGCCAAATCGGGGCTGGCAGCCTATACCGCAGTAATCATTCGTTGAACCACATTTTCCATGTTGAGAACAGCAGCTTCCGAATGACGCTCCCTCACATGTGTAATTGCTATTCGAATGGCCGCATAATCCATTGGGGGTGATGCTGGAAGAGTTGCTTGTTACCGTAATTGGTTCACTAATGCAGTAGCGATAGCCCGGCAACAGCATGCAGGCGGAATGATTGGCGGCATTATACGAGAGAGACGGATTCCACAAGATAAGTTGGGTTATGTCAACTAGTGATTAAGAAAATTGTTAGTACTAAGTCCGCTTGAAAACTGGGCGAAAAGCACGGTTGTGTACGGAATTGCTGGGTGAGAGGGGAGGCTGTTGAGCAAGGAGTGAGCAAGCACTTACGTGTATGGATCCATGCAACCCAACCACACTCATTTATGTTTCTCTTAGAAGAAGTATTGAAGTGCTGTGTGTACCTCCTACAAGAATCCGGGGTACCGGGTGCCAGCGGGAGATCTTTAGTGGCTGTCACATTGGGGAATCGAGTGGCTGCAGGAGGTTGTGTGCCAACCGCTGGCCAAGTGAACGGTATTGCAGTAGACATATAGCCAAGACCATAACAAGAAGAAGGGGCATTCATTTCGAAGCAGGGGCCGCTCATAGTTCTTCTACCAGACCTATTACAAGATGTCAGTATGGAGCCGATGTCTTGTAGTTGGCAGGCATTGCAAATGAGACAGAGAGAGAGCGTAGACAAGGAGAATTTGAAATGGAATCTTACGGCTTGTAACCGGAATATGTGGCAATATTTCCTACCGCCTCAACGCAGTAGTATGTACCGAGCAACAGATTACCGCAGGTGCTGTTTATCATCGGGTTGAGAAAATAGAGGTCGTTGAGGGAAATTCCCAAGGCGACGGATATGCTAGCGCAACTATCACCATCAACAACTTTGTAATATTTTCCACCTACATAGAGATATTGCTTAGCCTGCTAGTCATGGTATTTCTGTTAGAATGTCGGCGGCAAAACTTACAATGTCTTGATGTATTCAGGGCTAGGTTGGTAGGGATTGTCCTTGAAACCATAATCAGCAAGTGTACCAAACAGGAATTTGCTAACGTCTTTGAAGGATTTGATTCACTTACATCACTGGGGCCGTAACAGATGCGCTTCCTGTTACATTAACACTTGGCGGCCCGGGGAAACTAAAACCGCAATTGATGAAATTGATAAGCAAAGAAAACGACCAGAGATGATATTCGAGTAGTTTGCATGGTAGTTATGAACTGAATGCCTTGTTACGTACCTTATGCAAATCTGATAACCCTCGAGTTGATTTAAGTTTGAACATTGCGTGTTAATATTGGGATTCCAAGACCTCAATTGTGTGACTGAGAAAGTACTGTTGTGGGATTGCTTAATACTGTAGCAAGTATCATTTGCCGCCACTGTATAAAGATCACAACTATGGGGGATGCACAATGTCGACCCAGGTGCAGGAAACTTTGAGCAATATCCGGGAAGGCGATTGAATTGCATAAGATAAAACGTCGCCACCTTATGGGATTCGCTGACGGACCGACAAGTGTCACCTGGCTTAATTGTGTATGTTGTCTTGCAGGCATTGACAGCTGCTGTAGCAGTTGCCTTCCTACCTGTAGTCTGTGTCGTCGTCCGATTCAAAGAGTAAGAAGATTGAGAGGAGGTTGGGTATTTGGTGACTCCGCATCTATTGACTAGTGGTCAACCCTACTGATAGCTGAGTTGCAGGCAAGGGCATACATGGAGGAACTTACGACGACGTCAGTGATGAATACGAGCTGGCTAAGTCATCATCGTATCCGAGAGGCGAATCTAACTGAGCCTGCTGAATGAGCAGGTTACAGTCAGAGCATAGCTCAGTGGAGGTTGCACCAGTGGCATTACTATTCCACCTGAAAAAGTCAGGAAAGCAGTAACCTCCCGTAGCACTGGCCTTAAATGTCAATTCAGCTCAGCATGTTGCTACAGTTATGGTCATACTTACGGATTGTTCAAGCAAATGTAGTTGTATGTAAATAAGAGAATATCCGAGGCATACGTCGCGGGATATGTCGCATCCCCAGTGACTACCAAGTCCGAAGTGCAGCAATCTGAAAGCTGCTTTTGCCTCAAGATTTCTAGTTCGTTCAGACAGGTGGCTGTGCAGATATCAGGCAGATCTCTTGATGTGGGAATACGTTGTCCGATCGCGATTTCATAGAGTTTTAGGTTGCATGAGACTTTCTGATAGAAAGTGGCACTATGACAAGAAACAATTAGCATCCTGTGAGTTCACGATATTCAAGAGGGAGAGACGTACTTGCAAGTCGTGGAGAAATTCCCCGGTGCCCCGATCTGGACTCCTGAGAGGACTTGAGAGTACACAAGTGGTTGTAGGAGCAAGCTCCATAGCTAATCCAGATATTAGTCCATAAATGAGATCGCTTCCTAACCCCCATTCTCCAAATAAAAGCTTCTTTAATCGTCAAGGAATGGGAGCTCACGAACCTGGAAATAAAATAAGAAAGACATGAGTAACAGGTGCTTGAATAAGACAGATTCACCTCTCAGAGAGTTAAACTACTAAGAGAAGAGTGCTGGGTATGGGGGGCAGGGTTCAGAATTAAGAGACGAAGAATGTAGAAAGCAGATGGAAGATTTATATGGATTTTCTGCAAACCACCTCTAGGTATAGCATCTGATATGAGCCTGAGATATGGGTGGTTAGTCAAGTCTGCTGCATCAGAGGCAGGAGAGGATACTGTTGTGTTTCCAGGCCAGAAAACGGCTGCACGGTCATAGCCGGATTCAGTAAGGGGTATATCTTATCTCATACAATCACATCTCGCAAGTATATCATTTCTAGCAAACATCTATTTTCAGCGCACTCCCTGGATGCATATTACTATTTTCCCGCTATACATGAAGAGCTTTCGAACGGTACAACCCCCTTATGGGCACCTTACTCAGGAGGATGCCCCCCTGAATACAGCCCTTTCTTTACAATTAGGTCTTAGTGTGAGGCGTGACGCCCTGCCGTTGTCAGGGCACCGTTTATATGTAATTGAGGGCATTGAGTGGTTCCAAAATGCAATGCAGGAAGACATGGTTTTCATTGATCTATTCCTGACACTAACTCCCGGAACTCTTCGCAAAGCTTTTTTTTTTTTTATGCGGCATCGACGTCGATCATAACATTGTCCGTCCTCAAGATACCCGACGAGTCCTTGTAGGGCGATAATTTTCATCTTCAATACTACCCACATGCACTTAGTGTGTATAGAGAGTTTGCAGGTATGTTGGTGGGAATCACCTACGCCGCTACAGACAGAATTATTGCCAAGGCAACTGTTTCTGCCTGGTTTAATTGGTAAACGACACGAGGTAGCTTAGTATTTGATTCCAATTACTAAAGTGTTCGGATTTCTGCATTAGTTCTCACTTCAGCTGAGCGTCCGCGCTCAAGCTGTTGCTTTGTCCGAAGGCCCTGTTTCGGCTTCCAGCACCAAGAAGTACGAGTACTCGAAACGCAGTCGCTAGTGGAGATATCCGCTCCTACATAAATGCGCAGAAATGAAATACCTGGTATTCAGGTGGGTACATGTAGCTATCCAGCGGTGACCGAATTGACCGTGGTATTGTGGTAAACAACACAATAGACCTGAAACTACCTAACCTATTTGAATGGCTGTGCAAACTGTTTTACACACAAACAACTCTACGAGTTCGGTGACTCCGAGAATTAAAGCCATGTCACACACACTCAAAAAAGAAGAGAGATCGCACTAGTGTAGTCTGGTGGGTCAGCAAAAGTAGTAGCCTGCAAAATGCGTTCAATGCTATGTTAATAGACGGTCTAGTACGTATGCCTCTCTGGCTGTTGAGTACATGTATCTTCCAGAAATAATAGGGCTTGTGTAGTGATCGGGTCCACCGCAACAGCAATCCCTTATAAGCAGCTAGCTACGTTACAGTAATTGCTACAATTACGATTGTTAGCCTAATCTTTTGCTCTGTTGGCGCTGCGGTATACCGGAGTGTAACACTTTGCCTCTGCGTCCCTCCTGTGAATAAATTCCTTAAAGCCATCGCTTTGCTGCTAGGGTCACAAATTATAGGGAAAAGTGCAAAAGCTAAGAATTCACTTAAGTGAAAGAGACGAAATTATCATCCACCGTGTTTGGCCATTCATATCCAGGTTCTCTTCTCTTTCTTTTTCTTTCCGTTTTTGTTGAGGTTGGGGGCCAACCACCGTCACATTCCCTTAGTTTCTAATTCTTAGAGGGCCCAACTATTTGTCTACTACCGTGTTGCCAAACTTAGCAAGTGTTGACTCCCGGATATAGATCCTACGATCCTATTCCCTAGGAGGAGAGTTCTGTCCACATGTAGCTGACGTTGATAATAAAATGACCACGCAAACAGGCAAACAGGCAAACAAATACGGGTGGAGGTTATGTCTAAGATAATTTACAACCGCTCCCACGGGTAGCAGCATATCGGCTGAATCTTTACCCAATGGAATAGTAAGCACTAAGTCCTCATTCACATGGGAAGCGGCATGTTGATGGATGGCAATCGTTTGGTAATAGACGCCAAAGTCTCAAGTCAGGGATTACTGTGTATGTTACCGGGTCAATACTTTGGATGTTTCGGAACTCTATCCTTTTCTTCAATAATTGCTTTCTAATTTGACTTGTTTGTGAGATAACAACACTACCATATCATTTTCAGCGGCTTGTTACTGCACTCAAGGCAATGGCTCTTATAGACTTCACAACCGCTCCTCTGAGGTTCGATCTCAACCTTATTGCAACTACTCACCGCACTTGAAACTCTGCTCTTTGGAAGCTATTTATGAAGAATACTTCGACATCTTTCACATACTTATTCATCGCTCGATAACCTCTTCAAAATGAGGCCACATCGGTGGATATACTTCTGCTGCGCTCTCTTACCCCTTTGCTTCATTTCCCTTTGCCTTTTCGCTCTTGATCCGCCGGCTGGCCGGTTTTCGGGCCATGACACAGAGGCTGTTGAATCGTCAGTGTCTAGTCAGTTGGATATGATCTCGGCTTCTTTCATCTCAGGCTTGAAACGCACGGATATTGATCATACCTGCGATGCGGTAAGATATCTACAGCCCAACCAGGGGGAATTTAACACTGACTAGGTACTACAGAGTACTCCATGCTCAAACGGAGCTTGTTGGTACGTGTTTTACGACCCTGGGGAATATTTTATGGATACAATATTGACTTCTATGCAGCGGCTCCTACCAAGGCACTTCTAAAGGCATTTGTGGTTTTGGTATTAATTCTTTGCCTTGTATTATGAACCATTACTGATGTTTTCCAGGGCCAACGTATTGCGGAACTGGCTGCACATCCAATTGCAACGCTACAGCTGAATGTGGGTGAAATATCCCCGTATATTCTCACGAGTACTAACAACAACAGGTGGAGAATTCGCTCCTCCAGGGAGAAAGTCTTGCCCTTTGAACGTTTGCTGCTCACGATTCGGGTACTGTGGAATAGGGTCTGATTTCTGTTCTAACGGATGCCAGAATAATTGTGTCCTGAAACCTGCTGTACCAGCCGGTAGAAACTCAGGCAGTGTGCTCAACAAGGTGATTGGGTACTATGAAGGATGGTAAGGCCAAGTCTCTCAGGTCTACTGTTAAGAATGGTAATTTACATATTCGCAGGACAAACGCACGCACTTGTTACGCATTTCCTCCAAGCTCTATTCCTACTGATGGGCTCACACATGTTAACTTTGCATTCGCCTACATTGACCCAGAGACGCATCAGATCAGCGTCATGAGGTCTGACATGCCAATCTCTCTGTTTACTGAAACAGCTGATCTCAGAACTCTCAACACTGGCGCTGGTGATGTCGAAATCTTTGTTTCCATTGGCGGATGGTCGTTCTCAGATAACTTTACGGCTACTCAGCCAGTTTTCTCTGACATTGCAGCAAGCGACACAAACCGGAAGAAATTCGCCAATAATTTGGTCAGTTTTCTAAAAGAATACGGGTTTGACGGTGGTAAGTCTTCGTTGTGCTTCCTTTAACCTCACCATTTGCATCTCAGATGCGCCTTTTATGGGCGGAACATCAATCGTATGACTGATGTGGTTTATTCTAGTGGATTTTGACTGGGAATATCCCGGAGCTCCCGACAGAGGTGGTAGGAAAGAAGACACGGAGAATTATGTCCTTCTCTTGCAGGCTGTGCGGGAAGCTTTTGATGATTCCTATAGGTCATTTGGGATCACGTTTACAGCCCCCAGCTCCTACTGGTATTTACAATGGTTTGATCTTCCAGGCATGATGAAGTACGCAGATTGGATCAACCTCATGAGTAAGAACCCGACTATGATTGCCCCCCACTCTTGGCTATCGAAACTAACAAGAAATCAGCCTATGATCTCCATGGAGTTTGGGATTCAACGGATCCTATTGGGAGCATTGTACAGGCGCACACTAACCTTACTGAGATCAAAGCATCAATAGATCTTCTCTGGCGAGTGAACGTTCCCCCCGAGAGAGTCATCATTGGTCTCGGCTTCTATGGCCGTTCTTTCACGTTATCGGATCCGTCTTGCGCATCACCAGGTTGCCCATTCTCTAGTGCTGCGGCTCCAGGCACATGCTCAAATAATGCCGGTACACTAGCGTACTTCGAGATCATGGACATTCTCGAAAAGCAGAGCCCTGATGTGATTTGGGACAAGACCAGCGCAGTCAAATATTTCCAATATGGAGCTAATAGAGATCAATGGGTAAGCTACGATGACAAGGAAACATTTGCGCAAAATATAGAATACGCCAACAGCGTTGGGTGAGTGCATTTACAACTACCTATGTTTTACAGCAAATGTCTAACAGAAACCTAGACTTGGAGGGGTGATGGTTTGGTCCGTTGACCAGGACGACATGCATTTCAACGCTCTCAGGGGCCTCCTTGGCAAAGATATCAGCGGTATTACCAGGAATTCGGTCATTTCCACTTCAGTAGCTGGTAGCTGGGCTAGTCAAAATGGTCAACACTGCACCCAAACAGATTGTCTCAGTGACTCGGACATCGGATCGTGGGGCAGTGGCTTTGCCATCGCACCCAACGGCGGTCCGTTCAAGGATAGCTGTGGAAGTGGGAAGAGTAAGTACATTATCTGTCCCATTGATGCTATGCCCAGCAACTGTCAATGGAGAGGTGGCGAGAGTGGCAGGGCTTGTCATGGTCAATGCCATGGGGGCGAGGTCACTTTGTTTCACTCCAATCATGCTACCGTCAATTGTCTGAAACCCGGCCAACAGTCATTTTGTTGCCAATCCAACACCTGGAGCTCTTTAGTTGGCTCCTGTGCCTGGTCTAATGACGTTTCCTGTCCATCTGGAAAGACTGGGGTTGCTAAAAGAATCACCTATGAGTCTGGTCCTACTGAAACTGTGGATAAGGATGTGATCACAATACACCAAACCTATTGCTGTGATTCCAGTTTCGATGCTTGTCATTGGATTGGGAAGGGTACCTGCGACCAAAATCAATGCGCCGAGTAAGCTCTGATACCCCTCCCTTCGTTTCATCGACATTCATTAACGCCAGTAGCTAGGAAATCGAGTTGACCACCGACGAATATGGAAACACAACTTGGGCTTGCGCTGGCCAATTTCTCAACCGTCAAAAGGTGTTGTGTTGCGCTCCGCCACAGAATCTCAATCCATTCTTGCCAGTGCCACTGGAAAATATCGTAAGAAACTTATAATTACTGATTTATCAGTCTCTTACTCACTTCATTTGCTGACAAAATTCCCAAGTTCCCAACTTTACCACCCACTACCAACGTCCCAAATTTCCACGTTGCGTCCATTCAGAACTCGCCATCATCTTCTGGCTCAGACACTGTTATTGGTGCTTTTGGGAGTAAGTAAATTGACCACAGTCTGGCACTCAGAATACCAACAACGCTATGGTTTAAATATATTCCCTTTACTAACTATGTGTGTGTAGTGGTGGTAATCGACGGACCGCCAGACGTAGTGACTAGTCTTGCTGCACGGGACGAATCACATATCCAATTTTTAGATTGTGAGCCGACTGAGAAGCGCGATGGCAAGTCCATCTACACAACTCGTTACATTTGTATGAACGACTCACCGCAATCCAACTGCGGTGCAGTTCATGAGGGTGGAGCCAAAGGCACCATTGTGAAGCTCCCCGAGGGCTGTGGCTTCGCAACATATGGCGTCGTTAAAGATATCCGGTTATCAACTAACCACACCGTTGACCACAATTTACGGAAAAGAGCCCCATCACCCAATCCTGTGGTGTACGAAATGGATATTTCATACGACTATTCTCTTGTCAAGCGTGACTCTGGAACTGTGTATGTTCGTATCGACTACGGTGACAGCCTTGGCTACTGGAATGACATTGTGTTAGGAAAAGCCATTACGAAGAGAGGCATGAACGAATCCTTCGATAAGCGTTTCTGGAGCCCAGATCCGAAAACATGGTTAGAAGAGCTTGCTCCAATTCGCCTCAACGGTCAGCCTGCAGCGTACTCGCTAGATCTGGAGCAGGAAGATTTTTACCAACTTTTGTATTCCCAAGACGATTCAGCCAAATGTGGTGGAAAAGATGGCTTCATGTCTATTGAACTAGATGGTTCAGGTCAGTATATTTAGCAATTCTCGGTCCCATACTTATAGCCCTTATTGCCAACTTTGACATGGCTGAAGCACCCAAAAACACTCAGGCTGGGTGTTACATGGGAATACTCTGTTCCATTTCCTATAACTTTCTCCACCTTTTATTATACCCCTCACTACTTCATTTTAGTTGTGCAATACTAACATCTATTCAGTGAAAAATGGAATTCGATTTGGGGTAACTATGGTGGGGACGATCGCTCCTGAAATCAGCTTCGAAGAAGCGTATGGGTTTTTCGATGTCGACATGAATCTTACAGGTCGACTCATGATTAATGGACAGGCCTCCATCAACATTGTTGGTAGTACAAAGCCTGGGTCTGTTTTTGCAACAGACCTTTCGAACTTTGGATTTAGTGAACCAGGAATAGTTTCATTCACTCCCAAGATGAACATTGACGCGAGCATGACCGGAAATGGCCAGATTTTCTCCGACCTCGTCCTTTACTTCAATTCTGGAACCGATGGCTATGCACGAACAAACGCACCGTTGTCGCTAGGCGAATTTCAAGGTGATCTGGCCCGTCATACAGGATCCGATCGTGGGTTCGGGTTTGCTGGTGGTTTGACCGGGTCCACGTCAGAACCTTTGTCCAAGAGAAACTCCGACACGACACTATTGGGGGTGTATCTGGATATGCGAACATGGCTTGATATCGATGTTTTCGGCATGGGTACGAACGTGGAAGCCGCAGACGCAAAGTTTTCGGTAGATGTTGGACACTATTTTCGCATTATCAGCAGCAGCAGCAGCGGCAATATTAGTGTCATCGGTGGTGATAGCCAGGTCGGTGTTGAGGTTTATTCCAGTGGAATCTCGTCGGAATGGGAGAAAGATGACACAAGCCATCTGGTTGGCTCTCCTGGAATGCCATTCATTTATATGACCGGTCCTTCATATGCTGCGCCTTCCCGTACACCTCCCGACTGGGGCAGCGATGGTGTAATCGATGGTGATTACTTTGGCTGCACTAATAATGGTACGAAGCAGCTTAGGTGCTACGCGAGCAGTAATATGTCAAAATTCGATCCAGATTGGCTCATTGATCCAGAAGATGGCAAACCCATCGAAAACGAGAAAACAACGAAGCGGGATTCTTTTCCATTCTCTGAGCTCCCAATGGAACCAAGGGGCACTGGAAGTTCAAGAGAGTTTACCGTCACAACTCCTTCTGGCGCCACCTTCACTATCGTTTCTCATACATATCCAAATGGGCAAAACGGTCTGTTTCTCCTGAGTGTCAATCAAAACGCAGGCTATTATGAATTATCCAATCCACTGAACTGCCAAGATATAACCGTTACTTCTGCTGGTGACCCAAATTCTAGCTATGTGACGGAACATATTGTCGAATTAAGCACATTTGGTCTGATACTCGAATGGATGATGCGTGGCAACTTCACTCAAAGTGACGGCACCGTTATAAGAAGTTCTTTCACACCGGTTCGTGAAGATGTATTGAATGTTTCAAGTATCTTTCAGACGCCTTGGAATCAATGGTCAACTGTGAATTCCGCATCAACCCCGATGGATGACATCTGGACCGCATTTGGTGATAGAACAAATCCTAGCGTGCTTGTCAACTGCGAGAGTAATTTCAACGGCGTCAAGATGCAGATTTGGCGAGGGAATAACCCTATGGCAGACACAACCTGGGATGGAAACGACTTTGATGATACAAGCGAGAGAAGCGGCTACTTTTCAGCTCAGGGCGGCTTGTCCACCATTCGTCTTGCAACTGCAATTTTCTCCTACCTGAATGAGCAGACAATTCATGCTAATATGGTGACCATTTTGAATTCCATGCATTCGACATTCCAACGATTTGATCGTGAGGTCGCACCCACACTCGCTATTAATTCAGCGGGGATTTTTTCGGAGTTCGTCTACTATGTGCTAATTCCAAGGCTTGAAGCAGTGCAGTCGTGGGCGGAAGATCGCATTCGAGGGATGATGAACGCGTGGCAGGCCGTACCAACATCCTCCGCACAAGCGGAAGATGCGCGAGAGATATTGGCAGCACTTGAAAATCTCCTAGATCAGATGGAGGATGCAATTCTGATTGATACCGAAGGATTTGACTTCAAACCACCTTCTCCTACAAGACGGGATCAGGGCAAGCGCTCATCGACAGGCGAGGCTACCAATTAATGGGCAATTAGTTCCAAGAACATAAGGAAACTTTGGAAGAGATATTGGGCTATTAGTCGATACTTGAAAGAGGCAGCGGTCGCAGCAAGGTTCCCTATAGCCTTGCATTTCTCCGTGCTCACAATAACCTTCCTAAATCTTGCACATCAGAGTTCTCCCAGCCCTCGCACGCTTCCATGTACTCTTCATACCTGTATATACAAGTTAACTAGGGGTGCAAAGCTACAGGTCGTCAAAAATGTGCGTAGGTAGTTATAATTCTCATTTACAAATCCATGACACCCATTTCACCTTCTGCTGTATGTGTATCTGTACGATTGTCACCACAACAGAATGTGTACATGCCTTGATTAGAGAACCGACTCCGTAAGAATAACCCGTGCCAAAAGATTGAGTTTTGGAGTGGTTACTTGAATCACTTTTCATTTAGGGAGTGGTTATCCAGCACCATGTTGCTCCAATTCAATGCCGCTAGGTTTGTAATAATAGCATATATTAGAGGAGTATATAGATAGTAGCAGAATTTATGTTTTACTGTCTTCGAATGGCAAGGGTGCTTCAAAACCACCGTCATGTTGACAGTGGGGGTGTTTCTTGAAGCATTGAATCCATGACTTTACGTTGACATGCGCTTTCCAACCCACATATCGTCCTATATACTCGTAAACATATGGTTCATATGTTATATTGATGGTTATAAGCACTCTGGATAATACAAACCAATCATATAGGGAAATCACTAAGTAATCGAGCGCAATTTCTCAAAGAGTAGTTATCGCTAGTTCTCATTTATTGTTAGCAAAGCTTGAGTGCAGGTAATCTCTGGCGCTTTTCTCATACAAAAATTCTACTACTGTTACTAAGTATTATCAACCATGGCGACTTCAAAAGCAGCGTATCTCGCCGGAAAAGTTATTGGTCATAATAATGCAATCACTAAGCAAGATGTCTCTAGCTACCTGTATTCAGAGGATAGTTTTGATACTATGAAAGTTTTGGTCCGAAAAGGAAATCACAAGGTCGAGATCGGTTCAAAATTTATTCCTCAGCCGATGTCCCAAACGCGCATATTTTGGAGGATACCGACGTAATTCTCAAAGTCACTGGTTCCACCGTCTGCGGGTTGGACTTACATCTCCATCATGGCGCAGTGGTTCAAATTGCCGACGGCGACATTCTGGGACATGAATTCCGCGGCATCGTAGAGCTAGTTGGCCTTGCTGTCAACAAAGTCAAGTAAGGGAGAGAAACGTTTTTTTTTTTTTTTTCAGATTGTTTGGTGGGGATTGCTTCTTCCCTGAATGGAGGGAGGACGACTGGTATTTTTAGGTATTCTCATCTCAAAAGTGAATTCGGTGGTGGGCAGACAGAGTATATCTGTGTACCACTAGGTGATGTGAATTTGCTGGGGATTTCTGATAATATTATGGATGAAAAGGGTGAGCATAGCTTCGATTACAATAATGTCGAGTTCTAAATGATCAGAAAACTAATGTATTATTTAGCGCTAAATGTCTCTGGCATTCTCTGCACTTCGTATCACGCCGTCAAAGATACAACTGTCTACCAGGGCGATCAAGTGGCCATATTTGGCGCAGGTCCCATTGGACAGATGGCTAACATTTTTGCCTTTAGAGAGGGAGCATCCGAAATCATATTTGTAGACACCGAGTCGCGACTTACTTTCATGAAGCAGCGTTTCTCTACTGAGCACAACGACAAACTTCTTCTGATCGATAATAAGACGCAGCCGCACGGTATCGCTTCCAAGGAAACTGTTGTCAGCAAACTGAAAGACATTTGTGACGGCCGAGGACCTGCTGTCGCTTTCGAGTGTGCTGCAGGGTAATACGCCATGGGATGGATGCATTGACTGGAAATGACAATTGATGCTGATACTGACACGAGCGAGATGCTCAATGAGATGATTAAAAGAGTTCGCAATCATAGTCACTGTAGTATCACGGGTGTTTATGTTGCATACTTAAGTACATATCTCGATTGTTCTATCGAGATGCTGAACACTAATAGACTTAGACGAAACCATTTCAATGTCGGTTCACTCATGCAGAGAGGTATTCGCCTTATCGGAAACGGCCAAGCACCGGTACACAAATACTACGAAGAGATGCTTGCCAAGATCCAGAAAGACGAACTCGACCTCCTGCAGATGGTCTCTCATAGAGTCCGATTGGAGGATCTAGACAAAGTATATGCAAATTAGAAATTTGAAGCGAAGGGGCGGAGGCAAAAGGTGCTTTTCGAGACCAAATTCTCTCTGCCCAAGGTTCCGGAGTCCCTTGAAGTAACCCCGTATTAATTGATTCTGAAATCCTATCCTACCTATCTAGTATATTATGTCTTTTTAAAGTTCCTATCTATTTACATGTTACTGTTTCGTGATCTCGCTTATTCTATCTATCGCTTGATCGCTATTTCTCTATGACTTCACATTCTCTTAGTCTTGAGAAATCGTGCTGACATACTACGGCCTCTTCTTGATTGGTCAATCAGCCTATGCATGTATGCAGCAGGTCACGAGGGTACAAAAGAGGTAGACTAAAGCATACTGATAGTAGGTACTAAGGTACCTAGGCAGCGATTTCTTGAACACTACAAGCAACAAAAAATCGTACTTTCCCAGTTTGACTTAACCGCCATGAATCAACCTGAAGTTGTCAATTACAATGAACTGGAAGCGGCACTCCAGGAAAGAGAGCAATGGCAAGGAGTCTGGCCTCCAGTCCGCGTCATTGACTTCCATGATGGGAAAATAAGTAATCCATAGCAATCAGCTCTCAAGATATGGTCGAAGTTAACCGGTTCAGCAACCGATCATGCCTTTGAACTTGCTACCGAGCTGGAGGGTTTTTTAGTATGGCGCCCCGCGATGAAAAGCTGTGCGCTAACTAAAGACGCAGAAAGAGAAACCGAAAGCACAGCTACGGCTAATGTAGGTCTTCTCTTCGCTGTTATGCTACAATGGCTACTAAAATGGGTTCACCACAGTCTACTAGAGACTCGCCAAGTCACCCCTAGCAATAAGAGTCCTTGGAAAAGCGAAGTTATTTCCGCTGCAATCAACCCAACAATACTAAGATGCCTCCAAAAGCGCGCAGGGTTGTTCAATACCTTCATTGAGGCAACTTGCGGCATTGGGCACTGGTACTCAGCAAAGCATATGTGCTACGATAATAAATTCGAAGACTTGATATACCAAACGAAATTTGGTACCGTGCTACTCTTGGTATGAACAGTCCAATACTTTTAACTAATAAGAATTAGAGGTTTTCTACGAGTATATCCCTCAGGAGAAGAAACACTCATGCACACAACTCTCAATAGACGTCAACTCAATTACTTATTTCTTTCTCGACCTTCCAGGATCGGTTCTTGCGCGGTTTATGGGAGATGTAGCCAAGAATTCTCAGCTCACCACGCGCTTCTTTTACATAGATACTTTGATTGCGGATGAGGCAATGAGGACTTGGCAGAAAGACATTGCCCTGAAGCGCACGGAGCTTAAATCTCTTGTAAGAGCGCATGCGAGGTGACATCTTCCACAGTCTGCTAATAAGATCTAGGACAAAACAGTCGACCATTCAGAAGTTAACAACCAATCTATCCATGAGCTACATGCCCTGGCTCGGGAGTGGCATATGCTAGCACGAAATCTTTCCGACTATGCCGCTCTTCTAAAGTTTTTCAAGAGTACCTTATCAAAATACTCTTCAATAACAAGCTCCTACGCGATTCCAACGGTGCAAGATATTGCGATACTAAACGGTACTCTCGAGTATCTGGATTCAAGTTGTCAATCACTGACCTACTTGATATCCGACTATAGCGGTCGAACCAAAACCCGAATTGACTTGGTGAGGAAGCTAAATGAATGACCTTGGCTTTACATACTGACGCAGAAACAGCTATACCATCTTGCCAACCAAGCAGAGAGTCAATCAACCCGAGAGCTCGCCGAGCTTGCACGACAAGATAGTGCTGCGATGCTCACCATTGCGGCAGTGACTCTATTGTTCCTCCCCGGCACATTTATTGCGGTGAGAATCCTATATTTCCCATTACTTATGGCGCCATGGCAGCTAATTGTCTACATACAGTCGATATTGAGCACCACAATTTTCAACTTTGCTGATGGAGAAATGCAAGTTTATAGAAAGTGGTGGATATTCCCCGTCACCGTAGTGCCGTTTACTATTCTTGTGTTTGTCGCCTGGTTTGCCTGGCTTGGCCAAAAACGTGTGGAAAGGGATCATAAATTATTATCCAAATAGTTTATCGCCGAAATAGTAATAGACCTAATCCATGTAGATGAACTCCATTAGCACCCTATTCATCTAGGTCTTGGGTGTCTATTGTAATCGACACATCTGTTCTTCCCCTTCCATGTATCCAGGCCATCCAACGTGTACTTACCGTCTAAGTATCGGACTAAGAAGCCCGATACCGGGAGTAAACTCCGTTGTCTTCCGCCTCAGTCAGTTCAGGTATGTTAATGCAGAGTCGAAGACGAAAGAAAATAGACGACAGAGTATCTCATCGCGCTGGAAGAGACATGACCCAACTCTCTTTTTCCCCATTAATACACGCAATCGTTGTAGACCACGTAGTAACGACGGCTATCCTGCCCGACAGTAGGCCGTCGTCGCTTCGATATCGTTTGCATGTCAACATCGATGAAAGACAAAAAAGCACTTTTTCATCACGGCATAGGTCATGCGTTTAGCTTCATAATTTTTGAGAATGGTGTTTCGTTTTTAGCCGTTCACATTAATAAAGTTTAGAAGCGGCAAGGGATGGGTCGTAAGGAGCATGTTCATAAGTGATGGGCTCATTTGGCTTATGAGGTTCGTACGGGGCACGGTCCATGCGAGAGCTGCGTGCTTCAATAGGCACAGGCACAGGCACTGGCCGACTGGAATCAGCAGGAGCGAGTTTGGGAGAAGCAACAGATGCCGCATGGCTAACCATGGAGTCTCTTCTGTCGAGCTGTGAGCCCTTGGCTGTATGCCGGTCCATGTGACGCTTCAACAAATCGCCTCGAACAAAGGTGCGAACGCAGTTTGGGTACTCGCAGCGGAAAATCTGTTTAGAGTTATGATTAAGCTGATGTCGATATCTGGGATAATATTAGCCGGGCATATCTGATGCGGGTGTCAAAGATGCAGATGCTGTATATCCCGCACTCTGCAGAGGCACAAGGGTGTTATAATTAAAAACGGTATTAATTCCCAGTTACCATCTAATAGAGAAAAAGCAAGGAAGATATGTGTAAATAAAATAGTTAACTCACAAATGCTCTGCTCTTGAGTAGCTCTTCCCGCAGCCCTCGGCGTTGCATTCGAATCTCCTCTCGAGGCCCTTCCGGCTCTGCATCTGCTTGCGTGTTGGCTCTTCGGAATTTGACGAGACCTCAAGCTGGTCGACGGTGCTTTCCTCGGCGGTTATGTGACTGTCGTTATACGTACCTCCAGGCGTACTGTCATCGACTATCACGGGGCGACGACGGCTGTCCTCCCCGGCAGTGTTTCTTCGTCGTGGCATAAATCGCTCGAGCAGACGCTGGCGCTGAGCCTCTTCTTCGTCGTGCTTCTCTTTCTCACGGTAACGAAGATCTTCCTCGTAGATTATAGGCTTCCTTTCATACGCCTTCATCTTGTCATTGGGCTCATCATCACCGGATTCAACAGTCGTCTGGCGAGCAATTAGCCGATCTTCGTCTTCCTGTTCATCATCTCCCTCAATGCGGCGAGGCCCTGATCCTCTTTCGGTTTCCCGTGGTCCAGGGATGCGAAGGATTTCATTGGGTTTGTTTCGCTCTCTCTCCATTCTAAGAATATCCTCCACAGTAGGGCGTCGTTGGGGAAACTTAATAGGGTCGCTACCCATGCCATCACTTCTCTTAACAGTATCGGCCATCGTCTTGTCATTGGCACCATCATCATCAACCACTGCTGTTGTTGTCTCCAATGGAGTATACGGCGGAGCGGGAGGCGGCACGGTGTGGCGCTTGTTGATCTCAGTATTAGCCTCGGCTATCTTGTCAAATTCGATATGGCCAACTCTCTTCAGACGAGGACCAAAGTCTTCTTCTACACCAGGATCCACCTCATCAGCCTTCTCCAAGATGGCCTGGGTCGGTAGCGAGGATGCAGCCTGTTGTGGTCGAGCCAGCACTCTATGGAAAGGCAGAGACTTAGATGTGGGCGTGTACAGCCGGAGTTCTGGGGGGTCGTCAAGGTCCTCAGCAAGATCTGAACCATCTGAAGCATTGGCCCAAGAAGACAACTCGGTGTTAGACAGCTTGGCGTTGGTCCCTTTGAATCTGATAGTCACATCATCCGGCTGAGCGAAGGACTCTGGCTCGTCTTCAGTATTCAGTCGAGAGGGGGTGGTTGCTGCTTGGTCCAGGTCGTCTCTGCTCGGCTCGCTCTTCTCATCAACCCTGTTGGGCCTCAGAGTCTCATCCTCGGATTTCCACCTTTCGAGATATTCAATGGACTTGACTGTAAGTGGATGCTCTGGACCCAATACAGAGCGTCTGGATTGCACGCACTCTTCCATTAGCGCAAGTGCATCATGGTGGCGGCCTTGCATTTTCCAGGTGTGAGCAAGGTTGTGGATGGCGAATAGAGTATCCGGGTGCTTCTTCCCAAGGAGTTCCTGCCTAAGATCAAGCACTTGAACTTCCATAGCTTCTGCCTCGCTATACCGGCCTTGTGCATGATATAGCGATGCTAGGTTTGCCATACTTAACGTTGTCTCTGGGTGCTTTTCTCCAAGGACTTCCCGTCTAAGATCAAGCACTTGTACTATAAGCGCTTCCGCTTCGTTAAGCCGGCCTTGATTATAGTATGTTGCTGCAAGGTTTGCTATGCTCCGAATTGTGTCCGGGTGCTTTTCTCCAAGAGCTTCCCGTCGAAGATTTATTCTGTTCTCTGCAGCTGACTCATTATCCTTATCTTCCTCGGCTTCTTTAGGCGTTGTTATTGATATCACATCCGGCGCTTCATATGAGTTCTCTTCCCATACGTCCTCAATGGATTCCAACTCAGGGTCTAAAGAGTTGCGACGCTCCATGGGGGGTTGGGCCTGGTAGTTTGGCACGCTCTCAAAGCTAGGTAAACGCTCATCCTCAACATCCACAGATGTCCGTTCTAAATGATCCGGTGCTTTATTCTCAACAAGTGTGCCTGGTATTGCCGGAGGTTCATATGCTTCATCATTGTCGCCATAATCATACGCCAGCTTGTCGTCAAAAAGTTTACTTGGTTCGTATTCATCATCATCGTCGTCATCCTCGTGCGTATCAGATGCCGGTCCTGAATTTTCTGGTGCCTTATTCTCAAAACCTGTGCCTGGTATTGCTGGAGGTTTGTATTCTCCATCGTCGTCGTGGAAATCGTGCATATCATATGCCGGTCTTGAAACTTTTTGCAGCTTCGTGCGGACATAGTTCCAGCCGTGAGCCTTCTCCATGTGCTGCTTGCAGTTTGACTCACGCTTCGACTTATACGGGCAAGGCTTAAAGAGACATTCAAACATAGCCGGGGCATCCGAGTGCTTGTCGTTGATGTGGCGGTCCATTTCTTTCTCGGTGGGCCAGCCGTAGTCGTGGTATTTGCAAGTGGGTATGGGGCACTTCCAGGGACGAGAGTGAGTCTTCTCATGCTTAGTGAGGTCGCAGGGGCGCTTAAACTCCTTGGTGCAGCCAGGCTCGCGGCATTTCTTAGGAGCCAGCTCCTCAGGGCTGGCATTCTTCTTCCGACGGGCCATTTGCCGCATAATCTCCTCTTCTTCCTGACGCTCCTCGCTTAGGGAGCGCTTAGATTCGCCTAAGTTGATTACCTTTCCGGTGGCTATTGAGATAGCAGTGCCGTCCTTCTTAATGCGGACCAGCTCAGCAGGACGGCCATTCTCAGCGATGCCGCCGTAGAGGCGAACCTCGTCAGTTCTTGACAGGGCATTAGCAGGGCTCACTAAGTCTACGAGAGGTATAAAGCGCGGTACATACTGGTCAATATCCATGTCGTCAGCGAGGCTGCCCTTTTCCTTGATGGCCATTGAGATGGCAGTGCCGTCCTTCTTGATGCGTTCTAGCAACTTGTCATCAAAAGGACTTTCTGGTTCGTATTCATCATCATCGTCACCCTCGTGCATATCAGATGCCGGTCCTAAACTTTCCGTTACCTTATCCTCTAAAAGTATATTTGGTCTTGAGGATTCAGGTATAGCACCAAGCATCGATAGCTCAGTTGACGAAGGTTCGTATTTATCCTCGGCATCGTCATTGTCGTGTATATCAGATGCTAGTTTTGAATTTTTCGTTACATCATCTAAATTATCATCTAGATATATCTCGTCGTCCATCTTAACATCCACATCGTCATTTAGGTCGGCTACCATAGCAGTTGTGGGCTCGAGATTATTGGCGTAGGTGCCAGTTATTTGTTCTTGCTCAGGGCTAGTCGAATTAGGCTCAAGAGCAGATAGTGCGTCAGGGGCATCATAATTCATGACTGGGGCTTCATTTGTTTCCGGGCGAGAGTCTCGGCGGCGGAAGGCCGGGTCGTCAATTATAATATTAGGATCGAACCCGCTCTCCTTCAGGCCGGCTGCCACAGTAGCTTCAAATTCGAGATCTTCCAAGCAAGGCGTAGAAGACTGTTCAAGCTTGGGGCTAACCGACCTAGGGCCAAGAGTAGGTGATGTGCTGTTGACATTATCATCGACAGGCAGATCTGGGCTCTGCAATCCAGTATCTCGATCGAGTTTTGTAGTCGTTTCGGCTTTGCTAGCGACTATCGAGGCGGCGATCGTGTCCCATGCGCTACCCTTCCTCCGACGGCGTTTGGGGGTTTTATTAGCCTCAGATAACTCCAGATCATTTAGGGATTCGTCATCGCGATTATTTTCGGGGGATTCGACTGTTAAAGAGTGAGTCAACCTATTCGTCACCGAGTGGCTACTCTTGTTCTCCTCTAATATAGGCTCCAACTTTAATTCGGTGGTTTCCTGGCCAGTTGGTTCAGATGTCTCTGCAGGAGGAGCCACCTCTTCTAGCAAACCTTCCATCGAATCCTCTAGTATAGGGGATATTTGGCCGCTGAATGGTGCATCTCGGTCAAATTCGCTGTCACCCACAATAACATCTCTCTCCTCTTGCATAATTGTAGGCAATTCTTGCTCTGTGTTTGGCTCGCTTGTTACAGCTGGCTCGTCAAATGCTTCATTGACGTTGTCGTATACTTGTACAATTGCCTGCATGGATGTCTTGGGGAGCATAGGACGAGGGTTTCGCATACTAGCCGCGCGCTTTCCACGGTCACGGATGCGCTCCTTCTCAAACTCTCTGCTAAGCTGCTCAAAGTGCTTCGCCAGGGTGGTAACCTTTGATTCCTTCTTCTTAGGTACAAGGCGTGGAATGCTCGATCCGGCCATTTTCCCACGATTTTTCAACACATTTAGGCCAAGTCGCTCAGACAGTTTTCTTTCCGATTTGATGGAGCCTTCTGACTGCTGATCTGAATTGGCAGTTTCTGGCACCTTTGCCACCGACTTGGACGAGCCAGCCAATTTACCAAGCGACTCTAACCCAGACAATGCCCGGGATGGCTGCGATATAGCTGTGGCCAATTCGTGGTCGGCTTCGCGCGATTCTTCTAGCGGAACTGATGCCAGTTCATCCACCCCGGAGTTCGATGAGATATGATCATCACTCTCGTAAGATGAATCACGGGACTTGAATGGTGGCTCATCTTCCTTAACCCTGTCCACGAGTTCCTGAACAGCATCCACGTCATGAGGTGGAGGCGTGACCACAGAATCGAGTTCCATGGGACGAGGTCCACTTCTCCAAGACTGGTAAGCTCCAGACTCAATGACCTTGTTCAGGAACTCGTCATTCTTTGCTGCGAGGTCATCGTATTGCCTTGGAACAAACTGAAGATCAAGGTCCGTGTCGGGAACTGGCATATCATCCTCCACGATGTCGTCATTATTTGAATCCTCATTGTCCTCTGCGTTTTCTGCTTCGTTTCCTTCCTGTCCGTCTTTCATAGTGATATCTGCTTCGGAGGCGATGTGAGATAGTCTCCCTAGATCGGCGCCTACTAAGGCGCTGTTTCCTTCGTCAATATCGACGGAATCACTCTTAGCGCCATCATCCAAGTCCCCGTCGTCATCCTGCAAGATTGCAGCGAAGCGTAATGTCAAAAGCATTAGGACCTGTAAATGTATCGCAACATGCCGAGCCACCGTCTTAGAGCGATCTTTGTTGCGTTGTCTTCTTTGCTGGTGTGAGTCTATGTCGTCTGAATCGGAAGAGGTATCAGAAACCTCGGGATCTGAGCTATGAGGATCGGGGTTTGTCATCTCAAAAGATTTCTTGGCACTTTTGCTAGCCTCTTGCTTTGGCTGTCCTTTCCGTCGTTTGGGGAATATCGCCTCGTCATTGTGTGCTTGCTCTTCTACAGCGAAACAGCATAAAAGACAATCGTTTGAAGCTCTCGGCTGCTCTGTCTTGCTCTGTCGTGAAATGGCCTGAAGTTGTGTGTTTGTGAAATCATTTATATGGGAGTCTTCCAGATGTGAGTATAAGGCTTGCGGGGTACTGTAAACGTCTCGATTGAATTCACAGATGGTACACACCCAACTGGATGTCAGGTAAACTTGCTGATGCCATCGCCAGCCGTGGAGTTCCATGTGCCTAAACCATTCGTCAAAGGTAGGGTAAGTCGGATGTGCTTCTGGACATTCCTCTGAGAGACAAACGTAAGGCTTAAGGTCTCGATCTACGTGTCGGCTGAGAGCATCTTAGCATTCCTCATCTCCAATTCTGATGTATGTCTCAACATTCCGAACTCCCATTATATCTTAAAGATAGTGCGGACAATTTGGACATCATAAAGGGAATAGTTGCATACCGCCATGCGCTTTCCGAGAGCTGTTGTTCACCAAGTGGTTCGGAACACCACTGGCAGGTGACGATATTTCCACCTTGATTTTTGACAGGCGGTCGCGGATAGTTGCCCCGATTTACCTGGATTGACGATGTTTTGTTATACCTCGTCGATGCTTCATCGGGCGGTCTGAGACGATTTCTAATACGGTGCATATTGACGCTAGACAAATCGGACTGAGAAGTTGCAACAGGCCTTGATATACGTATGAGTGGATTTTTTATTGTTATTGCCAGCTTCGTGATGCCAGTTCTGGTTTGTGTTTCGTCATTGGGTACCTCGTGAATCGGTGACAGCCCGATACGAAGCTCTCGACGGGTCTTGAGCTTGTTGTGGCGAGAGTCTAGAAATAACATTTTTGCATATCTGTCCGTCATTGATTTGCTGAGATAGGCTTTGAGAGACTGGTGGGCACCAGGATATAAAACTTGCACGGCGTTGGCACAGAGAGATGTAAATGAGCTTAGATCAAGGCCTGCAGCGAATTTCTTAGCTCTGTTATCGAACTTGCCACGGCCTGATTGGCGAATGGTAACCCCCAGGCGATTCAGTCGAGTGAGGGTATCGTCTATTGTTGTCAGAGTTGCCGTTTGAATCGCCTCTCTCTCTCCTTGGTTACAGGTTTCGATCGTGCACTGTTGCAAGCTGCGGCGAAGAATATCCAACAACCGAGCAACTAGATCCAGAAGATCTGGATGATTTCGGAGTCTCGTATCCAAGCATTGGCTCTTCCGAGCAAAAACGCCGATATGTGCTGCCCATATCGCAAAGCGTTGTTGAAACTCGGCCCATAACTCGATAGTTGGGTGTTCGGATTGTGTCGTCTGGAAGGTTTCTTGCAACTGGGCGAAGAGGCCTTCACATTCATAAGCTAGATTATAGAGGATGTCTTCATCCTCGATATTAGCCTGCATGTTGATGACAATTTCATGTTATGCATCGAACCATCGATAAGTTGAGGTTGTGCTTTGTTTAGTACGTGCGAACATCCTTGCTAAAGCGGGGAAGCAATAGTTGTGACACTGCGGCCCAATTTTGGGCTGATGAGGCAATATGCTGATGAAGGGTGCATGTACCCAGTACCTAGGTAGGCAGTGATAGTAGCAGAGGTAGAGGATTGAGTAATAGTACCTGCTCTATGGTAGTAAATTGGAAATAAATATATGTAGCGATGCTTTTGGTCGTACTAGTAGTAGATAAGAGTAGGTACTAGAGAAAGTCGCGATAGTAACGATAGTGAGCAAAAATGGCAGTAAATGTTAAGCTACGTAAGTACATGTACCTCTGTCCAGGCTACAAGAGATCCTAGCACAAAGAACTCGATACATGCAAGGGGACAGGTACATACATGGAGGGTTGTATTCGACACCACCTCTCTAACCAAGAACCAGCATCTCCACTATCCTTTCGCAGAGCCTCATCTCCTCCGCATGTCTCTCAAGCCATCGACTTAAGCCCTAAAGTTCCCATCTCTGACATGCCGCATCTCATTGAGTTGAACGAATGGCGATTGCTCCGGGGCTTGGGGTCTCTCCTAGACCACAGGAAGGCGCCATATCATGTGCAGTCTGGGTCACGGCCGCTCAACAATCTGAAAGGCATGGACCTTAACGCCGACTCATTCGAATTTGAGCTTCGCCGCACATTTATAGTCCAAGATTGCCCTCAAAGCCTGGCTCCAAAAGAGTTCGAGCAGTGTCAAGCAACGCTGAAAAGGCTCTGCAAGTTGTTAGATAGCCTTGTGTTGGATAGTCTTGTGTGGCCTAGAAGCGTCGAAGATGGGAAGGAGTTCACTCGTTTACGAGCATTGACTGGATATCTAGAGGCCACATCTGGAGCGGTTGACCTGGTAAATGGTTCTGGGTCTAATCAGACTCTGTTCAGACTTCCCAGCAACGCCAACGAACTCAGCAGTTGTCTACGGATTGTCACAGAATGCAACGATACTCTCAATAGATTAACTGCACCGGCTTCTCACGAACCAGCCATCCAGCCCCACCAAAAACAGCTGAAGAAACGGATGTGGAAGAAAGCTAGAATACGAAATCGATCCACATTCGTTCTTGGGACTTTATTTGAACACCTCAGATGCGGAACATCACATGAAGTTTTATTGAAGCTTATCGAGGACCCTGACGAGGATTCGGCATTACCTAGTTTGCAGCTCATGCTCTCGCCATGTCCCGAGTCGGAATTGTGGCAGGAAGTGCAGTGCGAATCTGTTAATCTGTATGTACATCACCCCCTACATTGTCTTGAAGGCAGCCTTTTACTTGTTTATTGTCAACTCACCAGATATTCAGAGGTGAAACTTCAATCTCGCGTATTCCCGATATCTGTACAGACATCCGACAGCACACCGGCCAAGGCAAAGCGTTGATGCTTCTCATCGAGAAATACGGGATATTCGGCGCCTGGGCAAATCCTACTTCCTCCGGGCCGGATCCTTCATCCAAGGAATCACTTGACCAACTCATCGAGAAGGGAGCGTTTAAGCCTCTTGATCTCAAAGCGTTGATTCATGGGGCGTCACAGGAAAAATTTAGCACCAAAGACAAGCGGGCACTTGCTGTCAAGCTTGGATTCTGCCTCATGGATTTCTTTGACGCTGACATCACCTCGAAAAGGATATATTTCTTAGATGCTTCAAACTCGGGCACCAAGAACGGACTCCCCTACCTGGCATTTGGCTCGAAGCTTCCCGCAACCGCCGATCCGTATAGCTTTCGAATGGGCCACCCTGCGCTGCTTTCTTTTGCAAAGCTCTTATTGGAAATAGACTTTGGCCAAAGTATCGATCTGGATATCAGCCCTTACAATAGCCAGAATCAGGCCACCTGGGCTAAGCTCATGAGCTCCGTAGACACTCTTGAAGAGGATAGAAACGACTCCTATCTCGAAGCCATTAGGGCGTGCCTCAACGTTCATCGCAAGATAGCCGAGAAACTGAGGTCTCATGACTTTGACAGCAAAAGTCCAGACTTAAAAATACGGAAAACGCTCTACAAGGAAGTTGTTCACAAACTCGAGCTGGCGTTTGCGGAGTCTATTCCTAGGCCGGCCCACAAGCGGCAGCGATCAGAGTCACCGCCTGCGTCTGATCGCCGGGACGAGCCTCAAGCCTCTTACTCTTGGAAACTGGCGGCACGATCCTTGGAGCCTCACAGATTAGCAACCGTACACAAGAAACGCCGTACCCCGGAACAACATAGCTGGTCATTCCGTGCTATGTCTCAGTCGGCGCCTAGTGAGAATAGTAGCTTATCTGATTACAGCATCACACAGTCCGAAACCTCTGTTGACAGCTCTCGGCCTGACACTCGCGAAGGCTTCCATATCGCCCTGATCTGCGCATTACGGGTCGAGTTTGACGCTGTAGAAGCTCTCTTTGACGAATACTACGAACAGGACTTCTCATACAGCAAAGCGCCAGGTGATCCCAATGCTTATACTACCGGAAGGATGTGCGGCCACGAGGTCGTCCTGGCCTTTATGCCGGGTATGGGTAAAGTAAACTCGGCAAACGTAGCGGCCGGATTCCGTGCCAGCTTTCCTGGAATCAAGCTTGGTTTAGTTGTGGGCATCTGCGGAGGCGTACCGGTTGGAAGGGATGACGAAAAAGAGGTGCTCCTTGGCGATGTTATCATCAGCACGGCGCTGGTACAGTTTGATTTTGGCCGGCAATACGCGAACAAGGTTGTAAGAAAAGACACGCTGCAAGACAATCTCGGCCGACCAAATGCAGAGATTCGCGCGTTTCTTGCAAAACTTTCCGGATTAAGAAGCCGTAAAATGCTAAGGGACAAAACGTCTTTCCATCTTGAGCAGCTTTGCAAACAAGAAGGCTTCCAAGAGTCTTCATATCCAGCAGAAAAGGACAAGTTATATCGGTCCGGCTATCGCCACAAACATCAAGACGGTTCTTGCAGCATCTGCGCCAACTGCATAGGCCCAGACGACGATGTCTGCGACGCCGCACTGGAGGCATCTTGCGATGAGTTACGCTGTCAGGATAGTGAATTGGTACCTCGGACCCGCGTTGACAAGACAAGATGTCTTGGTAATTGCAGATATACATCTACTGCAGAGATGCGTGAAGCACGGAAACCGGTGGTCCATTTCGGTGTCATTGTATCTGGAGATTCGGTCATGAAATCCGGCCATCACCGCGATGAAATTGCTTGCCGGGAGAAAGCCATTGCCTTTGAGATGGAAGGCGCCGGTGTTTGGGAAAGCTTCCCGACGGTTGTGATTAAAAGCGTGTGTGACTATGCGGATAGTCACAAGAATAAGAAGTGGCAGAGGTACGCTGCCGCGACAGCAGCTGCTTGCATGAAGGCCTTTCTGGGGGAATGGAGGCTGGCCCGCTAGGAGAGGTTGATATATCAAGTGAATCTATTTACATTACAATATTAGACATACCAACTACCTATTAGTAGCTATACTAAAATATACCCAAATATATTCCATTTACTTTGATTGCTTTTAAACAAGGCAGCTGATTCTATTGAAGCAACTGTTTCTTCACAAATTTACAGCGCGTAGCTTTTATGCCGCCCTCCAGTTTACATACATGTATTCATATTGTCTACCGGGTATCCTGATCGAAGGGAGTAGGTACATACATATGTACCTGGCATGTTCTTCCCTTGAATCAGGAAATTGAGCTACTGTGCACTTAGCATATTAAGCAAGACATGGATCACATAATGTGATGGCACACTTACTCAGTAGATTCTCTCTATATGAAGCACTTATGAAGTCGCAGCTTGATCGATCGATGGTTGGCCCGTGAAGTCATCCGTATTCGTATATGAAGGTTTAACCCATAGATCGCAGGTGGTTCAGCGCACAAACAGCTTGACTGGGGCTTATCTGCAGACGCGATTTGTCAGGGAGCAACCGGAAGGGAGAGTGGACCTGGAGATTGAAGCTCCGCTAGCCCACGTGGAGAAGAGGTAGAGCTGAATGTTGGGACGATTGCGGTAGCAAAACTACGCAGGGTATGCTTGTCTACGTGGCCGGGTTGGCGCATCTTCAAGGCCAAGCAGTGTCTAACATGGTTTGGACATCGTCGAAGAGAGCTGAAGAATGGCGAGGTTAGTGTAGACGAAGAGCTTCTGCAGGGTCTAATCAGCCTTTCAGTGCTATGATTGATTCAATCCCGAGGCTGTCTCGATGCATGTTACAGTAACACACGGGTTAAAGACACTCATGTCATGTTGCTAGCAATGGCCACTGCCGAAACAAAACAAACAAACAAACCCAGCCGCTTTAAACACGACGAGCTCATCTTGTCGACATCAACACGGCGATTCAACTGAACTGAACTGAACTGAACTGAACTGAACTGTCTTTCTGTGAGCAATTGCACTGCACTGCCCTTGCAGATGTTCTTGGCGCAGAGCAGCAAACATCATGCGGGCTTCGCACCCCCTGGCCACGCCATCCGCAAATATCCCTGCTTGCCAAATTTGCGACGGCTAGGGATTTTTTTTTCCTGCGTGCTAGCGAGAGCGAGATTGGGCATTGCTGATCGTCGGAGAAAGTGAAGACAAGGCTGTTTCGAGTGAAGGTGAAGTTCCAGACTACCGAAATCTATCGCGTAGGGTACTTGCAGCTGCATACGAGTACTCGTACATGTTGCGTTTCCAGATTGATACTCGTCCGGTACCTTGTGTCATGCGAAATTCTCGTGGCGGCATCGACAGGGAGCAGCATAAGCTTCATGTACCGGTCTCGTATGTTCCATCATCCAAGTACCCGATGGTGGAGCTGGGCCTCCAATACGAGTTGCGTGCGTGGCTGGCCGACCGCAACGGCCGGTGAAGATTTCTGATGCAGCTCGAGATGCACTGCAGATTCCAGCCCGCCCGCGTAGAAGCGCATGCATGCAATTCTGTGGCACCTCGCCTGAGGAGCTGATGGGATTTCTTATGGATGGTACCATTACTTGTACAGCGTCAGGTTGGGCATAAACTTCCAGCAGCTGCTCGACCCCTTTCGTTTCCACTCCAAGCTGCAGACATGGGCCAATAGAAGCGCTGTGCCTGCGCCTAGTCGACGCTAGACAGCTTCAGGACCTGCCTAATGCCGCCCACTAGCGGCGGTCCAGCACTATCGAGCGCTACAGCCGGTGCCTATTCGTGCCAACTGCGCTACTCCAGATGTTCGTTGGCCCGGGCTGGGAATCAAAACAAAGAGGCATTGAGAAAAAGGAAAAAAAAAAAAAAAAAAAGCCGCCCGAAACACCATCATCACCGCAACTTGGCCAGCCATCTGCTTTTGCTACCCAACATTGCAAGTCTTACCTGCAGCATCCATCCGCTCCGCTTGCCTGTCTTGTTGTTTATTTTGTTTCTTCAGCCTCCCTTTATTTGTCTCTCTCTCTCTCCCTCTCTCTCTCTTTGATCCTGCATATACTTGTACTCGTACAGCTACTGATGCCTTCACCTCTTCACCGTGGCCCTTTGCATCGTTGGCGCTAGACCAGCATCTTGTCTCGCATCCTCGCTTGCTGCTCCACCTCGAGGCCACCCCCTCCCTACTAATATCCCACGCCCTAGCTGCTCTAGTAGCTGCTCTGGGTCGCTTCCGCTGGCAGGTTCGTGTTTCCCCAAAGAGCCGTTTCCTCGCCTCGCCTAGGCCTTGAATCTCTCTTCTTTCTCTTCTCTTCGTCCGCAGGCCACTCTTTGTCCGTGCATTCTCTCGCCAAGCTTGCCCACGGGGTCGCTTCTCCCAGCGTCGACTCGCGTCTGACCTTGGAGCTGCCTGGGCGCGACACAAAAAGAAAAGAGAGGGTAAAAGAAAAGAAAAAAGAGACGAAAGAAAAAAGGCCGAGATTCGCCAGGCTCGAGGCGGTCGGAGCACGACGGAGCGACTTGGACCAGCAGCAGATCCCGCCAAATCGCTGCTCGACTCACCGGCCTTCTGTCACCCCTTCCCGGGCGTCAAGCTTCACCATTGGGCCTTACCTTCTTTATTTTTTCCATCTTTGTCGCCATTGCTCGCTTTCATTCATCCCTTCGACTTTGAACTGCGGCTTCCTCTCCTGGACCCTGGTTTTGTTGGTGGGCTTTATTTTTCTTCGCTTCTTGTATCCTGGTTGTTGCTCTCTTCTCTGGCCACGACTTTTTCCGACATCGCGTTAATCTAATCTTGCTCGACTTCGCACGACATTCATTCAATCGCTGCCTAGAATTTTAACTGCGGGCCTTTTTTTCGACTTTTTTTTGGTTACAACGGTCTTTTTTTTTTCGTTTTCAACTTGGGTTTACAGCATCTGGTCCCAACAGCACTACCTTACGAGACTTGTATTTTCCCCTTCTCGATATCGCATCACCGCCGCGACCCCCTCGACTCGACTCTTCTTCGACTCTCTGCGGTAATTTTGGGGGCTATTTACATATTCTCGAGACATAATTTCTGCTTTCCGCGCGTTTGGATTTTGGGACTTATTGGGCATTACCTGGCCACCGCTAGTTTCTCATTCGTCAAAATGGCCCGCGAGACAAGCCCGGCAAAGGCTCGTAGGCACAATGGAGGATCGCAGCCGAGACACAGACAATGGACGCTCAGGAATGCATCAATGGCCATGCTATCAGTACTTTCTGGCTCCGCTTCAGCAGAACAGTGCATTTCCTTAAAGGGATCGACACAATGTCCAGCCTTTCAAGCTGCATCTATATCCACCAACCAGTCATTAATCAGTACTTTGTGAGCTGCTTGCCCCTGTTTGGACCCAGGCGACCAAGTCACTAATGCCCGCGTTACAGCTCATTCTTGCAATATGTCTCTGATATAGAGTCATTCGACAATCAATTGTCCAGTTTTGTCAAAACCACCTATCTCAAGGACAAGTAGGCAGCTCCATCAGGTACAGCTTTCGTGTCCCAATGTACTCACCCGTGATTCCTCTAGATTCCAGTCAACCTTTGGCTGCCACAACATTAATTTTACAAACCCCAGCGACATGTACGCACGCTACACCACTACAGTCATTTGCAACTCCATTGTCCAGCTCTCTGCGGCTGGCTGCGGCGTATCCGCACAAAACTCGCAACCCCTTTGCGCCGAAACCTGCGCTGAGTACGCCCAGAGCGAGGCTTACATCACCGCCGACACGGCGTTATGCGCAAACCCGGGCAGTGACCTGAATAAACTGATTCGAGCCGATTTCACCGTCTGTGCTCTTCCTGAGCAGTCTCTTTCCGGCGGCTGCATCGTGGGCGTGGATAATGAGCCGGATAACTGTGGATTTGGTAACAGCACCATTGGTCTCTGCTCATACTGTGGTGCCGGCGGCATCAACTCCACGGATACTTGCTGCTACAGTGCCGGTGCGGAATCCAGGTGCAAAGGGGTTAAGCTGCCTGACATCACCGCCACCTTGACCTTTACCGCGCCGACTTCCACCTCCACACCGACAAATTCGGCAGAGCCAGTTGCTAGTAGTGGTGGCAGCCACCTCAGCGGCGGTGCTATCGCTGGTATTGTGATTGGGTCCATTGCTGGAGTTGTCATTCTTGCTGCTCTCTTGTTCTTCTGTATTAGGCTGATGAGGCGCAGACCAAGCAGCGCACAGGGTAGCATCTTCAACCAGCCTTCTCCGGCCCGCAAAGGACCTCCCATGAGCCAGGACAGCGCGGCACCCCCTCGAGGATACGAAATCCTCCCCGGCGGTCGTATCGCACGCATGTCTGCCCTGGAAGGACACTCAGGTGATTCACCTTCCCGTCACGGTAGCTCTCCTTCCGGTCGCGCAGTGCCTTATGCCCCCAAGGTTTCGGATCGAATGTCATCCTCCGAATTTGGCGACACTCCTGAGCCCGAGACTCCCTACGCATCACTCCGCGGTCCGCCGATGACCTCCAGGAGGCAAGGTTCTCTATCCAGCAACTCCATGCTTGGAAGCGACGTGCCCGGTAGCCCCGTTGGATTTTCATCTCCTGGTGGCCTGGCAAGTCAGCAGTCGGAGCAGTTGCCTTTCTTCAAAGATTACTACTCCCAAGACGATATTCACCCAGGCGAGAAGGTTGCCGTTCTGTGGGCTTACCAGCCAAGAGCTCCGGATGAGTTTGCTCTGGAGCGTGGAGATATGCTCAAGGTCGTGGGTATCTGGGATGACGGTTGGGCGACGGGTCTCATGGTTGACCAGCGTGCTGAAGAATGGGAGGCGCGGAGACAGGCGCAGAGAGATAGCGGCGTATCGAGCTCGTCCGCTCCCAGGGACAGCTCGCCCCAAGGTCACGGCGACCTCAAGGCATTCCCTCTGGTATGCGTCTGTCTCCCGGAGCATTGGAGGAAGACGATTGAGGGAGACGCTTCGACAGATACAGGAGCCAGTGGACTTCATGGGACACCTGTTTGATAAACGCCAACTATCGTTTTTGACGAGATATATATTCCCATCGTGCCTCTTCTCTTCCTCCCTTCTCCTGATTTTTAAACGACAGGATATATATCCCCTTCGACAAATGTTGCATCGTCGCATATATCGACCCACTCGGTTATCTTTCCGATGCACACATTCCTCTTGACGAAGTACATGAGAAGCGCTTTCACAATGTCCCCATAGAGGGGCGGAGATCGCGCCGCGTTTTGATACATTTGCAGACGTTTTATTTTTTAAAATACCCCATTTCAGGAGCGACGAAGTTGATGTTTAATTGGAGACGAAGCAAAAGAGCAGATCTCTAGCTTAATGTTTTTATGGCCAGATTTCAGGATGGCGCGCAAGCGGAATCATTCTTGTCACTGGGCTGGGTTACATTTCTCTGAGCAGGGAGTTAGGATGCGGCTGAAAGAGTTGGAACAGCATTTAGCCTCTGATACAGGAAGTATCGAGGCGTTGCGTATTGCAGTACAGGCATTGATATACAAAGGGCGTTGTCTCAGATATACTTGCCTACTTAGTTTCGATAGCAAAAATGGCCTTTTCTTTGGTGTGGATATTCGAAGTGGACATTTGAAGTGTGAAGGTGTGAGTGACGATTTTGTTTTTTATGATGCGATGTTTGGGACGGGGTTCGTGCTTTTGTTGATGTTGATGTTGCGTTATGAGATTGTAAAGTACATGTGGAGTTTGGAGGATCTCGGTGCTAAACTAGGTACTAAGTGGGCGGATCCCGTTATTTAATTGCAAGTTGATGTGCCTTTAACCTTTGGAGCGCCTTGACAGCTCCCGCAAGTGCAAGTACACAGTACCCGTAATCTTATCGGCCGTGAAATATTGAGGAGGGGCACTTGAGCTTCTCTCTTACCTGCAACCAAAACTCGATTCATCTGCAGCTTTCACCAACGAACTCATCTAGCTTCCGCTTCCTTTGTAATACTTTATTTTCGCGTTGAGAATTACTCAGTACTTCTGATCTGTCGCATATTCTTTGTTCAGCTCACGAAATATCGCCCGTTTCACACGCAATGGAGACCGATCTTAAAGCTAGGGCTGAAGCGGCGGTGCCCAAATTCAAGCTCCTCAAGGTTCTCAACCAAGGTATGAGCGCTACGTTTCTCCTTTTATTCACGGCTACAAGACTTCAATCACTCTGATACCATATACCTGAAAACTACTATTTGCAATGCTAACAGAAAACAGACCAGGCGGGCCGCCGTGTCTCCCTCCACGGCACAATCGACAATGAGCCCGCCGTCATGGTCGTCGAGCGAGCCACGTTCCCCTCGTCAGAGGTCTATCTCGCCGGCTTGCCCTCGTCGCTTTCGCGGCTGCGGAATCTCGGCGCCAACGACATTTATGCGTGGAGCATGGCCAGGACGGGGCCCGTGGAAAGCGAAGTGAAGCCCGATGGAGACAACGGACACGAAAACGGCGTCGATTTCTTCGCCGACTTGAAGATTAACCTGATTTATCCGTGCACGGAGGCGCACGTCAAGAAGTACAGCAAGCAGGGCGTGCGCTTTGTTACAGAGACGCCCGAGATTTACAAGAATCACATTCGGCCATTCATGCAGCAGAAGAGGGAGCAGGGGAGACTAAACTGGGTATTCAACATCATCGAGGGCAGGACCGAAGTGGAAGACGTTATATACAGGACTAAGCTCGGGGAGGCCGGCGACGAAGGCTTCCTCCTGCTGCCGGACCTCAACTGGGACCGCAAGACGCTCGAGGGCTTGCACCTGCTGGCGCTGGTGGAGCGGCGGGACATTTGGTCGCTGCGGGATCTGAAGAAGAAGCACATTCCCTGGCTGCAGCACATCAAGTCCAAGGTCGTCAGTGCCACGACCCAGACGTACCCGAGCATCGAGGAAAACCAGCTGAAGCTCTATGTTCACTACCAACCGACCTACTACCACTTTCATATACACATTGTCCATGTTGCGCTAGAGGCCGGGGCCACGCAAGCCACGGGCAAGGCCGTCGGCCTAGACAGTATTCTAGAGACATTAAAGGTGATGGGGGGAGACGATGAGGCGGGAATGGATGCGCTATCGATGAGCTACACGTTGGGCGAGGCAAGCGAGTTGTGGACGGATATATTCGAGCCGCTTAAGACGAGTGGTGCAGCTTCTCGATAGCGAGGATGAGGTCGTTAACGCCGGGGCCGTTCGGGCAATCTTTCCATTGATCGTCGTCACGGATGCAGTAGACCTCGTTGTTGAGGCGGATGGTGCAGCTAATCGTCACGTTGAGCTAGAAGAATTTGTTAGATTCGTTGTCATGGCATCTCTCCATCATTCTCGGGAGTTGTAGGGAGGCTTACATCGGCAGACCGCTGGACGCTGTTTCGCAGCAGCTCAAGGCCGTGGGCGGTGTCGTCGCGGGCGGCGCACTCGTTGAGCTTGTTGAAGTCGATGGCATGCTCGAGGGCGCAGTCTTCGATGAGGGTGCGGTCGGGGATGTTGGGGTAGTCCTTGGTTAGGCACATGGTGAAGCCGAGGTTGATCTTGGGGTCAGGGTACAGCTCGATGGCGCAGAGTTCGATGATGTTGCCGATGCACTCGGAAGGACCGTGCTTGCATTCGACGCCGCCGTTGGCAGTGGGCCTGGATGCCAGTTTGTTAGCATGGACACTAGACGGGGTTGATAGACTTGGTTGCAAGGTGATATGGACGTTGAGAGAGACGGTTTGACATACTTGCCAATGTACGAGAGCTTAAAGTCGACCTTGTCATGGACCTTCTGCATGACGGGCAGGATCAAGGTGCGGAGAGCATGCTACAGAGCGAAGATTAGACAAAGAAACAGTTTAGAGAATTCGCATCGATTCTTCGCATACCCTAGTATCGGGACACTTGCTGATGATGTGCGCTTCAAGGGGGACGAGGCCATTGGCACTGCCCTCGTTTTGTGTCGGCGCGAGAAAGTCGGCGGCCTGCTGCGGCAGAAAGGGCACGGCGACGGCGTTGCTCCAGAGGTGGTAGCCGACGAAGACGAACATAATGACGAGCAGCAGCTCGCGGGCGCGGTAACGCCGAGGAGATGCCATGATTTGCGGTTGATGCAGATGCTTCTCATCCATAGTGAGGTCGCGATAACTATGGCGGTGATGAAGAGGTGGCGAGTTGTTTATCTGTCTGCAGCAACAGAGGTATCCGGGTTAGACTGCGTAAATAGCTGGATTTAGATCAGGACTGTCTTTGATAAGCAGCAAATAACAACACTACGATATCCAAATAGATGGAAAAAACAAAAAAAGGCGATGATGGCGATGCTTCTTGTTGGAAGCTATCAGCTTCACGCGAAGATGCTGCAAAGAGATTGGATGGAGCGCATAGCGTCATGGAGAGGAGCGGTTGCGTTGGTGGTGATGGCGCTAGGCCGAAAGGGGGCGAGGCCGCAGGGGTATCGATTGCTGTGCAAGTATTCGGGTACCGATGTACCGATGTAGCGAAGTATAAGGTACTGGGAGATGTACCGCGAGTGAGAGTCGAGTGTTGGAGCATGTAGGTACAATCGCAATGAAAAAGAGAGTCACATCGCCTCATCTATTGAAGCTTTTAGTACATAGTATTACTTGTGTTAATTTAGCAGGTAACAGGTTTGTATGGCTGCGATCTATTTATAAACTAATGAGATAAGCTGCGGAGTATTACAATGGGCTGTACAGTATTATCTTGGACAGCCTATATCAGCGCTACTACACGAGTACTGCAGGTATAGTAGGTAATCTCTATCACAGTAATAGGCACATAGCACCAAGGCAGCAGCAATATCTTCGAAACAACTTGCATCACGACAGGCTTCACAGGCTCGGCCCGGCTTACTAGGTGATGTACTATAGGTGTATCCCCCTCCCCCCAAAACTAGCTGCGAACTGGCGTCCTGAAGCCTTCCAGAAGAAGCCCCATCCCAACGAGATTCGCCCGCAAAACCGCCGGCATCCCGCCCTAAGAGCACAAAAAAAAAGAGGAACGAGCCCCAATAGGCCCCCCCAAAGTCCACTAAAAATGCGACGCCTGGCCGGCTTCACGTTCGCTCCATAACTCCTAGTCTTCAATTCACTGCCGGGTTTTCCTGCCATCTGCCATCTCCATCCTATTCAGGGAGGTGAGCGGGCTCTCGTGTTCCTTGTCGTCCTGCCTTTTGGACCGGAAATCTCACCTGCAACGGCCCGCCGCTCTCTCAGTCAGCTTCGTCTGGGCGTGTGTCTGTGTGTCTGTGTGTTTTTGGTTTTATACCCGGGGTGGCTGCTTCTTCTTCTTCTTCTTTTTGGGGGTGGCGCTCTCCGCATATATCATGAGATTCCCTTGATAGCGTCTTTTCTTGCATTTCTCGCTGGTACAAAAAGCTGTGAAGGCATGGCCTCTTACACGGATATCCACCGGTTCCTGGAGCCGCTGAGCATCGACGTTGATAGATCGGAGGGGCTTTCGCGGGGGTTTCTGGGGACTTTCAGGGATCTGGCTGCGAATTCGAGGGACCAGTTCTTGCCTACACCGATATCCGAGTCTATCTTGAGGCCTATTGCTGAGCAAGGAGGTGGACGGTGAGTGATTCTCTCTCCTTGGGTGCAGTTCAACGGTACTGCAACTGTGATGATATGCAGTGCTGGTGAGAGTGAACAGCATGGGGCTAATGAGTTTCATGATGAATAGGCACCTGGCAATAGACATGTAAGGCAACCTAGGCTCCCTAATAGGAGAGCTCACTAAGATATAGCTTTAGCAAGGCAAAAGCCACTTGACTCATACATACTAATCCTGTTTGCTGCTTAGAGGAGGGACAAATCTTCGAGTTGGCTTCGTCGAGCTGCATGGCGACGACAAAGATCCTGCATCACGTGTCCAGCGACCACTGGAGAGATCATGGCCCATTGCCAACCATCTAAAAAACGACAACGCAAACAGCCTCTTTTCATGGATTGGGAGATGCATCGCCGACGTTGTGGACGAGGGCTGTAGAACCTTTAACATAGCTAACGATGAGCCCCTACCTTTGGGCGTCACCTTCAGCTTCCCCATGGAGCAGCGATCTGTCTCTCACGCCTTATTGATGGACATGGGCAAGGGATTCGCCCTGCCGTCTGGCATCGACTTGGGGGCTTATATCGAGCAGGGCTACGCAGATTCTCGACAGACTGGGCTACCACCGATCAAAGTCACCGCCATAGCAAACGACGCTGTATCGACGCTAGTGTCGTGCATATTCAGCTACGGCGGCATGGAGCATCGACGAGCAGCCATGGCACTGATTCTGGGCACGGGATCTAATGCTACGGTGCCCCTGAAGCTGGATCTTTTGCATCCAAGCAAACGCCCGCTGACGGTGAGCCTTCTTCCAGGCGAGGAGGTGGCCGACGCCAAAATCGCAGTCAACACGGAGTGGAGCATAAACGGCACGCTGCCGCCCATGGTGAAGGCCAATCTAGTCACTAAATGGGACGATGCTTTGTCTCTGCAGAACGAGAGGCCCGGATTTCAGCCCCTGGAGTACATGACGGCAGGAAGATACTTGGGTGAACTAGCGCGAATCATTCTGGTTGATTATCTTGTCAACGAGTCCAAGGTGGCCATCGAGACGTTGCCGCGGAAGCTGCTGGAAAAAGAGAGCCTGCCAACGACGTTCCTAAGTCACTATAAGCCGCTACAGACCCCATCCGCCCTGCTGGAGAAACTGAGACAGCAGATCCCCGAAGATGCCGATTCCTCGTTTGCCTGGACGGAAGACCTCGCCGCGGCGCTGTACCACATCGCAAAGGCCATTGAAGTCCGGGCGTCTGGCATTATCGCCGCCGCCATCGTCGCCCTGCTTACGCTTGCGGACGAGATACCTGAGAGTGCAAGCGCAGACGTAAATGGGGGCGTAAATGGAGACGCAGATACGAGTTCCCCCATTCGCGAGCTTGGTGTTGGTTACACCGGTGGCTGCATAGTTCACTTTCAGGATTACTTGGCTGACTGCCAGCGCTTTTTGGACGAGTTGCTGGCGCGCAGATTTGGCCACAACGGACGTCTGCGTGTGGTTTTAAATCCTTGCCATGATGGCGGTGTTACAGGAGCGGGTATTTTGGTCGTTGCTGAGGCGTCGTCGAGTAGGAAGAAGTCGGAGGTGTGAGCCGGTTGCTTTTTTTTCCCCCTTCTTTGTTTTTCAACCCCCCCCCCCCCTTTTTGGTCTTTTGTTGCGAAAGCACAGCGTAGATGAATGACTTAGATTACTGAGAGCTAGAGATGCGGCTCGTTATGATGGGATAGAATAGTGCGTGGAGCGAATCCAGGGCTTGATGGATTGGGGCGGTTGATATACCAACATGTGGACATGTATATAATACATGCTGCGTTTACATATGCCATGATACACGATACATTGTGCCTAAGTTGATGAATCAGTCTCTTCATTCAGAAGAGAATACAGTGTAATATCCGATGAGTAAGCCCTTGTGTTTAACAGCAATTATACAAGAGAAAGTAGCCCGTTGTGCATCCCAAGTCTCGCGCCATCCGCGACACAGAGCACATCACCACGCCCTATTCCCTCGCCTACGCTTTATTCCCGCACGGCAACGACTCACACAGTCTCCGAACAACGGCGTCAGGAAGTACTCACGAAACACCGCCCGTCGAATAAATACAAAAAGCGGCATCTGGTTTTTTTTTGCTGCAAGGGGTACCGGAACCGGGCCTAAGCAAGTCCCCAGTCGTTACATCTTTGATGGACGCCCATAGGCTGGCTGATCGGCTCTTTTTGAGAATGCCCATGACCGCTGTATTCTGATCTCAGCCGCACTCCATATTTTAATCCTTGACATTAGCTGCAGGACGGTTGCATCCGATCTCATTAACTGTATTCAGACTACTGTTTGTTCTCGTTAACCATGTCCAGACTACTGTTTGTTCCGATTCACGCTCACACTAAACAGACAGGCCTCAACCCTTTCGGAGCTATAAAGACGTCCGCCACACCTCAATCCGCTCCCCCAGAAATACACTTTCCCTTCAATTCCTTGACGTCAAAATCAAGATTAACTATCCTCCTACACCAGATAAGCTTCGATCTGCAGCGGTACTACCCGCATGCCACCCATCGGGTACAAGATCGGCAACCACTTACACTCACTCCAAGACCCCCTCAATCCTCCGCCCCCGCGACACCCCCTTACATCCTTCTACCTTTGCCGTCCAGTTTTCCCAATTTGCTTTAATCTTTCTTTTCTTTCTTCTTATCGCTGGCAATTCAGTGGCTACAACCTTTCCCCCAAACAGTCTGAAAAGCTAAGGGTTCTTGAAATCTTGAAAGTATAAGCTTCAGAGCGAAATGTCTTCCGGGACGCCACGGGCGGGGCCGACATTCCGGCCGGATTCGGACCCGGAGACTGAAGTTGGCGGAGGTATAAGTCGTGAACTTCACGATGGTGGCGAGCAAGGGATTCCAGCAACAAATCAACAGACTTCAAGCTACATCATCACCAACAGCAAAAACAACAGCCAAGATGATACCAAAGATAACATCCACGTCCACGTCGACAACACCATCGATGAACCTCCCACCGAACACTCCCCCCTCCTCCGCCACAACTCCTCCTCTTCCTCATCATCATCCTCTTCCTCCACCACCACCGCACAGCCCTTCATCTTCCTCGGCGAAACGTCTCCCACCCGCTTCTGGCTCATCTTCGGCCAGATCCTCTCCGCCCAATTCCTCGCCAGCTTCGACAGCACCATCATGGCCTCATCCCACCCCGTCATCACCTCGCACTTCAAGGCCGCAAACTCAGCCTCCTGGCTTTCGACTGCGTTTCTGCTCACGTCGACGGCTTTTCAGCCGCTGCTGGGGAGGCTGTCGGATGCAATGGGCAGAAAACCGCTGTTCTTGATAAGTCTAGCCATCTTTGCCTTGGCGACGCTGTGGTGTGCTGTTGCGGGGAGCATTGAGAGCTTTGTTGCGGCGAGGGCGGTTTGTGGGCTTGGAGCGGGAGGAGCAATGACTCTGGGAAGTATTCTGACGAGTGACTTGGTGCCGATTGAGTATGTTTTTCTTCTCTTTCTTCACCCTTTCTATGCTTTCCCATTTCACTTTCCCCTTTGTGCTGTTGATAGCTAATCTTCTTCTCTCCCACTCCCCCAGACGCCGCGGCAACTACCAGTCATACGTCAACGTAAGCTTCGGCGCCGGAGCCGCCTTCGGAGCCGCCCTCGGCGGCGCCATGGCCGAGGCACTCGGCTGGCGGTGGGAGTTTGGAGTACAGATCCCGCCGATACTGCTCTGCATTGCCGTCGCTGTGGTGGTGATTCCGGACGACATTGGGCTCAAGGGGGCGCGTAAAGGGGTTTGGGAGGCGCTCAGCGAGTTCGACTTTAAGGGTTCCATTTTGCTGACTGTGTCGACGACGTCTGCCATCTTGGGGCTGGTGAGTTGTTCTTGTTTTGCTTTCGTTCCTCCTAGGTGTATAAGAAGAGACGCTGACGATATTCATCTACTTCCCAGAACTTTGGCGGCAACATCTATCCGTGTAAGTGATCAGCTCCCTCCCCTCCTATCCATCTCCAGTCTCTTCTAACACTCCCACAGGGACTCACCCCTTTGTCATCGCCTCCCTCTCCATCGCAGCCATCTCCTTCCCAACCTTCCTCTGGATCGAATCCCGCGTCCACATGCCCATCATGCCTCTCCGTCTAATCCGCCACTCCCCTCGCGCAAACCTCATCTTCTCCAACTTCATCGCCGCCCTCCTTTCCAACTCCATCCTCTTCAACATGTAAGCAAATTCCCCCCATTCATCTCGCTCTTCTCATCTAACACGCATCTCAGCCCCCTATACTTCCAAGCCGTCCTCCTCTCCAGCGCCACCTCCTCCGGCCTACGCCTCGCTCTCCCCTCCATCGTCTCCTCCATAACTGGCGCCTCGACCGGCTTCGCCATCACCTACACTCGCCGTCTCAAGTGGCCCGTCGTGTCCGGCACGCTGTGGTATCTCGCAGGCTGCATCACCCTCTGCTTTCTGCACCGCGGCATGTCCACCATCGTCTACCTCCTCGTTCTTCTCCCCCAGTCCATCGGCCAAGGCTTTCAGTTCCCGGGCACATTCATGGCTATCCTGGCGTCTTCTTCGCAAGGTGAGCAGGCAGTCGTCACGAGTACTCTTATTCTCTGGCGGTGCGTGGGCTTTGTGCTCGGAGTAGCGATGAGCAGTCTCGTTGTACAGAACGCGCTGGTGTATTATCTAGATTTTTTCGTCCAGGGCCAAGACAAAGCCGAGATCATCAGGCGCGTAAGGGGGTCCGTCGAGGCCGTTGCCCAGCTTGAGGAGCCGTACAGGGAACAGGTTGTGCAGAGCTATGAGGCGTCTCTGAGGCTGACCTTTATCCTCTGCTCCGTGATCGCTGCAGTTTCGGTGCTCATTATTCTGCCTATAAAATTGCCACGGTTAGCACCAGTAAATCGCAAGTCATGAAAAGATTCATTGCTACATTGATAACGATGAAAAAAGGGCTGAATTTGCAAAATAAAGACAAGACAGCGAGTGTAGATACTCTGCATAGTTAGGTTTAAAAGAAACAAGTGAAGAATAGAATGCATTTGACTTGATGATTTGCTTTGTACATGAACCTCCCTGATGCCTATCCATTCAAATTACCCCTTCGTAATAGTAACAATAATGAAACTCCTTTTGTCTCCCGATTAATGGTATCCGTTGATGTCGCCCGCTTGCAGAGCTTCGAGTTCTACTTTGGCTTTTCGGTATTCCTCCTGTGCCTCTCTCTCTCTTCGACTAATAAAGTTGACTTCATCCCTCAGTGATTCTAGTCGTCTGTTGATGGCCACATCCTCGGAAATGGCCAACGTCTGGAATCCGCTAAGGGCCACCCTTGCCTTGTCCAAGGCATCTGCCGCGTCTGACACTTTGTCTTTAAGCATCTTCTGCCGCTTCTGGTATCCGCCCAGGTGCAATGTGAGCTTCTTCTCAAGCTTTGCGTCTTCTTCTGCCGACGTCATGATGGAATCTTGAACAGCCTATTTCAGATAGTCAGAATCAAGGGCGTTCAGAATAAAAGATTAGGACCGAATCGGAAAGCAACTTACGTCAAAAGCAGCTCGCATAGCAGCATCTTGCTCATCGTCATCGTCATTATAACATCCCAGTCCTAACAGTAAAGAATCTCCTCCAGCCCGGCTCTCAAAGGCGGCTTGGATATCCTCAAAGCTTGGCAGCGGCTTAGTTTCGGAGAGAATACGGAGGCGCGCGTCAGCGAGGAGTCCGTCATCTATATGATCCAGAGGCTGTAGCGTTCCCTTGACTTGAGAGCCGTTCAACGGGAATTTTGCAGCATCATTGGCCATTAGCGCTGCAGTTTCCACGGCAATCAGAGCCGCAGCAGGGTCGGTAATGTCCTTTGCCCTCTTGAGCAATTCTGTCAAGTCGACAACTACGGGTCGTGGAAGCCCTCGCTGTATCACCTGTGTCTGGCGTCGCCGTTCAAGAGCCTCCTCGGCCTCTCGTCTTTGGCGCTCTCTTCTGTCCCGCTCAGCAGCATCTTCCTCCATGGCATCATCACCTGCCGCACCCTGCACCTGGTCTTCAGGTATCTCAAACTCCCACTCTGTATCCTTTGGCTTGGGCAGCGCGGCCAGTCCAGCGCGCAGCTGGTTCTGCATAGCCGCCTGTCGCATTCTTACGTCCCTGGGGGTTGCTCCTGTCATCGACATGCCATCTTCTTGGTTAAGAGCAAAAGTGTCTCGCGGGGTCCGCATGGGCGTCTGTCCAGGGACAGCACCGTTTATGCCACCGTTTCTCAAAGGTGTGGCCAGAGGGTTTGGCGTCGCCATAACCTGCTTCCGAGGTGCGATGCCTTCAAAGCCTGTTGAGCCAGATCCCTGGTGAAGAGGAGTATTTTCGCCACCAAGCAACGCAGATTGGGTTTCGTTCAGTGCCCGGATATTCCTTATCTCGTTGGCAATGTGATCCTCCTGCGCAGGCGCTCTGGGCGTTCGGATCGGTGCATTTGTGTTGAGTGTCGAATATGTGTTTACAAATCCTCGAGTCGCATCGTTGTCGCTTTCCTTGGCCAACATGTTGGCGGCTTCGCCCATCTTGCCCATCTTTACAATCTCCTCCAGCTCGCCTTCGCTGACTTGAGGTGCTGGTAAGTTTAGGGGACGGCGCTTGCTGCTCTGCTCGGCCTCCCGAATCTTCTGCATTTGGCCGGCCTTGATGGCAGCCTTTTGGGATTCTGAAATGCCGTCTTTGTCATTCTTCCTCCTCTTGCGCTCATTATCCTCGTCGCCGTCGCCTTTCCGCTTATTGGCCAGCTGCTGCTTTCTTGGATCAAATGCAGCCCGCTGCATCTCATTCCGTGCAAACTCCTCCGAAGTGTCGTAGAATCCAGGCGCGGCTTTCCTTTCGAATGGAATATCTGCATTGTAGTCCATCTCGCCCTGCTTTCGCGTAGTCACCTTGATGTTGATACCGGCCGTCTTGAGCTCTCGTCGCTTCTGCAGCGTCGCCAGACGACGAGACTCCTCCTGCTGACGCTCTCGAGCCTTTCTCTTTGCCTTTTTACCCTGCGTGTTGGCTAGACGGGCACGGGCTTCGCTGAGCATCTCCTTTTCATCTTCGTCAAGATCGATGGTATCAGGTCGAGCAGGTTTCGTCTCCGGATCTGGATCGAGCTCGCCTGGTCGCAGTCTCCTCACATCGTCGGCGCTTGGAGCTTGCGTCTCACCACCATCTGGACCGGTAAGACCAAGGCCAGACGATTCACGGGCCTCAGCCTCGTCGAGCAGCTTCTGGTATCGCTCGAGACACTGGTTCGCAGTCCGGCCGACGATCGGGGCGATGGTGCGCCATTGCGTGGGCATAATCTTGGCGAGATGCAGCAGCTTCTCGTCCTCCTCCTTGCTCCATTCGATCTTCTTGATGCTGGGGTCCAGCCACTCGTTCCATCTCGCCTTGCACTGCTTGGGCGTCTTGCGCGCCAGCAGCGACGACACGCGTGCCCATTGGTTGAGGCCATACTTGGAGACGGACGCCTTGAGGATCTCGTCCTCAATGTTGGTCCAGACACCTCCCTTGACGACGGGCATTGTGGCGATGGAATTGGCGATGGCGATGCGTGTCCGCTGGCCGGGTTGGCTCCAGAAAATATCCAAAGCCTCGCCGCCGTACCGCGTTGCATTTAGCTTGGGTCTGCTGAGTCATCATGAAGAGGGGGTTCTGATTGGTGCATCACCGAGAGCTCAGCGGTGGCCAGCGGTGGTCAGCGGAAGCTTCACCTCCTGCCCCGATTAGGCATGCCATTCAAGCTGCATGTCTCGGCTTTGTCACGGAAGAGAGGGTGCATTGCTAGGCTTGCTAGGGTTCCCCGATCATGCAAACTGTCAGGTACGTACGCATGAGGCACCAATGGATTGTCTCTTCTCGCCCAATTGGACTGTTTGGTCAGTATCTGGGCGTTGAACTTTTTTTCCTTCTCCCCTGGCAACACTTGCATGATGTGCCACGTAGAAGCATTCGCTTCCTATCAACGGAAATATGGAGTCTCTGCTAGATTGCCGGTTGAAGCCCAACTCAGTCGACATCGGCCAACTACAGCAGAGGCCAAAAGAACAACCGACCAAACAGAAAAAACGGAAAAAAGGGAGATCCAATTCTCTCTCCTCCAATCTGAGCACATTCCTACATCATAGTTTCTGCTCGGCTCGTTTGATACTATGCATCAGAAAAAGTCAAACACGCATCATGGCAGCTTGAAACTGGTCCATTGAAAGCTAATCATCCAGACATCACCACCTCTTTAGCTTGCGGAGGCGGACTTCGGACTCCACTGCCCCAAAAGTCCGAATTACCAAGCAAGATTCGCTCTGCCCAACACCACCGAGATAACCAGCTTGGCCCAAGTCGCAACCCTATTTCTCGGGGCGTATCGCGAGGCCCCGCCCTTCTGGCTTGGATACCGCACCCGGATAGGCTGGAAGCTGCGGACCGTCTGCAGCCCTCGGCCATCGGCAGCGTCTGTTGGTGGGCGACTATCGCGAGGAAGCGTGCAATTCAGGCACGATAATCGGCGGGCGACGACCAAGAGCAAAAATCAAACGTCATCGATTCGTCGACTGGTTGGCCGACAGCTGCATGCGATTTGCTGCGCTGTTCCGCTAGCCTCGACGACGTGGTGGCCCGAGGCTCGTCGTTTTCCTCGCAACCAGACAGACAGCATTGCGTTGCTTGCAGACGAGACGAGCAGGAGGAGCTCGAGTTGATGGTTGATGCAGATAACGTCGTCACCACTCACACTCCGTACGGGGTCTGCGATAGCCGTCAGGCCAATCCCAGTCTCGAGATCCCCAGAGGGCGCCAAACTCAGGTCTCCTTGTCCCAGCTTCCCTCCTCCTCCGGCCCCGGGTTTCGTTTCCGCATCCACTCAAGGCCGTCCACGCCATTGCCAGAACACGTTTGATGGCAGCTTGGGAATCGACTTGCTTGGTTCCTCGGCTCCACTCAGGCAATCCCCTGCCATTCCTCCCATGCCCCCGTTTGCTGGAATTCTGCATGTAAGCTCTTACTGTACTCCAGAAAATAGCTTTCCAGCAGTCATCTCGCTTCCTCCCATCTGCAAAGCTTCCTGGCCCCCTTCCCATCGGCGTATGTATCAAAGTATAAATATTCACTCCCTTGTCCCTTGAGCCATAGATCGAGGAACCGGCCCGGCGAGAAATGGGACAGAGTCAAGGCATTTGTCGCGACCATAACTCCGGAGGCTTCCCTATAGTCTTCCCAACTTGAGCGAGCGCGTTTGGCGTTTCTCGTATATTTTTGGTTTTCTGCCCTCGGACCAGGTTGTCTCGAGTCGCATCAACACAAACTGTTTTTCACAGCAATAGCCGCATCGCACACACAAAATGGCTGGTCCGAAGCGGATAAGCGACGACCGGAGTCCGAGTCCGACGATTCGCGAAATCGACAATGATCGCGACTCAGACGTCACCGAGACGTCGCAATTGCTCAGTCCCGGTGGATACGGAGCAAGAAAAGACAGCTGGGACAACGACGTCGATTTCCTGCATTTGCCCTGGTGGCGCAGGCCGTCTGTATGTCTCACCTATTCCGAGTGCGGAGATGCAGATTCATGGCGACACAGCTTCTAACAAGCGCCGCAGGTGTTCTGGCTTCTTGGACCATATGCCATCTTCACTCTCGCTTTTGGCGGCCTGATTGTTCCTAAACTCGACTTGTAAGCAGAAACGAGGTAATCTTTCTCGATAGGCTGAATTTTGCTAATGACGAACTGCAGAATTTTTGATCTTGTCTGCAAACAGTACTTTGCAGACCAACAACTCATCAACCCTCATTTCACCTACAAGCCTATCGTCTTGGGTTCCGACAACCCGCAGTGTAACATCCCCGAGGTCCAGCGAAATGTTGCCACCTTCATGCTGGGCCTGACCCTCATCATTGGCGGCCTAAGCGCCATCGTCGCCCCCAAGCTGGGCCAGCTCTCTGATCGCTACGGACGACGAAAGCTCATGGCTCTTGCGTCCTGTGGTGGTCTTGTCAGCGAGGTTGTCACCATTCTCTGCGCAAAGTACCCACAGGTCTTCAACTACCGGTGGATGATGCTGGGCGCTGTCTTTGATGGCATCACGGGGTCCTTCACTGCTGGCAGCATTCTCAGCCAGTCGTACACCAGCGACTGCACGCCCCCTTCCCGGAGAGCCGTATCCATTGGCTATGTCCATGCTTGTCTCTTTACCGGTCTTGCTCTAGGTCCTCTTCTGACCGGCTACTTTATCAAGTGGACCGGAACCATCATCTCCATCTTTTACGTTGCTCTCGGCTGCCACGCATTCTTCATCGTCTTCGTCCGCTTTATCATGCCAGAGTCTCTGTCCAAGCGAAGACAGATGCTGGCCCGCGAGAAATACGCGAGATTAGAGGCTGAGCAAAGCGTGCTTTCCTCTCGCGTGGCTCACAACCCCTTCGAAGCATTCAAGATTCTGTGGCCTACTGGTCCCGGAACCTCCACTAGGCTGCGTATCAACCTGGTCGCATTGGCCATCGCCGACACCATCATCATGGGATCCATGATGGCCGTGGGCAACTGCCTGATGCTGTACAGCAAATTCATGTTCGGCTGGGGCAACTTTGAGACATCTCGCTTCATCTCGTCTCTGTCCATGATCCGCGTTGTTCTGCTCATGGTCATCTTCCCCATCATCAACTACATCTTCCGAATCCGACCAGCAGCTCGTCGACAGCGCGAGACCGGAATACCTGCGATAGAGAAGAATGCCGGAGCCGATAACCTGGACATCTGGATTCTTCGATTCGCCCTGACATCAGATGTGCTTGGGTGTATCGGATACATACTCTCTCGGAATCAGCACCTCTTCTTCATGAGTGGAATGGTCACGGTTCTTGGAGGCCTGGGAAGTGCTACTGTCCAAGCCGCCGTCACCAAGCATGTCCCCCAAGCGCAAGTCGGGCAGGTCCTCGGCGCTGTTGGCTTCATGCAGGGGCTCTCACGAGTTATCGGGCCCGTCATGTTCAACGGACTGTACGCCATGACGGTCGGCACATTCCCTCAGGCCATCTTTGTGCTCCTTTGTGGGCTTTTCTGTGTCGGTTTAACATGTGCTTTCATCATAAAGCCTCATAGTATGTATTTTGAGAACGCTATCCTTGACTCTAGGTGCTAACAATCAATCACAGTCCACTGGGAAGATGTTGGCGAAGAAGACGAAGAACCATTGGACCCGACCTCGGGACGTCTTGGCACCAGCACTGCCCAACTCCTCTCTGCCGGTGAGGAGTCGGATTTCATTTAGCAAGCGGACGAATCTGACGATGCACTTTTCGAGAGCGCCTGTTCTTTAGCGGTTTGCGGCGCAGCGGTTGGTGGCGAGTATTTCTTTCGACAGCAGGCAAGGGTTATAAGAAGGACGATGTAAAAACATTTGGGCATTGTCGGCAGGGGGGGTTTATGTTGATTCTGTTGTAAACGATGAGCGTGTGTTTCTTTTTCTCTTTTCTTGGTGAGGGAGGTTTTTTTGTATGATGTGACATGTAATGCTAGAATACCATTAGAAGATACCAATACACTGTACAGAGCAGACAAATCTCATCCGAAGAATGACATGGCTGCTTTATAGCCGTATTAGCTGACCAGCAGTTGAAGCTGTCATTCTCAGCGAGCTCGATGCTAGCTGTCGAGTTGAAAACTTACTCCACATTCAACCCAATCAACCAGAGAGGCACACATGTCAACTCCACCCCGCTCCAACACGTCTTAGGCTTAAATCTCACCTCTCACATCTCACTCTCACGCTCATCTCACCCATCACAAGAAATAAAGGAGGAGCCAAATTGGGACACACATATATATCCGCACTCCCCTCACTCATGAGCCAAGTCTTCCAAAGCCTGTCCCGTCATTCAGGTTAGTCGGGAATATCCCATCTGAATTCCTGCAAGTTCAAATTGCTAATGCGCGAGATTGAATCATCGCTTTTCCCGCGACTGCAGGCTCATCCGCTTCACGATTAGTAGTGTTCCGAGCAAGCCGATTTGCTGCACGGCCTTGGTCAGATCGCCGTGCTAGAGCGTTTAATTTGAAGGATTTCGAGAAGCCGTCTTTTGTGAGGGGCGTCATGACTTCGACTAATACGGACGGCATGAATATCAAATTTGGGCCTTTTGAGGTTACAAGGCAGGTATGCATGAAAAGAGACGGATGCCAGCCGTTGTTCTTCCTCACAAATCACCACCAATATCGCCATCGCCAGAATCCCCATTGCAGACAAATATAAACCCAACTGATAAAATGCCGCTTTAGGTTTTCCTGACAACTCCTCACTCCTATGGTCTTGTCAATCTCAAGCCGCTCCTCCCAGGCCACGTCCTCATCTGCCCACACAAGCCCCATCGCCGGCTCCTGGATCTCTCTCCTGCTGAAACAACAGATCTGTTCTCCACTGTCCAGCTGGTCCAGAAGCTTCTCGCCCGGCTGTATTTCCCTGACCCCTCGGATCTCCAGTCGGGGAGCTTCACTGTCGCACTGCAAGATGGTGCGGAGGCGGGACAGACGATTCCCCACGTTCATGTCCATGTGATTCCTCGTGTGAAGGGTGACATGGGCGAGGCTATGGATGAGATCTACGTGCACCTATCAAGTGAGGAGGCCAACGTGGGAGGAGCGCTGTGGGACCGCGAGAGGCCACGACCAGGCGGAAAGATGCCGAGAATTGAGGATGCGGAGCGGAATGCGCGGACAATGGAGCAGATGATTGAGGAGGCGGAGAAGTTCAAGGCCGTGTTGGGAGAGATGGGCATCGGGAACTCTGCCAAGGGAAGTGAGCGGCTGTAAGAGCCCGTGTGTGTGACAGAAAATGCCGTGCATAGAGGCGCTCTATACATGCGCGGAGCATTCAACTTAGATGCTAGATTAGCATCCATGGTCCATAGAGGTACAGTTAAACAAGAATAGCATGTTGTCATTGTCCATATGTATGAAAAGTGTCAGTAAAGACTCGTGCAATCGTCACATTGCCAGAGAACAGGTGACTGGAGAGATTAAGAGTGTCTGGCCAATGTTGTTGAAACAAAATGCTCTCCCTTTAGGTTGGTTGTTGATGCCTAGATCTTGTCGCTCTCATCGATCAGACCATTGGCATGCATTCGTGATAGTTTCTAGTGAAAATGACCTTTTTGGGTGATTGGATAAACAGAACCCCAGGCGAAGGTTTCGTGTTTTTGTGACGGAATCTTTTTTTTGTTGCAGTCAATTTATGTTGAATGCAACTCAACAGGTTCGCAACTCACAATGCAGTCGGAATAGCCGATGCTAATCGTGCCCCGAGACCGGCGAAGCGGCACTCGGTGAGAAACACAACCGCTGTCAAGAAGGTTGGAGAAGCACAGAGGTCGTTAGGGAAGACGATTGAACCCCTTGCTGCCTCTATCAAGTATCAAGCGTGTGCCATCCCCGCATCACCGCTATATTCGCCTCCAATGGTTCGACTACCACTTCACCCAACGATTACACGTAATAAGTGTGTCGTTTTCTTTCTCTCAGCTCATCTGATGTTGAAAAGAAGCTCCACCCAGTGTAGCCCAGCCTCGGGAACTAGCGCAATTCTCTCTTTAGTGCTCGCTCGATAGATGCATAAAGAATGGCTCGTGCTCCACCCTTGCTCAATTCTCTTATTCCCAATGGCTTTGTGGTCATGCAAAGAGGGGTGTAAGGTCTTCAGGGTTCGGCACTGCAGCTGGAGGGTGTCCTTTCACGCCAAGATCCGCGTCGGCGGAGGGGGGCGTCCCGGGTCGGGCATTCAACGGTCTGTTTGCCTCGTACCTGTACGTGGATGCTTGGATCGCAACACCTGCCTGGGGGGTTCCCGACGGGTGCCTTGCGGGAACCGGTCATGAGGCTGCCAGGCCAGAAATACGGAGCACCCATTGGGCGACTGATGTGAGAACCAGACCGCCAATTTGATCCGGCTGTGACTCGAGACAACATTCCAGCCAAGGTGAGCAGCGGGGAGGAAGGAAGGGAGAGAGGAGAGCGTGAGATGAGGAAGAGGGGCACAGGGCGGGGAACAAATGCTCCGGGTGATATGTTGGCTCATGCCGCGCAGATCCGGATGCTCTCAGTTTGCAGCCGGAATCTGCGTCTTGCTGATGGTCGCCTCAGTTCTCATGACTTCCATGAGGTTCGATGCTCTGCAAAGCTTCAGTGGACTTTGACAGTGATGACAACTTGCATTCCCTTTTCATTTCTCTCTCTCCTTGGGCCAGCCGACCAGCTGCAGATCCGGCTTTAGCGCTGGGAAGCTGCATAAGTGATCAAATTGGTGTTGGTGAGAGAAAAAGGGTGTAGCGTGACCGTCCAAAACTGGCGCCATGGTCCAAGCCAAGTGGCATTAAGTAATGACAACTCGGGCTATTCGCACGAGGATGTCCTGGCAGGTTTCATCTGTATGCAAGTACGAGCATGCAACCGATCCCATCTTCGGTTCGACTGTCAATCTTATGTTGCATGGGCAATTGACCAGGTCGCATCCCAGGCAGTCCATGGATCCGGCTTTTGGCACCAACTATGCGAGAAGCGGAGAAGAGGATGGCAATAGCACTACTGTGCAACTCTGTCGTTGGCAGTAGAGAACCTGGAATAGTAATGCCCTCAACCGTATAGCCGCGCGCAGTGAATGGTTTCCATTGACTCAACTCCGTCGATGACTGGTCTGCACGTCGCCATGCCATGAAACTTAGTCATTGTCATCACCGTCATCGCACCATCATGCGATCATCCATCTCTGCTGGGAAGGTCATGGCAGAGTAATAGAGCACCTTGCGTGAATGTAAGACTCGGCTGTGACTATTCGCCATTCCGTACAAGCAAAACTCTGCAAATACGAGTACTGTTGATACAACTGAGAGATCGTCGATGAGCACCGGGTCGTCGGCGCTCCACCGAGAAATCTTGCGCGCAAATGCAAAAGTTGTCGAGAACTTGCCGTCTTTGGTGGGGTCCGTGAACCAAGAGGGAAAAAATGACTGGCCAATTGCCACGCCCAATTGCATGCGCGTGTGCGATATATGCATATACTGTGTAGTGGCGCAGGTCCACGCACTATCAAACTCCTAGTTCGGAGAGGTTGAAAAAATTGCCCAGCCAATGACACAGCATGTGATATCTGGATCCGAGCAGCGACACGAGACCAAGCAACCTCCCACATGGTGCAAGGTTGGACGGCGTCGCATTTCAAACTACTGTGGTGATGGCTTCTTGTTAGGGCTTTGTTCTCTCTCGCTCGTCATCGGCGTCGCAAGCAGTGGCGGCTGGCACGGATTCGCCATTCGGGAAATGAGAGACGAAGTGCTTCTTACCCCAAGCAAATGAACCCGTTTGGCTTCCCCAGCTGTGGCGAGCCGGAAACAATGCACATATTCAATTGTGAAACTGGGTAGAACTAACACTACACTATAGAGGCACACAATCTCGCCGTTGAAAGCAGCCCAGCTACTGCAAAAACAATGCAAGACATCCACAATATGAGACAACAGGCCAGCTGCCAACGCCCTAGTGAGACCCCTGGGGTGCGACGCTTGCGGCTGCTGCCAGAGGCTAAATTGCTAGCGTGTGGCTCGTGTCACCTCGCTTTCTGCATACTGATGCAAAGGCCCCCACATGCCACATGCAGCCACAGCGCGCTACATGTCTTAGATGCATCTCTCTCTTATCGATGCGTTCAGAGCTCCACCCAACAACCCGCTCACATCCTATTCAGGCACTGTGTCTAACTGTCTTGCTCCCACCTTGATAGACGCCGGTAGAAATAGGCCTGCTCCCACCACCGTTCGCTCAGTCTCCTGTCGATTCTCCTCCTCACAGTCTTTGCATCAGTTCTTTGTTCTTCTTGCTTGCACTTGTTGCTTTGTTCTTGCTGCCTTGTGTGCAGGACTTGGCAACAAACATCTCGTTCAGTGCACCAACGCAACAAATCCTACCGTTGATTGTCTTCGCCCAGCAATCAGCCTTTGACGCTCTCGCTCTCAACTCTCAGTTCTCAACTCTCGCAACCCGTCTTTAGAGACCTTCAACCTCTCTATACGCACACCAACACACGCACTCTTCCCGCCTGTGCCTGTGTCTGTTGTCGTAAGCTCACACCAAGCAAAGAAGACATGACCCTAACAAAGCAGGCACGTCTTCGCAACCCGGACGACTTCCCAACGCTCCAACTTTTCCTCCTTGGTAAGTTTGTTTTCGATAAAGGCACTAGTAATGGTCTTTGCCGCCGAGACTAATTAACTATCCCAGCCATTGTTCGTCTCGCCGAACCAATCGCCCTCACTTCCATCTTCCCATATGCCTGGGCTCTCGTCAAGAGATTCAAGATCGGCAACGAACAAGATGCCTCCTTCTACTCGGGCCTCCTCATCTCCTCCTTCTCCCTCGCCGAAGCCCTCATGGGCATGTATTGGGGTGGCTTGTCTGACCGCATCGGTCGCAAACCGGTCCTGATACTCGGCTGTGTGGGGACCATGCTGAGCATGGTCATGGTAGGATTCGCCTCCAACATCTGGATTGCGTTAGTCGGACGCGCGATAGGGGGGCTTCTCAACGGCAACATTGGCGTCATTCAAACCATGGTCGGTGAGCTCGTCACAAAACCTGAGCACGAGCGTAAGCTACTCCCCTTCAAGCGACTCCCACCAAAATTTGGCTAACACATGTCTCCAGCGCGCGCTTTCTCTGTCATGCCCTTTGTATGGAGCATTGGAACGATCGTGGGTCCTTGCATTGGCGGAACCTTTGCCGACCCCCACGAATCCTGGCCCAATGCATTCCCCAAGGGCTCTCTATTCGAGCGATACCCCTATCTGCTGCCCAACCTGCTTTGCGCTGCTCTCCTGTTCATCAGCATCATCATGGGCTTCTTCCTCTTGGAGGAAACTCACCCGGACATGCAACCTCGAGTCCTCCTTCCAGCAGACACCTACGTCTCAGAGGAGACACCACTGCTGGAGACTTCAGACGCCATAAAGCGACCGGCAGTCGACTTGCGTGCCGAGACCTACGGAACCATTCGAGGCAGCAGCAGCAGCAGCAGCGAGGAGTGTCCAGAGAGAAGCTCGAACGAGATTGCTACGGAAAAGAAGATGTCCACGACTATTTGGAACAAGCGCATCGTCGGCTTCATTGTCTCCTTGTGCATCTTCACCTACCATTCAATGACCTACGACCACCTCATGCCAATCTTCTTTGAAGACGAGCGAGTTTCGGTAAATACTCTCTCCAAATTTGGTGCTCTTTCACCCTTTTATTCTCCCGGAGGCTTGGGCCTTTCCCTTCGAGATGTGGGAATGATCATGGCTGTCAACGGAGCTATAGCTCTGTTCGTCCAAGCTGTCATCTTCCCACTGGCGGCTGAGAAGTTTGGTGTATACCGACTTTTTCTCATTGTCACAGTCTTGCACCCCGTCATTTATGCCATCGTCCCTCTCCTGCTTTACGTCCCCGATTCCCTTCTCTTCCCTGCCATCTACTTGTGCCTTGCTGTACGCAACGTCCTTTCCATCACTCTTTATCCCCTTCTCCTTATCCTGATCAAAGGAGCCACCCCTTCTGCGAGTGCCCTGGGCAAAGTCAACGGCTTGGCTGCCAGTGCTGGCGCTGCTTGTCGTATGATTGCGCCACCAGTCGCAGGCTACCTCTACACACTGGGCAGCCAGTTGGACTGCACTGCCATTGCATGGTATTGCAGCTCCCTGGTTGCCATTATCGGTGCTGTTCAATGCTTCTCTGTCCCTCGAGATCGTAGTTGTCAACGATCTAAAGAAGATGCAGAGGAACAAAACCACAACGTCCCGCCCACTGAAGTTTCAGTTGAGGATGTGGAGTGAAAACAAAAAAGCACGCAATCATAAAATGATTTTTAAAGCAGAAAAACAAAATGAAAAAAACGATTACGAAAGGAATGATGAACGGCATCCTCTTAGTAGGAGCCGTCACATTTTTACAAGACACCATCTGCTAGTCGCAGTGGTGAATTAGTTAATATGATTAACAGGTTTACGCACGAATCAAACGGCGTTTTCTATCGGCAGACGAGAGGTCCAGAATGGCTATATACCCAATGATGTATGTTCAAATTGGTTGGTAGAGGCTTTGGTCGTGGTGAGGTGGAAGAGGCCAAAATAGGCGCATATAAATTGTTGTTACAGGAATTGCGCATTTGTCGGCGTTTTGGGGCGTGGAAAAGTGTATATTTATATCGATACTCTTTTTATTCTCTCTCTTGTCCTCAAAGAATGAAGGGGACTTAGATAGCATTAGAGATTAGGAAAGATAGTAATGATGGAGCTTGTACAAGTATTTTACTCTATGTTTCCATTTTCGTGGGTGTTGATGTGACTGACACTTTGCTGCCTTAGTACCTGGTAGTGATGACAAAAAATAGAGGCAGGCAGTGAAAACAAAGTAAAGCCCATATAAATCCCAAAGGAGATTTCCAACATAAAATATTATTGATATACCTAAAAAGAGTTTTTTTTTTCTTTTTCTTCAATTTTGCGTTGTCCTTGAAAGATCGCCGCTGCTGTTGGTAAATGCAAACCCTGGGCTACTCACTCAAGGCTCCAAGATTTCACACAAAATTTTGTCACTCATCAAAATTTCAAGCCCGATGCGCCACCCTCATCTTCAATTAAAAAAAAACTTCCAAAAAAAAACTTCCTTCTTGCGTGCGACTTTCAACAACACGAAAGAAGGGGAAATACATTCTCACATAATCCCCTTCATCACATATTCTCATTCAGACTAGAAAAAAACCAAATCGTGTGCCCGTTTCAGCGATGAGCATCGACCAGCTCGCAGACCAAATCGAGCAGGCCATGAGCCTCGCCGACCAGATGCCGACTGATGGAACGGGACCTGCGCTGCCGCCTCAGCTGGCCTTGAATCGCAATAAGACGGCAGAGGAGGTGCTCGCAGACCTGAACAAGTCGCCGCTGTTCATGACGGAGATGGAGGAGAATGACGACATCGCTGCGCTGCAGGCCCTGGCATACGAAGGCACGGCGCTGGAGAATGCCGCCGATTTCAAGGAGCGCGGCAACGAGTGCTTCAAGGTCAAGGGCTACAAAGACGCCAGCGAGTTCTACGGAAAGGGTATTGCGGTCCTCTTCGTCGAGGAGCGGAAACGGGCCCACGGCGAAATCACAAAGCATCCCGAGACCGGGGAGCCGGACTCCGAGGACGAGATCCGGCAGCAGAAGGAGATGCTCGAGGCCATGTATGTGAACCGCGCGGCGTGCCATCTGGAGATGCAAAACTACCGCAGCTGCTGGACCGACTGCGCGGCGGCGCTGCGGCTGAACCCACACAACGTCAAGGCGTACTATCGTAGCGGAAAGGCGCTGCTGGCGGTGGATCGTATTGAGGAGGCTGATGATGTGTGCGCGAGGGGGCTGGCGATTGAGCCGGAGAACAAGGCGCTGCGAGGCGTTGCAGACGGCATCATTAAGCGTGCTGCGACGCTGAACGAGCTGAAACGCAAGGCTGCGGAGAGAGAAGCGAAGAAGCAGCGCCGGGCACTGCTCCTCAAGACGGCCATCGCAGCAAGAGGAATAAAGATGCGAACGACGGAGCAGCCGCCGGAGATGGAGGACGCAAAAGTGAGACTGCTACCGGATGAGGACGATCCTTCGTCTGAGCTGGCGTTCCCCACGGTGTTGCTGTATCCGCTTCACTTGGAGTCTGATTTTATCAAGGCCTTTCATGAGACGCATTCGCTGGAGGATCATCTAGGTTATATATTCCCGCTGCCGTGGGACAAAGAGGGACAGTATACTCTTGCGGGAGTGACGTGTTATATCGAGACAAAAGAAGGCGGTTTAATCAAGATGGGCAAGAAGGTGCCTTTGTTGAAGGTGTTGAGTGGCGGCAAAGTCGAGGTTGTGGATGAAGTAGTGAGGATTTTTGTACTGCCGACTGCAAAGGCGGAGGGATGGGTCAAGGAGTTTAAGGAGAAGAGGGCAGCGGAGAGAGGAGAGAGGAAGTGATGTGCTGTGATGATAATTTCAGCGAAGACATTGGTTTGGACATGGCGTTTCAAAAATATCCCAAAGAAAGGTATCATGGGAGAGAGGAGGGTCAAGATTATACGTGCGAATGGTAAATTCGAGGTTAGAAAAAAAAAGAGTAGAAAAGCTCAACCTACATTGATACTACTACCTACATCATGTCAATCTTGACGAGAACAAAAATACAAAAAAAATTGAGAAACCAGAACACCTCTCCAAAGATGACCCAAAAAACAATCTGATTGCAAGCGCCAGCCTTGCGGGTATCTTAAAAATGAGCATTACATAGATGGATGATCGAAGTAGTAGTCCCCAATCCCAGCGATACCCCTGTTGCCCAACCAAGATCATCCAGCTGTTAAAAGGAGTGTGCCTTTGGTCGTTTCTTCTGGTGACGCCGCTCAGGAAAGTCGTCATCCGATGCCTCCACGACTATCGCAGAGGAATATTCTGCATCTTGAGGCTGTCTACGAAGACTCAACAGTGCTGCGGCTGCTCTGAAGTGCTCCAGCTCCTGCTGTGGTCGTCTCTCCTCGTACGCTTCCATAGGTGGGTTGGGAGAATATGCTGTTCCAGCATCATCATGGACTCGTCTACGACGCTTAGGTCTCCATTTCCCAATTCGGTGTCTCTCAGATTCGCTCGTCTCCGTTCGGGGTGACGCATCGAAGAAAGAGCTCGGTGGTTGGAACAGCTTAGGGTCGAGAACAGATGGATTAATGGCGGTCTGGCTCACTCGAGAAAATGGGTTGACCTCGCGGGCTTCGCAAGCTGTAGTCGGAGCCGAAACTGCCATAGGATGTTGGTCGAAACTAGTCTCTGGAATCGAGGTGAATAAGGGTTGAAAACGCGATGGTTGGGGGCGCGACGGTAGTCTAAACGAGGGCGTTGCTTGGATTTCCCGTTTGCCGCGCAAAAGAGACTCTCCAAGTACCAGAGGGCCACTTATTCCACCGACAGTCTTCATGACTTGATTTCTTTGTCCATAACGAAATCGTGCGACATCCTCAGTAGCTTCCATAATTATCCTTTGGCTGATCACCATCTCGTTGTAGTAGGGCGAGTCAGAAGGAGTACACTGCGAAGGAAACGACGGGCCAAAGAGCGGTATCAATGCACCCGCTATTCTGGTGCAAAAGGTCGCACATATAGCTCTTGCGCAAGGATATGGCATCCAATATCCTAAGAAGAAACAAGACATGAGCGTTTCATACGGATACTGGATTCTTTTTGGGCATACCTTGAGCTGACACGGCGCCTCCGGTGATGCTGGGCGATATATCTCTCAGTCCCGGATTTCTATCTAGCATTTGCGATGGCTTGGTCTATGTGCTATCAGTAGGGCATCCAAATGAGTAGCTTAGATGACAAATAGAGAAGAAATGTAATGCCATACCTTTGCGTACCCCAAGCATTTGAAGAATGGAGTCATGCGAACAAGACCAACATTATAGTCCCACATGACGGTGTAGCTAGCCCCGTTGTAACAAAACTCATATTTGAAAGCTGCAATCAAGTCTCGTTAACCCCTTCTTCAAGCCAAAAATTACAATCTCCATCTGAAGAACGACCCTTACCTTCGATGCTCTCTCTTCCCGTCTTTTCGAAAAAGTCCTTCTTTGAGCTGCTGTAAGGGATGTGGTCGTAACTATGTTGTATCTGTCCAAACGGACTGACTTGGAAACGTCGAACCTCTCGATACGACGCTGGATCGACGTCCTCAAAAGGGGCAAAATTGACCAGCCCCTGTGGTTTCGGCTTGGGCATACTGTCGGTGCTTCCTGGTGATTTTGCCTTTTGAGCAGGTGGCGATACCAGTGTCGTCGCTTGTGGTGCTTTCGTCGGTAATGTTGTTGATGGTAATGCCAACACAGGATCAGACCGTCGTAAACCGACCATAGGCTGCCCAGAGAAGGCAGGGTTCAAAATGGAATGCAGAGGTAGCATCTTGTGCCCACCGTTTGTAGACATCATATGATATGGCTTGGATGCAGGACCAGCGCAACCATCCATTCAGAAGCCTAGACGCATGAAACAAAAGTCTTGCAAGTGGTAGCCTTATTCTTGGAAATGGGACAGAGGATGTAGTGTGTGGTTTTGATATAGCTCCAGGTGATTCATCAGCGGTAAAAAAGAGCAGTCGAAGGAGACTCCCAGCGCCTCAGGCTCCCTAGCTTGGCAAACAGCAATGAAAGGACAGTCACTTCTGATGTACCATCTGCGCAGGAAAGCGATCTGGGATTGCTTGTCTGTCAACAAGGGGCCACAAATCCGGGGCACAGAGAAGCTGCGGGGATCAAGACGTAAACAGTCAGCGGTGCGGCCGCCGATCAGGTGCTCCTTGGATGAGGTTTGCGTCCCAAGCTTCCGGAATGGAGTTTCCGGATTCAGGCGCTCGGATTCTATCTCCCAACACGCATGAGTCTCTTACTCTTGCGTTTGCAAATACCCACTACGGACTGAATGTCCGAAGCACTCCGCATTCGACCCCGGGATCCCGGAGCAATTTGGTGGGCCAGGAGATGAGAACCCAGATTATCTCGCCACTAATTGTAAAAGGTAGTTCTGTGCGTACCCTGGTAAGTATAGGTAGATCCGATTCGTTTTGATCGTTTGAGATGGGTTATCACTAAGCTCAGTGAACGGGCCGCATCCTGTTGGTGCTAATGAGTACCATCTAGAAGCTGTATATTTCAAGGTAGGAGATGGCGTCCTGAGCCCTTGTCCAGATCCTACCAGCTCTTGGTTCATATTTCCAGCAGACAAATCAAGGGGATATGCGCTACAGCGTCCCCCAGCTACAAAAGCGCAAAGGACATTGTCATGTCTGTGCTCCAAATCTAGCCGGCGGTGGCACTTGGACGTAATTCTGTTCAGACACACCCTCGAGGGCATGCCCATCTGCCATCTCAGCTTAATGACGCTGCTACCACTGCAGACAACCGTCATGTTGAGTGAAAGACGACGTTACTCTAGATGAAGCATTCCGGAAAATCGCTTAGAAGAGCAAATGGGTTCGACGAACGCAAGGACCAGCTGCCGCATGCATAACAGGAGAGTCACCTGTTTGAATGCCATATTTTGTCCGTTGACAAGAAGCGGCTATCGGTACGGGTAGTTGCACTGGCCGCATCACCAGTCAGCTATTCTCCCAGTCCAATTCGGCCTTGACGAAGCACGGGAAAGCGTAAGAGGCCGGCCTGTGTTCCAGCTATCCGTTGACATATCTCCAAGTATGACAGGACATCTTCAAATCAGCCACGTGTTGGGGACGCGGCATCATATGGTTCGAGTGTCCGCTTTTTCAGATATTCATATCATGCAAGAAAATCTTATCTGCAACTTTATTCTTTCCTCTGATGAATTTAGCCCATAATGAGAGCAGTAGAGTTGCCATTGCGGGCGAATCCTGACCAGAATCTACACCGGCTTGTTGATGGCGAAGCCCACAAGTCAATGTACCAACAACCAGGATGATTTCCTCTTTTAACCAACGGTTGATCCAATTTCACAGATAGGGGAGTGTTAGTGGTTTACATGCAATGTATAAGATCCATCCAACTTATGGCCAAAGCAGAGAAGTATGTGCGTACAGATTCGGGGAAATTCTCCGATGATGCACAAGTTTAATCACCTCGTGAATCCTTCTTAGTGGCAAGGAGCATGAGCTGGAAAAAAAGCAGATAAAAGAAACCTCTTCCTTGTGTCATATTTGAGGTTCAATTGATCCATCAGCGATGAAAGAAGCAGTCGAAAATAAGAAGGAACGTCTACCATATCATCTGAGCATTGCCTAGCTTTACTCTGCTAGGCACGACTCTCATCAGGTCAAGCTGGTGCATGTCATTTTTGTTGCACAAAGCCCCGGCATCGAGCAGATGCATTAGAAGACTCATGCAGCTCTCCAGCACGATTCTGCATCGGGGGTAGTGTGCTCAAGGAGCTCGAGTCAAGTCTGATGGTATACCCACGGCACCTGTCAACACTTGTTAGCATGGATAAGCAGGCCGGTTGTCACGGCCCGATAGCTCGGCATGCAACCATCAGTTCCTTGCACTGTCTATATATATTTGTCCTCATGTCATCACGTAATGGAACGTGGAAGGCGGAAAGATTGGCGGGAATGCCACGCTTCGGCAGAGGCTGACGGCCAATTTAAAGGCTAGGCAAGGATATTGTGGCAAACGGACGAGGGCGTTGGACGGGCTACCTCTCAATTAGCAGCTTCACCGTTTGAAACCAGGAAGATTCTAACGAGAAGATCAGCCGTAGAATACCAATCAAAGGTTCATGCTCGCATGGAAATGTAACTGCCATGGCACAAGGATCCATCTACATCCACAACAGAGACTCCAGTAGAGGGTTTCAGATCATGACACAGTATTCAAGTGGTACACGGGACATCGAAGGAAATGACATTTGCTCTCCCGTATTCACTCTCTGCCATAGAAATGAAGCTGTAACGGATGTTTGCATAATTTAGAATGTAAACGCCCTGTGCTCTGCACGGAACCGCCTCCATACCTGGGCCGTGAGGTCCCATTCCACGGTGTTTGAGAGCGTATTCCATATTCGGGGATCAATTTTTCACCGGCAACTGCTGGTTGATTGGCCCTAATCTGATGAGGCAATGAGGCTGGTCGGGAAGCGACTCCATCGAATGGAATTTCGGAAATTAAGGACCATCACTCTAGCAAGGCGATGCAAGCGAACTATTTCTGAAGCGCTGACCATGGCAGAAATGGGATTCTCCTGGTCCAGGTTTATCCAACCGGCAGGGAAGGATAATTGCTGCCGTGATTCGTTGCACAGTAGCACCGTCACCTGAGGGCAGGCTTTAATGTTTGCTGAACCGGTCAGTGAGATTTCCAGGGTAAGAGAAGCATGACGGCCAATAACACAGAATGCCGTACCGCATCATCTCCAGAGTGTAAAAATTGATTCTGGTATGATTGAGATGCCTTGGTATGATGCTCTAGATTGCTTGATCATTGGATTTCGGTCGTCATGCTGTAATAAAAGTTTAATAGACACGCTCGTCCTGTTTGCATATATTGTGTTATCCAATGACGGCGTAAAATTTATTGAATGAAGACATAACAAAAAAGGGAAGGAAATTTGCGGCTATTGTCGATGAACCCTCGAGAACGTTTGTATGATTCTTTATTATTAGTAGCAGGAAAAGTCGAAATAAATCTACATGAAATGATAGAACTTGCAGCAAGGAAAGATGGACGTTCTAATGTGGGAGTAGGAAGAAGGTACTTGGTTCGGTTACAGAGCAAGTACCAGCCGGCTTCTAGAACGTCAAGCGGTACCTCTGCCGCATCTCGCCCAAGGCTCACCGCCGGGAACCTTGATAGGTCAGCCATGTCACTTGCGCCTCAGGCAGAAAAAACGCGCTCCACTACCGGATCAGCGCTAGTCCTGATTCGGAATTCTGCGACAAGGCGATGGCCAGGTCGCGTCAAACAAAGGATCGATATTTGTTTACGCGGGGCTCAACAACAAAAAATTATCACCGCCATTACCAGCATCGCTCTTTACTCTGGCCTTTCCATGTGACCAGGGCCGTTTTCTAATTCGATTCGAGTCACGACCGCTCCCTTTTTATCTCACCTGCGGCTCTGCTCGCGAGCCGTCCCAGTCACTCGGCTCAACTCTCCTTTGTCACAGCCGCGTGTCTCAAGCCTTGCAACATCCTTGTCGACAACTTTACCGACTACCCTGTTTGTGCGCCCACGATCTTCTGTAGCCTTACGATTTCGCGCCAGGTCTCCGTTGAGAGGCACCGAGACCATGGATTCCGACGACGACTCCGTCTTCAATATTGAAGATGATTCTGAAGGATATGTCCCCAAGCCCGTAAGTTGCTCTTGGTCGCTTCCCAACACCCGCATCGATGCTGCACTGCGATTTGATGCGATGCGCCGCTTTGCTATGATGATGTGAACTTGCGCTCCCCATTCACTTTGGCACGTGTAGCTTCAGCAACGATTCACTTCCGCCCTCCCCCTTCACATTTCGACTACGCTCACTCAACCCCCTCACCTTCAACCACAATTCAGCGCACCGACCTTGCGAATAGCATTCTCCTTCCACACCTGCATCGGCCCTGCCTAGTGTGTTCATCACACAGTCACTAAACTAACGTGTCTACTATAGAAGGCCAAGGCTGCCGCAAAGCCAGCCGCCAAAAAAATGGTGCAAACCACATTAAAAACCAAGCCGGCGCCGAAGAAGCGCCCCATCGTTGAAAGCGATGAAGACGACGAAGATCCGGATGCCTCATCCGGCTTCTCCAACACCCCGCCAACCGCTAAGAAGCAGAAGACGGCCGCTCCACCTAAGAAGTCGGGCAGCAAGCCTCTAGCAGAGCTGGAAAACGACAGCATGATCATCGACGACGAGCCCAAGGACGAATCCAAGACTGCCGCCAAGAAGAAGACAGCAACGGAAACGTACCAAAAGCTGACCCAGCTCGAGCACATCATCAAACGTCCCGATACATATATCGGCTCCGTGGAAAAGACAGATCAACAAATCTGGGTCTATAACAAGGAATCGAAGCAGATGGAATATCGCAACATCACATACGTCCCTGGTTTCTACAAAATCTTTGACGAAATTCTCGTCAACGCTGCCGACAACAAACAGCGTGACAGTTCCATGAACATGATGAAGGTCAACATCGACCGCGCTACTGGCGAGATTAGTGTTGAAAACAACGGCAAGGGAATCCCCATCGTCATGCACGAGAAGGAGAAAGTTTACATTCCCGAGCTCATCTTTGGTCATTTGTTAGCTGGTTCCAACTTTGATGACAACGAGAAGAAGACCGTGGGTGGTCGAAACGGTTATGGTGCAAAGCTGTGTAACGTATTCAGTACGGAATTCACCCTGGAGTGCCAGGACAGTGAGAACGGAAAGCGATACAAACAGCTGTGGACCAACAACATGCAGACCATGCACAAGGCCAAAATAACTTCTAGCAAGTCATCTGATTTCGTTCGGGTCACCTTCAAGCCAGACTACGCTCGGTTTGGAATGGAAGAAGGCATTACAGACGACCTTGAGGCGCTGCTCTACCGAAGAGTTTACGACATGGCTGGAACAATGCGAGGTGTCAAAGTTCAACTCAACGGCGAACTTATCAAGATCAAGGACTTCAAGGCATACTGCGATCTCTATGCAAAGTCTATTGCAGGGGAGAGGAGCATGGAGGAAGGCGGCAACCCAACCTGTACCGTCGAAATCGACAAGGACAAGGGTCATCCTCGCTGGGAAGTTGGATTCACTGTATCAGATGGCACCTTCCAGCAGGTTTCATTTGTCAACTCGATCGCAACGACATCCGGAGGTACTCATGTTAACTATGTCGCTGACCAGATCACAGCATATCTTCTCAAGGCGGTGACGAAGCTGAGGAAAGGCCACGGCCTGAAGCAGGCACATCTCCGGAACCACATCTTCATCTTTGTCAACTGCTTGGTCGATAACCCTGCGTTTACGTCGCAGACCAAAGAGCAGATGACTACCAAAGCTAGCCAGTTTGGTAGCAAGTGTGTTCTAGGAGAGGACTTCCTGAAGAAGGTGGCCAAATCCGACGCGATCAAAAACATCATGGACTTTGCCGAAAGAAAAGCGGACAAGATGATGGCCAAGAGCGATGGCAACAAACGCTCTCGAGTGAGCAATGCTAAACTTGTCGAGGCTAACTTGGCAGGTACCAGGCGTGGTCATGAGTGCACGCTCATCTTGACCGAAGGTGACTCCGCCAAAGGTCTGGCCGTCTCTGGACGAGCCATCCTTGACCCTGACCGCATCGGTGTCTTCCCACTTCGTGGTAAGCTTCTCAACGTACGAGACGCCTCCATCGACCAAATCACCAAAAACCAGGAGATTCAGAACATCAAGCAGTTCCTGGGCCTCAAGCACAAGCAGGTGTACACGGACACAAAGAGCCTTCGTTACGGGCACCTGATGATCATGGCCGATCAGGATCACGACGGTAGCCACATCAAGGGTCTTCTCATCAACTTCCTCCAAGTACAGTTCCCTTCGCTGCTTCAGATTCCCGATTTCTTCCGAGAATTCATCACGCCTATTGTCAAAGTCTGGCAGGGCCCCAACCCCAAGAAGCCCCAGAGACTCAAGTCCTTCTTCACACAACCCCAATATGAGGAGTGGAAGGAAGAACGTGGCAGTGAAATCAGCAGATGGCATTACAAGTACTTGAAGGGTCTGGGCAGTAGCAGCAACGAAGATGCCCAGGTGTATTTCACAAACCTGGACGAGCACTTGAAAGAATTCGATGTCATGAAACCAGAGGAGGCCGACATGTTCGATTTGGCCTTCTCCAAAAAGAAGGCTGACGCAAGAAAGGAGTGGCTTGGTAACTTTGTCCCTGGTACATACCTGGATCACTCTTCCAAGACTATCAGTTATAGCGATTTTGTGAACAAGGAGCTCATTTTGTTCAGCATGGCGGATAACATAAGATCCATTCCGTCAATGATTGATGGGTTGAAGCCCGGTCAACGAAAGGTGCTCTACGCATGTTTCAAGCGCAACGTGGTCAAGGACGAAAAGGTTGTGGAGCTGGCTGGTTATGTCTCTGGACTGACTGCCTATCACCACGGTGAGGTCTCTTTGCAGCAGACCATCATTGGATTGGCCCAGGATTTTGTGGGATCCAACAATATCAATGTCCTGGAGCCCAGCGGTAACTTTGGTTCTCGTCTTGCCGGTGGCTCTGATGCTGCCAGTCCCCGTTATACATTCACTCGCTTGTCTCCCTTTGCCCGCTCGATTTTCTCCTCCCTCGACGAGCCAAACCTGAGCCACCAGTATGAGGATGGTAAGCAGATTGAGCCGGAGATTTATGCTCCAATCCTTCCCATGGTGCTCATCAACGGTGCCGACGGTATTGGCACGGGTTGGAGTACTTCCATCCCCAACTATCACCCACTGGAGGTTGTGAAGAACTTGAAGCGACGAATGGGTCGTCTTGAGGAAGGCGATGATGAAGAGAAGCCATTTGAGACCATGACTCCCTGGTTCCGGGGCTGGAAAGGCACACCAGAGGCTGCTGGCCCTGATCGATACAAGTTCAACGGTATTGCCTACCAGAATGAGCAGAACGCGAACGAGGTGGTCATCACTGAGCTTCCCATCCGCGTATGGACTGATGACTTTAAGGCTCGTCTCGAGAAGATTATCAGCGGCGTGGATGGCCCCAGCTGGATCAAGGACTACAAAGAATTCAACGACCACAAGACGGTTCACTTTGAGATTCAAGTGGATGAGAAGCACATGGCCAAGGTTCTTGAAGAAGGTCTGCTCGAGCGCTTCAAGCTCACCAAGCAGGTAGCAACATCGAACCTGGTAGCTTTCGATACTCGTGGCCGGATTCGCAAGTATGAAAAAGTCGAGGATATCTTGGAGGAATACTACATTTATCGACTGGAAATGTATCTGAAGCGAAAGGTATGAGAAGGATGACCTATTTGTACTCCTGTTTCCCACTGACTAATACGTTACACTAGAACCACTGGCTTAGCGTCTACGATGCCGACCACCGGAAGTTGAAGAACCAGGCTCGTTTCATCCAAGAGATTATTGACGGTGATTTGATCGTTGGCAAGAAGAAGAAGGCCATCCTCGTCAAAGAGCTTCGAGATCGCAAATACGAGGCGTTCCCCCCGGTCAAGAATAACAACACGAAGAAGACTCAAGAGGAGGAGGAGGAGGAAGATGAAGATGACGAAGGCGCAGAAAGCGCCCGTGACTTCGACTACCTTCTCTCGGTAAGTTTTGAGATTTTTCTCCCCTTTTACTCACCCAACTCCTTCTATTGCTTCTATCATGCCGCAAATATCTAATACAGTTGTCTTCTCCCAGATGCCAATTTGGTCATTGACCGCAGAACGTCTTGAGAAGTTGAAGGATGCAATCCGGCGGAAGAAGGCTGAGTATGACGAGCTGGAGGCCAAGAGTGACAAAGATCTGTGGTGCGAAGATCTCACCGCGTTCGAGGCCGAATGGGAGAAACACCTTGCCCTCAGCGCAGAGATTCAGACCAACATTCGTCGCATGGGCCGCCGAGTATCCAAAAAGATAGGAGCTGGTGGTGGTCGCGGTAAGAAGGCCAAGGATGACGACGAGTATGAGCCAGAGAAGAAGGGTCGAAAGAAGGCGGCGCCTGCTGTTAAGACGGAGACCAAATCGGCGCAGAGGTTTGCCGATATGTTTAGCGCCAAACCAAAGGTCAAGAAGGAATCGGAGCCGGAAGTCGTCGAATTGTCTGATAACTTTTCTGACGATGATTTTGCTGCTCTCAGCCGGAGCAAACCGGCTCCTGCAAAGAAGGCCTCTGAATCGCGGCCCAAGGCTTCAGAATCGACATCCAAGGCCTCTGACTCCAAGGCCTCTGACTCCAAGGCCTCTGAATCGGGGTCAAAGGCCTCTGAGTTGCGAGTCTTCTCGCTGTCGCCATCAGTGGAACCAGAGGTGGTCCCAGTTCGCAACAAGCGAGCAGCGGCCTCCAAAGCCAGAACCTTGTTTGACGCCTCCTCGGATAGTGATGACGATGACGACAAGATGCTTGGTGACGTTGGTGCGCTGGTCAAGGGCATTGACAAGCCGTCTGGAGAACCCGCCGGGCGACTCAGTCTGCACACAATGAGCCGGCCCGACTCAAGCCACGGCAACACGAGCTCTGGAACAATCTCAAAACCAAAGGCCAAATCAGCCAAAGCATTTGATTTCGACAGCCCTGACGAGACCAACTATGAGATGTTGGCCAAGCCGTCGCCTTTTAAGCCTGCTAGCAATGGCGAGGAAGCGTCTGGCGATGAAGATGACCTGGGGCTTCCTTCAAAGGCCAAGGCTGCGGCATCATCCGGCCTAACGGCAGCCAAGAAACGTGGCGGGCCAACGGGAGCAAAGAGTAAGACGGAAAGCAAAACAGAGAGCAAACCGGTCAACAAACTAGTGGGCAAGACCAAGGTGGCCCTCAAGGCTGCAACTACTGCTTCGACTCTGTCACCAGCTGCGAAGAGATATGCCGCGAAGAAGAAGGCATTGGAGGACGACTCCGATGCTGAAGAGGATGAGTTTGATGAGTCGATTGCTCCAAGGCCAGCAGCCCGAGCAAGACCCGGACGGGCTGCGGCTGCGAATAGAAAGGTTGTCATTGATGACGACTCATCGATGGTGATTGACGAGGATGATGACGAGGAGGAAGAGGAGAGCGACGACCCGTTTGTGGTTGATGATGATGACGATTGAAACAGGGAGCCGTAGCTGCATATGTTGAGAACTCATGGTATTGCTTTTGAAGGCTGGATTTATCGGTGCATAGGTTTCTTTGACATGAATGTTTGTCGTAGACAGGGTTGGCCCTTGGCTGAATGTGGTAAATGATAGGTTTATGTAGTATTTTACAGGCTTCTTCTTAAGAACATAATTGACTTTGCTTATACTGAAGAATAGGCAGCTTGTCTTATTGCAGTGTATAATACATTATAATAGTACTCATCCCACTAAACGAAGCTCTTTTGTCTCCAAGTGAGATGCCGTTATCGATATCCTTTGTTTGGAGGGGCCGATTATTTGGCCCTCCACCGCAGCTCTTTTCGCAAACCCACCCCTCGCCATATTACAAACCGAACCTCGCAACCAAGCTTCATAGCCATCAACGACGCCAAAGCAAAAACAAAGACGTTGAAATAATTCCCGACATCTCCGCCATACGATCTCGAACTTAAACCTCCCGAGCTCCAGCCACCATGGCTTCGTCCGACGAGCCGCAATCCCTCCGCGCCGTTTTCGAGGCCGCCGAAGACAAGCGTCAAGAGGTCAACGAAGCTCCCAGCGCCACGTCTCCCAAGTACGCAGAGGATCTCGCCGCTGCGCTGAAGCTGTACACACAGGCGCTCGACCAGATCGCGGCGCTGTCGCTCTTCTCGGCCAACGAGGGCGTCGAGGACGTGGCGACCTCGTCGCTGCCGTATCTGCTGGTGGACTTTTACTTGGCGGAGCTGGTGCAGCGGACGCCGCATCTGGCGCCCAAGGAGCGGCTGCAGGTGCTTGCAAGGGCGAGGGCCTCGTATGAGCGGTTTTTGAGCGCGGTGGATGGGTATGGCCTGGTGACGGGCTCGTACGGCAAGCTGCTGGAGCGGTATCGCGACGACGAGGAGGCGTTTGTGGCTGTGGCGGGCGACATGGCGGCGAAGAGAGAGGGCAAGATTGCGAATTTCAAGGCGGAAAAGGCGCTCCGGGAGAAGCTCGAGACGCTGAAGCGCAACCCGCGGTACCTCGAGCACGGCGACGAGGAGCTCGTGCGCAAGGTGCACCTCACCAGCATCCAGTTCGCCGTCCACAACACGTTCCAGGCGCTCGACTCGCTCAACCGCGAGCTGCCGCTGCTTCGATCCGCGCCCTCGCCAACCGCCGCCCCGAAAGCTTCCGGCAACGACCCTACAGACACGTCCTTCCGTCTCGACCAGCCTCTCAGCCAGCTCCGTCCCGGCACCGGCGGTCCATTGCTCTCGACAAAGGGAAAGCCTCTCCAGCCCTTCACCCTGGTGGGCTCCCGCGCCGATCTCGCCAAGGGGGTGTTCCGCCCAGGTCACAATCTGCCCACCATGTCGATAGACGAGTACCTCGAGGAGGAGCGACGCCGGGGCGGCATCATCGAGGGCGGCGGCACGGAGCCTCCGAAGCAGGAGGTCGATGAGGACGACATGGAGGCTGTTGATCGGGAGACGTACAAGGCGAGGAAATGGGATGATTTCACGGATGATAACAGGAAAGGATCGGGAAATACGCTTAACATGGGCTGAACGGGGGAGGGGCTAACAAAGAAATTGTTGAAACGAGTTGGAAGTGATGATGATTTTTCATACCTATTCTTGTTTAAAGAGAAAATTTGCATGTTTTTTTTTTTTTTTTTGTTTTTTTTGGCTTTGGGTTGGAGATATTGGACGGGCGAAGCGGATTTGCGGAACACACTGCGTTGGCGATTACTTATGGAACATGAAAAAATTAGACAACAGAGATAATACTCGACTATAGAATGAACACCTAGACGAAAAGGGAAGGAAAAAAAAAAATTCTATTGAAAAAAAAAAAAACTTATTCGAACTGCATCATACCTAGGTAGTCTGCATTGCTTAAAATTTAAAAAAATGTCATCGAGTGAGTTTGTCCTGTCAATCTATCCATCTTCGTAAACTCATCAATCGCAAAAGTTCATCCAATCATTCTGTAAGCCAGTAAAAAAAGACACGAAATAACCAAAATTTCCCATGATATTGTCCCTCCCGATAAAAATCCAAACGAATAAAACCAAACCGAATCTTATACCAAAATTCCATGTCTTTCATCATAATTCATCCCACGCCTCTAACGTGCTCGCATCGCTATCGCTCTCATCGCTCTGGGCAATCACATTAGCCACCGGATCATCAATGTTCATAACATCGTCATCGCTGCTATCGTGGGTGCTGCCCATCACCGTCTCTCTATCCGTCACGACCGACGCCGTATCTGCGTCCGAGTGCAGAGATTCGACCATCATGTCCACCGCCCGACCAGTGTCCTGATGCTCTGCCGGGATTACGAACCTCGCTTCCTGATAATATTCGGCTCCATCCGTGTCGAAGGATTCGGACGCAACGGAGACATTGTCGGCAATAACGTGGCCGGGTGCATACACAGTCGATATGCTGTCCTGGGCGTCTAGCGACCCAACCACGGTGCTGCCCTTGACTTTCATCGTCGAGAAATCGTTGACCAAAGAACCAGAGACGCTGGACGTGGAGGGAATCGTAATTCCAGTGTGATAGGCCGGCCCAGGCCCATTCGGGCCCCATTGAGCGGGTGGAAGCTCTGGTTCAAACACCCCTCCAGTGCCGTCATTGCAGCCTCCAGCCCAGAGCGGAAGGAATTTCAGCTCGTTGTTATCGAGAGTGAGAAGCATGTGGCGGGTCATGTTCAACGCCGGCTCAATATCAAACCGCACCCACGAGCTAGTGTACGGCAAGATGGCATCATGAATCTGCCTGTTGAGGACGTCCAGATCAACAAACGGGCTAGCCCCGTCGATAAAATCCTCTACAGTATTAGAACTCAGGGACACCTCCCAGGGGGCCATGGCCGCTAATTCTGGCGTTGCAAAGAACATTTTCTGCAGAGCATACTGTGCCTTGGCCATTTGTACCCTAAGTGACCCAGTCGATAGTCCATTTGCTGCACTAAGCCACTTGGATTGACTGGCGTTGGCATCCCACATCTCGCCCATCTGCTGGTAGATAAAGGGACACAATAGCTTCTGGGTGAGATTCAGTTCTGGTAAGATTTCCTCGAGCAGTTGATAGTCGTCGGGTAACACATATGTAGCTCGGTCCGTATCCATGGAGATAAGCGCCTGCCGTTCCGCCAAACTGGTCTCCAACTTATTGAAGGCGGTTGCGATGGTATTCTGCATATCCATCATCAAATCACGCAGGGAATTCAAACCCATCTTGCTTCCTACAGAGCGATGCTCGACGAGGATGCCTTCCATTTTCCGAAGCTTGACCCATTCTTCAACCATCCAGCAGTCAAGGCTATATTGACTTCGAAATGTATCAGGGATCAACGACACCCTCTCAACAAGGGCACGAGCAGCGTGCTGGACAATGTTGTGCAGTTCATCGTCTAAACTGCCCAGCCTTCTTCCAAAAATGGTGACGCGACTCAAATCGCGGCTTGAGTCGGTGCTGGCATCTTTAATGGCCTGCTCGTTGACGAGTATTCGAAAAGCGCATTGCGTGACCTGTACAAGCTCCAGGGTAAAGCCAATCTGCAGTGCCTCTTCTGGGAGGACTTCGATGAACTTGGTGTTGTCGAAATACATGATCCACTGGGTCACTGGATCTCTAACGACGGACGTGCAGTCGAATATCTTTGCCAGGGCAACCAAAGTCCAGACACGGTTTGCTGAGTCGAGCATGACGTCGTGTCCCTCTATCATCATCAGGAGACGGATGATGCTGTTGCAGTGGCGTATGGGGCAGTAGTCAGGAATGTTGCGGTAACTGGGCGTCTCATACGGTCGGTTGATCCCGTGAAGCCGTTTGGCAATCAAGGTTTGCGGTGAGGGTGCGGTTATTGCCTCGCCGTTGATGTTATCTGACTTATTGCTGTTGGTCGCTGGCTCCTCGTTGGAATTTCCATCTTGTTCCTGCGCTTTCACCCCTTCTTTTGGGACCCCCCAGCCGGGGATGGGCGCCTGACCACATGTGCAGACGTCGTCATGTCCAGACACCAGCCAGTTGCTCACTTTGTGGAGGGCATTGGCAGCCCACCATTTAATGGTGCCGGGAGTGAGAGACAGCTGAGTCACTTGAAAGACGAGCTCATCGCCCTCTGACGGCGGCGTCAAGTCGAGAACATACTTGATGCCTTCTGGGAGACTCTTGGTCAGCTTTCTTCGTCTTTGAATGCGAAACTGGTACGTCGGGTTTAGCATCTCGGCAAACTTGGCAGAGCCAGTTGCGAGCAGCTTTTCCGAGTGCACACGGAACTGTTGAGATGTGTACGGCACGCCATAGCAATCAGTTTGTCTCGGTTGACGACGCGAAAGATCGGGGAAGTCGATGAAGACGAGTGTGTCTCCCTCGTTAAGCTCTTGTCGGATGGATCGCAACCTGCAGACCTCGACAAAGCGAGACGACTGGATACAATCTTCGGACATGAGGCCTCTCATAACCATGGTCCACTGAGATTCTCTCTGGAACACCTCGGCGTCGTACTGGGCGTTTATCGAGCTCGAGGTATCGAGACGAGGGTTTTGAGCTGCTTGGTCAAGGACGGCAAGATAGGAATTGGCTTCGATACTCGCTCCTTGACCGCGATCAGGCTCACGAGCGCCTCCCAAGGCTTCGTCGCTGTATTCTGAGTCGCTGCCACTGGCTTGGCCTTGCGCTACCTGGGGTACTATAATATTGGATGTCCTTTGAGTAGTGGATGGCCACGGCTCGTTGGCATAGTGGTCCATTTTTCTGCATGATGCTAGTTAGCAACTATCCATCAGAACAGAGAACAAAGACAACCGTCATCATGCTACAAAGAAGAAGTTTGGTTGTAGCGTTGAAGAAGTATAAAGCGTCTAGGTAACACAGCAATTTTGCATCCCACAGGAGAATTCAATGCAGACGAGGTGTTCCCTGTCGCATCGAGATCGTAGGAAAGCGTGCACTTACATGACGAGATGAAGAACAGAGAGCTACTCCAGATTGGCGAACCGCTCTGGGCTGCGCGAACTGACGATGAGCCGATGAAGCTCCCAAATGCAAAGGGGAAGCTCCCTCAATCAAAGGTCCGAAAGCTAGGCAAGGTTCAATGACTACATATATCTGCGAAACACCAGCTGCTAATGAAGACGACGAAGCGATTGATGCCAGGCAAGTCGATGAAAGAGCTGCGCTAGTTGGACGTCAATAAGTTATAGCTACGAGGAGGGAAAAAAAAAGCTGAGGTGCGAAGAGAAGAAGCAAAAAAGGCCAGATGACGAAGGTGTCGATGACAAGTCAGTCAAAGAGCAGAGCTCCCTGTACCCAAGGCAATGCTAAGCTGCTAACATGCCTTACCGGTGGCTACACGGCCCGCGGGAAGCCTTTTAAGGCACGTCCACGTAACTGCTGTTAGTCACGGCCTGGGCTGCTAAAGCGACGGCAGCCAGATGACTGGACTTTCCAGTTGCTCTGTGCCCAAGGTTTAAGCTGGTTGGTTGGTTGCTGACAGCCCGGTGGTTGCCTCGTCTGCCTGCCAGCGCAAACGACGAGTCACAGCCATTCAGAGCGATACAAGAATCTACAGCGGGCTACTTCGGGCATGGCCATGAGCTCCAGTAGGGGCAGCGCGTGACTGCGGGCGATGCGAGACGGTGGGGTGAGGGAGGCATCCTGTGGCCACTGGAAGCGCTGAGACGGGCCAAGGCTGGCCGGATTGGACGAGGGGTGGCGTGTATCGGCTTGTATCGCGGAGGTATTCAAGGACAATGGATGGATGCCTTTGGGAGATGCAGTGGTTGCCTAGCGGTGGCAGTGACTGAGCCGCAGTTCATTGCCTGAGGCAGTGAGGTTCAATCTGTCTGCCTGTCTTGGCTATACATTATAAATACCCAGTAATATCGTCGAGTGTGTTGGTCGTTGTTGATAGAGTTTGCATGTTCATTCCAGCAGTTGTCGCTTAAGCAAGCCAAGGGCATAATACATAATTGAGACTATGACAACAGTTTGTCAGTTATCTTGTTACGTGCATGCATATGCATGAGAGACACCTAGTATAAGGGTCTTGGTCGTGGAGCGTCATTGTCTTCATGCATGTCAGCCATCTTAGTACCTAGTAGTTGTTTGGGTTGGTTGAGCCAAGCAACCAATTGACAATATGTCGAGTCACAAGCAAAAAAAAGAACAGCAAAGAAAAGACACCTAAACTGGCAAAAATACAAGCAGCTAGCCATATCTCCTCCGGGAAGGCTCGAACTTCCAACCTCCTGATTAACAGTCAGACGCGCTAGCCAATTGCGCCACAGAGGAATGCGCTGCTTGATTGGCTGATAGCTGACGATCAATATTGGGTTATAAGCGGAATATTTAGCAAAGCCGGGGCCGAAGCAGCAGCAGCATCAGTCTGCCGGCTCTTCTATAGGCTCCACTGTAAAAGCTGCGAGATGCTGTACAAGAGCTGGCCAAAGCTCCGGTCAGCGTTTCATTCCAATCAATGTGCCTGAGTATCATTTGAGTCACCAACAGCCCGTGAACGAGGCCTGCTGCAGACGGAAGCCTTAGCAGCTGCTAGGCCAAATTAATTCGCAAGTTCGCCATCATCACATGCTCGGAGAAGTTCCATATTGCGCTCCGTCGAAATTACGAGTACGGACGGGACAGCTTCTGTTGGATCTCGATGGCGCGGAATTGCAGTACGAGTACTTTGTCAGTCTACTAGGTAAACAGGTATACGAGTACAGTACATTGGCAGGGGAAAAGGGGGCCAGCTCGATGGATCTCTGGGCGGCCAAGTCCGTGTCTTGAAGCTAGATTCCCTGGCCCCTGCTTCCAGGGAGTCCAATTTTCTTTTCGTTGACACAGAAGGCAAATGGAAGCCGTGGGCGTGACCAAGATCGTTCCATGCTTGTTTACTCGGCACACTCGTCGTAACCAGACGGGCGCTAACGCTCTCGTTTGCCGAATCCAATCTATTGTGCTACGCGGCCGGGCGCAAGAAGCAGCTTCACTTGCCCTCTCTCCTCTCTGTTCTCCTCTTGCTCTTGTACAGTAGCCGATTGGGGCCCGATTCTATCTATCCGGCGAGGTCATGCAACGCACGTGCTGGGAGGTGCGTCGCTCAACAGCCGATAACCAGGGCAGGCGGAGGCGAAATCAGCCAAACCGGCTCATTGTTGTGTCAAGTCAACCATCACAGTTGTCATACTTTGGCTAATGGTACGCTGTGGCGCCATCAAGTCTCAACCGAAGGGTGCCTGCGTTCCAAGGAGCCAAGGGAGCTAACTCGGTGAACCCCAGCTTGCACTAACGTTAGCTCAAAGAGCTATCATGGCATCCTGGCCGCTGAGGTTTGATCGTCCCTGTCTCTTGACGTCTTGGAGCGCCGGTCATCTCGATCCCATGTTGGGAAGGATTCGTTCATTTTCGTCGTATAATTTGTTGAATGTCATACAGTACCTCCCACCGTGGGATTTCTACATGGTGTGCTGAGGCTTGTGTGAATGCCCATTTCCCCCAAGAATTATAGCCAAGCCGCTTCCTCCGGAGATACTGTACAACGTACAAACCACCTTTTGTAAACGTGCTGATGCCTGCCGAGGCAAAAAATAGAAAACAGGCTTGGGTCATCTGTTATCAGCTTATCAATCCAAAGCAGCTTGACTGCTCTGCTAAGCAACCAAATACAGCATCAGAGGCTGCAGAGTTCACTCCAAGTGGAGATGATGCGGCCGATTCCCGTCTGGTTGGGTTGCTTGGCGATGATGTGGCAGCCGTTGCCATGATGGAACCGAAATCCCCCAAATGCCAATCCAGTCTTTTGGGCCCAGAGGTGTCAAGGTTCCGGTTATAAGGGCTTGGTCGGGGGGATGTCTGCCGCCTCTCGCTTGGATCCCTCCCGTCGATAACACTGTACTGTACACTCAAGACACTGTCACACTCGAGCCAATCCATTGACAGTCTGACCAAGCACCAAGCAACCCCCTTCCCGTCAGTACAGTAGTGCGTCGCCACCTCTGCCAGCAATCAATGCATTGATGGGCTAATGGATGGCCACAGACCAGTTGGCCAGGATGGTTGTGATGGCGCCCACGGAGACGGCTGGTGGTGGTGACGGGGAGAGATTCAATTCGATGCCTCGCGGATAAAATCAAGAAGCGCCAGCGAGCGGTGGCACACGAGCAAACACCCAGCAAAGCCAATTCGAGGTCCAAACTCCACCCCGCGTACGAGGCTTTGATGAATCTTGGCCCCCGCAGCTTTTGGCTGCGGCCTCTGGATGGCCAGCAGGCGAGCCACAGCCGCATTGTTTGCAGCGAGTGTCGAATCAAGTCGTTTTGCAGGCCGGCGTGACGCTATGATGAGTGGCGCTGGTCGGCAGACGGCATTGGGACGCTGTTGGCTGACTTGACGCTGGAGCATCTGTGAATTGTGTCACGATCTGCAGTCAGTCACAGCCAAACGGCATTCACTGCACTTACTGGCTTTGTACTGTGTGCTGTGTGCATGGCATTGATGGCACATGCATGCGATTACGGTGCAGGACAGGGGGGAGCGACCCCAAGTCTCGCAGCATTGTTTGTCAACAAAGAGGAATTGAATCAAAGGCGGATAACTGCATGCCAGTTGCTGTACCAGTCAATGCCCTTCAATGCCCTCAAGCTGCTGCGTGGCATGCACATGTGCTCGTTTGTATGTCCTCACACTGGGATTTTGCTCGTGGTCGTGAATCAATCAGTGAATCAAAAGTCCACGGGCTTTGCACCGGCCGTCTCGGAAGCCCAGGCCAGCCCCTCTGATTGGCGCCCAAGGCCCTAAACCGCACCACGACAGCGCTAGCACCGCTAATTAGGCCACCCTTGGCCACCCCAGGCTACTGCTGGCTACTGCTAGCTACTGCTGGGCGGCCTGCTCAGGTGACCCCCGCGGCGTCTTGCCGGGATGATGCACAGCACCTCGCCCCCCTGTCAGACCCTGGAGCATGGAGCATCAGCTAGATTGAACCTTGGAACTCTATAAATTGTTTCTCTCGTGCTCCGTCTCCGTACGGCTAGTACCAATACCGCCAACCCCTGGCTTTGCGAGTCGAGTCTTCTTTGTCAAACCGACTGACTTGTGTTCTTTTCTTTTCTACGGAGTATTCCATACCAAATCCATCGCTGGCGGGGGCTTGAAACACGGTTTCTAATAGTGCCGCTCTCATTCATGCCGCCTGCCCTTGCTCTCCGGCAGAACCACCCCACACTCGCCTTTATATTGCCCGCGTCTGCTCCTGGTTGAGCACTTCGTCTTCTTCTCTTCTGCCTGCTCTACCTGCTCTGCCTGCTCTACCTTACGCCACGCCTCCATACGAGTACGAGATACTCCAGACTCCAGACTCCATCTTCCCAGCACAAGCGAGCGACGGACGCACGGGATCTGACTGAACCCTTGCCTCCTCGGATTCCGCTTCGTACCCGTTCCTCTAAAAGACCCTTCCACCTCCGAACTTTTCGTCGTTCGGCTGCACCACCACACTTTCAACTTCAGAACCTGCCATCATCCTACAATGGCACCTCCCGGCGACTCGTTCCGCGACATCAAGATGACTGTCGTCCCTCCAACGGACCTCGATGGCTCCCGAGGACGCACACGTGACCGCAACATCCCCAACTCCAAGAATCTGCGTCCAGATGAATCAAGCACTCTCCGGGGCCGGTCTCGTCGACGATCAGTCTCTCCCTTCAGCCTCACTTCTCGAACCTCTTCTCCTGCCGTCAAGTCCTCTGCAAACAGACTCATGCTGCACAACCGCATGAGAGAGAAGCGTCGCGAGCACTGCCCTTCCAGATATGCATCGCCCGCCAACCAAGAAGCCTTCCAGCAACCGCCACGGATGAGGAGCCGAAGCCGCGGTACTCGCGTGGAGAAGGAACCCCATAGACATGTCGATCACCTCTCCAGTCTACGAAACGAGGTGTTCCTTTCGGACGAGGAGACCAACAACCATGGCAAGGCCTGCTGACATGGCAACATCATCACCACCTGTTACATTTTGATTTGATGAGCGCCTGTGCCACTACTGCATATGATCTGGAGGGGAATGATACCTGTAATATGAATACCATGACAGTGGGGGATATGAAAACATACACTTGCTTTTTGTTTTTGCTTTTTGGTGTTTGGAATGGGCAAAGCACGGGAAGTTTACATTTGAGACTGAAATTCTGGGACAATTAGGAATGGGCTGTCGATTTTTTTTTTCATGATTGTTCTCTTTCTTTCTTTCTTTCTTTCTTTCTTTCTTCTCTCTTCTTTTTCTTTTTACCTATTTTTTATTGGCATTTCTCCTTTCTAGTTGGCAGGAAGCGAACAAAAACCACCCGCCTAAGTGGTGTGCTTGTAATTAATAGTGTGCAATTCACAACTTCATTTACTTGATACCTATATGTTCTTCTCGTGTGACTCTTTCTTGCCCCTGAACAACTAGTGCACTATGCGTTGACCAAGTCCGTAATTTTCTTCAACCTGAGAATAGGGCAAGGAGCAGGACTTAGGACCTGATTGCATATTGCCGGGTAGATCAACAGTTACCTTCCTGGTAGTGGTTTTGTGAAGGAACTTTGTCCAGCTTTGACTATGTTTTCTTTTGACTGTAATATGCCTGTAAAAATAAACATTATTAGGACGTGTCTAAGCCAAAAGCTCTTGGTTCACCAGACTCCTTTACTAGGTAACCTTCTCCCCTGACTCCTTCGCTGGCCAAAGACAATAACTTGGGCAGCTTATGGTGGACTAGCCTGGTGTTTACTCTAGGTAGGCCCCCCTTGAAACTACCCTATAGTAACCCGAAAGAAAGAAAAGAAACTTCAAGGACTACTCTGCATGTATCTAGGTAGGTACTTGATGGGTTCTCCTTACCGGCTCCATGACCTACACTCAGGACAAACGAGAAAGCTTTTGGCGTAAACCTTGAATACCTACCTAATCTCCGTACATATCTCCCTACCTTACCTAGGTACGTATGACTGGGTGAATCCGAAACTCAAAGAAAACAGATATAAAGGATCAATGTTCCCGGCTTCTATAGCCAAGTAATTTACCCGCAATAGCTATTATCACAACAACAAGCCTTAGCTCAAGTCTTCAAAATGAAGAGAAAATCCGAGAAGCAGCTTGCCCTTGAAACCGCAAAGCATGTATCCATGGTCAAACAGTCACGAAGAAAAGTCAGCTTACAAGTCGAAAAGGCTCTGTTCGCCGCGGCATCTATTCTGCGCTTTCATGGCCAGCTTATTATCCAGCCTAGGGAGGCGGCCATTTCAAAAGTGATGGAAATATCTCATGGTGAGGAAGAGCAGCTGACCTTCTTTACTAATGGCGCTGTTCATCTTCCTCCAAGGGAGAACAAACAGAATACTACCCTTCATCGGGTTCCCAACCATCAGGCGCAGTGCCTATCTCGTGGCCCTCGTCCCCGTCAAAACAAGGTCAAGCTAGCTGCAGCAGTAGCATATAAAGCTACAGACTGCAACGAGTGGATAGTGAAGTCTTTTTCAGTTCCTCCAGGTGGTAGATACTATCTCGAGGCTGAAATGGCTGGCATCGCAGGCGCCTTGGCAATTGCAATATCAAGGATAGTAGATTTGAGAAAGAAAACGGCCTCAATTACTTCACATAAAGTTGTTATTTTCACTGACTCTCAAGATGCCATTCATCAGCTACAAAAGCTCCAAGAACATACTAGGAAGCTGATTCACGATCACACCCCAGCTTGCAAGCTTATAACAAGATCCCAGTATCTTCATCGTCTTGGCGTTCCACTCGAGGTACACTGGATTCCGAGCCGTCATCCAGGTATCCCGGGAAATCTCCTTGCAGATGCTGAAGCGCGGCGAACAGCAAAAAGCAACATTGATGTCTCCGAGGAGGAACTTATCCAGGCCAGTCTACAGCTTGACTACCTATGCGTAGTGGCACTAATACGGAGACAATCCACATCAAATATTGACATCAGGCCATCGGAATTTAGGCGGTAACTCTTATCGTTATCGCTGCAGCCGTCTGCAGCTGGCAGCAGCTGACTCAGCCGATTTGCTCCCCGTTTCGGAGCCCCACCCGGACCTTTGGTGGCTCCTCCGACACCAATTGATCTTTTTTGATCAGACCATGATTAAAAGTGTGAAGATGAGGCTGCCCTTGCATTAATCCAGGCCCTTTTCCACGCACCTCCGCCTCGGCCTGTAAAGCTCTGGGCAGCATCTCCGGCGCCATTGAATGCTATGTCGTCTTTGCAGCTCCAATCCACAGTTTCCAGCATTCAAGCAACGATTGGCATTGGCCTTGCCAACCACAGGCCCGCATTCAGCATTTGCGCTCGACAAGCATCAACCTCGTATTTCCCGCCTGGCTGCCGTCCGAGGCATGCCAATTTGGCCCTCGCCGTTTCCTCCATCGCATACTAGCAGGCTGTCTGCGACCCGGGGTGCCTGCTAGGACAAATGCTCGAAAGAACCGCGGCCGCGAGTCTGGAATCATGCAACATCCAGCGTATCATTCCGAAGCCGACCCGCTCGACGAAGCGCGCCCGCCAGCTTCATACTGGCTTTTGGCAACATGGAGCATCTGCCATTGAGCTGTCGAGCATCTGGCCTGCCGTGGGCCGGATCCCCGAGACGGAGCCTGTCGAAAGTGCCACCCGTCCGCTGCAGGCAGGACTGGTCGCCTCGGCATTTTTGCTAGATTTTCTATATCCGAGTGCTACATACTCGCTTCTACGGCGGTTGTATCCACGTCTCCCGCGGCCTCAAGATGGAAGCCAAGCCGGCGGCGCTGCTAGAAGAAGGCATTACACCTCCTCCACTGCTACCGCCGAATATGGCTCGCAAAGCTCCGAATCTGTATTCCACCACCACCCCTCGACCCCTCCATCGATGGAATGCCTTTCATCGGCGGGGAGTCAGGCGCTTCAGAGAGACAATGGAGTATCTGTAGCGAGAGATTCATATAAATTTAGCAGCCACTCGAAAGCTGCCTCTTCAGACCAAGCTTCGCAGCGCTCAACTCCCGTACGCGTAAACCACATGCCTCGGCTGCAATCGAACGCAGCGCTCCTACAGGACATGCTTTCACACCAAAGCGAGGAACGTTTTCACGATGTTTGGGATTTATACTGCAGGCTCGATGAACAGCACCAGGTTGATTTCCGTCGCGACATGATTATATACCTCTCTAAATCTCGCGGTATAGTCGAGGTTGGGAGAGCTATTTCATTATTCCGACAGATTCCCGTTTCCAGCTGGGACGACGATCTCCTTGCGGCAGGTGTCTTGGCATTTATGCGATCCGGTGACCTGGAGTATGCCATCAGTAGATTGAAGGCTGGGATGGAACTCAAGGGCCTGGTCGGCGGTCTCGAATACGTCTTGGCTGATATCATTGCCAATGAAAAATGGCCCATGCTCATAGGGGTCTGGTTGGAATTCTACGCATCTCGCCTCAAGTTCGAGCCAGCTAGCCGACCAGATGCCATTCGCTTGCAACGGCTCGAAAACCTGCCCGGCTTGGACAAGCTATTCTTCTCCTTCGAACAGTACCTCTCTACCGAGGGTATGAAGGCCATGCGCCCAATCAACATCTATGAGACGACAAAATCGGGCTTCAAAGCTCTAAGGCGTAAGATGGCAGAGCTGGCGTTGGCCCACCCTTGTCAACCGAGGCAAGCGGCTGCTATTTTAGAAATCTTCAATGACCACCAATTATACGAAGACTATTTTCTGCGCGTGCTAGAAGCCTGGCGCGGCAAACCTGAGCTGAGTTCCAACGTCACTTGGCTATCAGAGCTATACAAGACATATCGCAAACTCCCTGGTGCGCATCCACCAGTCTCTTTGCTTCAGCACATGTTTGAGCTACATTATCCAACCGGCACCACAGCACTCGAAGAGATTTACAAGGACTGGCATCGCGCCTGGGGAGACTTGGATCAGTGGGGGTATGAAAAGTTTCTCAAGTTTTACGCTGGCGTGGGCGATGTCCAGGCCGTTCAACGGCTATGGGGGCGATATGTGGCCAAATATCCACGCGTGTTGAAAAAACCCAGGGCTTTTAGGAGCACCATGAATGCCTATGCGCAGGTTGGCGATTTCGCCAAAGCAGAGGAAGAGCTTCGAATCATGACGGATCACCATGGAGTCAAGCCTGACCTTGATATCTGGAACACACTGCTGAAATGCTACATGCGAGCGCAAGATTACAATAGGGCGGTGGCCTGCTTCAATGAAATTTGCAGCATGTACCGCCCCGACTCCTTTACATATGCCCACATCATGGCCATGTCCGCCAAGAAGGGTGACCTGGAGACAACGCTCGGCTTTTTCAATCGATCTCAAAAAGACCGAGTCCCCGTGTCGAAAGAGATGGCCATGTCATTGGTCATGGTGTATTGCCGCAACGATCGACTTATGGAGGCAGAAAGGATATGTATGGAGCTAGCGGAACGAAATGCGACGAGCACAGCCATCTGGAACCAGCTTATCCACTTCAATGGCATGCAAGGAAGACTTAGCAAGTGTTATCAGCTGCTTCAGGCTATGAAGTCATTCGACCTCACCTGGGACCACCAGACGCACGAGTTTCTCTTGCAGGCGCTTGTTAGAGTAGATCAGGTGCAGCCTGCGTACCGCCTCTTGCGGACTGCCTACAAGGAGAAACTCTTCCCGGTTGGACCAGAACACTTTGCTGTTGTCATGGCCGGCGCTGTTCGTACCGGCGACCTTGGGCTTGTCGAGATCATTGCTTCGCATTTGTTGAAAGCCGGCCAGACAATGAACTTCAACGCCAAAGTAGCGTTGGCTGAGGCTTCGTTTAGAAAAACTCCATCTTCAAATCGAACCCGCCAGCTTGGCAAAGAATTTGTCAGCCACCTGCGCTCCATGCTCCTTCATGAGGCCAGAGGACGAGATACCCGCACCGTTTCAACGCTTCCGAGCGACATTCGGCACCTGAAGAAGCAGACCAAGAGCATTGGCCGTGCTATAAAGCTTTTGGTTGAGCTGCGAGATTTTACGACTGCCGAGGAAGTCATGAATTTGTACAGTAGCATGTTTCCCAAGCATAAGGGAGGCGAGCCGTTCCCTCCAGAGGTGATTTCTGCGCTTATGCTGGGCTACTTTAAAGACAGGAAATTCCGCCAGATACACCAGATGTGGGACGAAACATGGAAGAGGGTCCTTGTTCGAGCTCAGCGCCGCCAAGCGGCAGGTATTTACCCTGTTCATGAGTACGACGTCTCCAGACCGATGACGATTGTGGCAAAAACTTTTAGAGAAGAAAACGACGGAAAAGGTCTGCTTGAATGCGTCCAGCAGGTCACCTCATCTGGGTTCAAACTAACGCGGAACAACTGGAATCTTTTGATTCGATACCTGGCCGAGATGGGTCAATGGGAACCCGCGATGCGCTGGTGTGAAATCATGCTTATGCCGCGTTGGCGTGGTTGGAACCCAAGCAAGAGAAGCCTTCAGGAGCGCCGCCATCTAAGGAACACCCGTGTGCTCCAGGCCTCAAATGCCGCCGTCCTCAGCTTGCAGCACCAGTGGCTGAAACTGCGCAAGTTGGCTGCCTGGTCGGCCGAAGTCTCTGCCAAGTTGAGAGATATTGAGAGGCAGTATCCCCGTCTGCACTATGCCTTTACGAATACTGATTTTGAACATCTCTCGGGTGGATGGGATATTAACCGGAAGGCAAGTCTGACGAAGAGGGCTATGGAGATACTCAGGCCCTTTTCACATGCGGAGCTCAAAGGAATGAAGAAGACTCTGGAAAGACAACTTCGGTCACAGCGGAACAAGCAACAGAGAAGGCGTATGAAGAGTCCGCTGCGGACTGTGACTGCCGTATCCAGGAGTCGAGCTCGCGGTATGCGGAAGCCCGTGGCCAAGACAGAGAAGACGGTGCCTCAAGACAGTGAAGAAAGAGGCGAATGAAAGGAAGGCGTTGATCTTACAGGCAGACATCTCTGTGATGTGGCGAGGGGCATAAAATACATGGGATATGGCACGTTGGATTTGAAGAATTAGCATAGACCTGTTGGGCTTTGTAATCTAGTTGTAATCTAGAGATGGAACGGGGGGGAGGGGGTTTGTATGTATAGTAGGAAATATCACACGCATGAAATGATGAGCATAGATAGAAACAAGGGCTTCTCTGGCCATTTGAATGTCTGAACGCAATCTTGTTTATATTATGTTGTGATTCTCGGACTCTGAATCGTGATCAAAGCAAAACTAACTCCATTTCTCCCTAATTACTACCTAGGAACCTACCTACATATTAACCTTCAACTGCCTAAGTACCTTACAAACAATTCAACTTCAAATTCGCAATTCCCATACATCTATCTGCAACTGCAGTGATTATCTAACAGCGAGAAACCCCAATCTACCCAAACATACTCGTCATAAGATCTTCTTGTATCTTACGTCCTGTAATCCTCGTATCAGCTTCCATTGCCACCATCCCAGTAACTGCAAGCATTATCGTCTCCTCAAGTCTATCATCCACCCAATTTCTCTCAAGTGTCTCTGAAGCTGATTCAACAATTTCCATCCACGCAGACATTGTCTGACGGGCTTTTCGGCCTTCTGGGCTGGATTGTCTAAGCAGGCGAGGCTCCCATACCAATTGCGGCGATTGTGTCTCTGGTAACGGCATTTCGCCCAGGAGAAAAAGCATAACAACACCAAGAGCAAAGATATCGCCAGGGCGTCCGCGCGTGCCCCCTGTCATGAATTCGGGCGGTATATACCAGCGTGTTCCGCCCGTGTGTACAACTGATTCACTTGCCGCACACCCAAAATCGATGAGAACCGGGCCTCTCTCCCTGGTATAGAGGATATTAGCCGGCCTAATATCATTGTGGATGATGTCGTGGAGGTGAATGAAGTTGATGGCATCAATAAGGCGAGAAAACACTTTTTCCGCGTCGCGAGTGGTCATCGTACAATACGCATTAGTTCCACATTGGCGGTAGAGATGCAAGCTAGGCGCTTCAATATGCTCAACATAGAGCGTCAGAAATCTGGCGTCGTAGCCAACAAGACTAGCAATATTCGGCTAGAGCAAATCAGTACACGCTTGTATAGGAAATGGCCTCAACTTACATGCTGGCCGACTCTGCCATGGTAATTTACTTCACGTAACCAATGATGGGTGACCGCCCAGTGCTCCTGGGCCGCGTAATCATCTTCCAGATCGACGTTATTACGGTGCAATTTGACAACAGTCAATTTCCCCAGCTTCGTGTGATGAGCCTGGAAGACAAGAGACTTCCCATTGTCAAATACAGGAGCCTTGTAAACAAGCGAGTAGTCCCCTTCCCTGTTCCCATTGGCGACGTGGATAACACTGCCCAGATGAAGACTTTCCAGTGGATGGCATAGATCGGCCACTGAACTTTGCTCAGCTGTATCACAGCTTTCAGCACAAAATTCGCTGGTGGGCGGCATCGTGTAGATGGTGGTGCGAGCAGTCAACCCGTCGCTCGTCTCTGCTCTCGCCCTCTTGGCTGTCGAAGGGCCAGCCCGTGGCGACGATGACGATGGCTCAAATGCTCTCTTAGCGCCTGTTTTCACCGGTTCATAATTCGGAGTACGCAACGAAAGGTATCGCCGTGGGAAGACGTCGATGTCGAAAATATGTTCACCCAACCAAACGATCCTATGTGAGACGGCCCTAAGCGCCAAACTTTGGTGGAGTTCGACTGCAATTGGCGGTTTAGCAGGCGAAGCTGTCAATTCATTGACGAAAATATCTTGTCGCGAGACTGGCATGTGCTTGTTCGCGTTGAGCAACAAGATGGAGTCACTTCTGGCGTCGAACAGGAGTCTCATCTCAAGCCTCCACGACCCTTGGGTAGGAGATTTCATCCTGTTCAGGCAGACGAATGCCTGCAAATCGACGCCAACACGCTTTTCTGACTGGTAAAGAAGCAGCTCTCTTCCATTGATTGGAATAAATTGTTTCTGGTTGTCCGTTCCAATTTGTCTCGTGGTAAACTTGGTCACTTTGTCCGTACCCAGTCTGATGGCAGCTCTGTAGATGTCAAATCCCCCTCCCATGCCAACATAAGGCAGTCGAATGTTGTTGAACCCCTGGCCAACAGATGAATCACTAGATTCATAGTCTGTTTCTTGGTCTGGTGGAGTATCTGCTTGCTCATAAGCGTTTGGAGTCGCTTCCAAGTCGTCCATCGCAACTGGATTGGCGGAATTCAACGGCTGCCCTTTGTTGCGTTCTGGAAGAGAACTTTCGCCATCTCCTTTGATGGTCTCTTTGGGTTCCGTGGACATGGATGGGTCGGTTTTGACCGCTGCCGGCTGAGTGGCGTGGAGAGATGCTTTGTGAACAATGGGCTCCATTTTGGCTCAAGTGGTAGTTTCGACAATGCTCGTAGTTTGAAAGATCTAAGAACAAGATTGTAGCGGTTTCTGATGAGAAAAAGAACATGATGGAAATAAAATAGGTATGTAGAAGGCCATATATATACCTGTCCACCAGGTAGCATTCAACGGCTACCGTTACAACGTCCATGGCCATCGTGAAAGCATCCCTTTGTCCAAAACTGAGCCACCTCCTGTAACACTCCCGACCACTTGCTACCATCACAACTGGTCATGGAGAATTCTGCAGTTGTTACACCCAAACCGCCGCCCTGAGGCTTTTGCCGTGAGGAACTGCGGTGAGCAGAGGTTGTGAAGTTTTGTACAAAGAGATTTAAACGCCAGTCGAGTCGTTGCACGAGCAGATTATTGGCTCTAGATGCTGGGTTCTAGGCAGCGGCCTCCAGACATGAAAGAGATTGTAACGCGAATAGCCGCCAAGGCCGCACAAGAAGCAGGCTTTCGAAGCAATCGTGACGCGACCAGAGAGATGTTGGTTCTTTGTTCTAGTCCATGCGTGCCACAAAGGATCACGCATGACCAGATTCTGCCTGATGAAAGCCCCTTTTTGATGCATAGTAAGTAGAATGAGGGCTATATAAACCTAGGTCCCTTTGTTGATTCCACGTACATGTAGGCTGCCATCGAACCCTCGTCTCACAAACTTCCCCTCTCCTACACAGTAGCTTTACGAATTTCCCGTCTCTTTCAAAATGGAGTATTTTATTCCAAAACCAGATTATCGCAGAAGCAATGAGTGGATGTGGCCCTATCTCGACTTTGATATGGACGCGGAGGATCTTTTCACCACCCTTCACGACCGCTTCAACACTCACGCAATGCCATTACAAACCCCAAGGTCGTTTTATAACGATGTCTGCGAGGTTTCTCGTCAAGCCAAATCTCGTGAAGAACTCTATTCTCTGCTAGAAGAACGCAAGAATCAGCGCATAAAAGAGATGAATAAGGCATGGAATGATATCGGTTCCTTCATCTCTCTAAAGCCGCGGCTGATGGGCTGCCCGATCTGCTACGATAATCACGCTATGGATGAGAATATACCTCCTGATTCGCTGAACGACTCGGTGGTAAAGCGGTGGCATACTGCTTTTGATGTCATGAAATTCTCATCGTTTGACACTCTGATTGCATATTTTGATGGCTTCGTCAGGGATGATCGCAAGCAAAGGGATGATCTACGCCGCGATATGGACGAACGCTGGGCAAGACTCAGGGAGAAAAGACGCAAGAGGGAGGTTATCGCCTCAAGCGCGTTCGAAGAGGGCACTGAGGAGGCCACTGAGGAGGCGCTCAGACATAAAAGACGACGCACAATGAGCGAGAGTGATGGAGACGATGACACGTTGAAGCCTGCTGCTCAGCAGTACCAGTGGGAAGCCACAGAGCCCACGGCGCCAACTTCGAAGCAAGTCGAGAAACGCAAACAGCCAAGCGATTTGCACGAACAAGATGGAGCGAGAAGTAAACGGCCCAAGCTATACCACAGCACAGATCCTGTTGACCAGGGTCCGTCCATGTTCGCTGCGAGTTGTTATTCGCCGAGCAATCCCTTGGGTGGATTGAACCATTCCCACTCGTCCACGTTCTCTGAGAGTTATTCGCCGAACAATCCCTTGGGTGGTTTGAGCCATTCCTACCCCAGACGGGATGAGGACAAAAGTGGATGGGCCTCAGCAATTCCCCAGTCCCCTCCCTTTGACTATTCAGAGATGTTCTACATAAGACGCTTGCCTCCACGAGAAATAGAAGAACTGCCGGATACGGATCCTCCTGTTTATACAGCAGATACGAAGCGGTCCAGGGAGCCACTTCGGGCCAACGGCCGTCAACCGGTCGACAAAGGTCTCTCCCGCGAGGAACCAGAGACGTCATCGTCTCAGAAACAACAACCGTCTCAGGACAATCCGTCTCAGGAACAACCGCCTCAGAAGAAACCGCCTCAGAAGAAACGTCGAGAGCGGAAAACCTCACCCACCATTGAACGAGTTTTACGTTCTAGGCGGTCTTCCCGACGGGGTACTAGGCAGGATCTGTTGTTCCTTGGCGATGATGCCACCCCACACGTGGCTTCTCGTAAACGCAAGTTCTAGTTTATGATGGTGATGGTGATGATGATATCGCAGCATATCTACACGGGTACCTGTATACAGCACAAGGAGATCCAGAGCCGAGGGCTATCCGACCAAAGGCACACCCACTAACCTGACAGGGCCGGGGGCAGTGGGCAGCCTCTCCGTCGTTTGGCCATAAGGCAAGGGATGTCCAGGAGCGAGTGCTAGTCAGCTGGAGGGCATACTCGTTAACCCGGCAGGGCTGGGGGCAGCGAGCAGCGTTCTGGCTCGGTTAGCAGCTCACTCTCGTGTGGTCGAGACATCTTCCAGCATGGTCGTTAATCTGACAGGGTCGGAGGCAGCGGCGTAGCTGGAGGATGTCCCGATCACAATGTGGCTGGTTCTGGAGACATGGTCGTTATCCTGGCAGGGCTGGGTGCAGCGGCGGAGTCTCTGGAGGTTTTGGGGGAATAGATGCTTGAGGGGGGAGGATCTTATGATTCGTTGGGATGTGTGGTGGACAGATGATGAAAAGTATAATAAAAAAAAATTGTAACAGGCGATTGGATCTGGGATTTGTCTTTGTCTTTGAAGGTTTTTGGGTGCAGTACATGTGGTTTCACAATGTTTATCCAGTCAGATTGTAAGCAAGTATGGATATAATAACAAACCTCTTTGTTTTGTAAAACCTGGAGATGTAACAAAGAGAAAAAGAAGCGCCAGACACACGACTTCTGCTTTGTGCAGATTGTTCCACGGCTGGTTTACTCGACGTTGTCCTTCTCAATGCCTTCTCAATGCAATGGATGTCTACATATTCTCTACTGTCATTCCCGAGCTCTTGAACTCTTTGTTGTATGGTTACCCGGTAGCTGGATATTGCTGTCCCGGAAACTCCGTGCCTACATGCAGGGATTGATGTGCTCTACAAGCAAATGTGAACCTAGGAAGCATAGAATCAAGCCATTCAACCAACTGCCTAGACATCTAGGTACGTAATGCTATAGATACCTGTTCGGCAAGCATGGAGACTTTTTAAACCGCATCATTATTAATGTTACGATGAAACGGGTCCCGGATTATTAAGATGAGAGAAGCGTACCTAGTATACCTACCTAGGCATTTTGGCACTATAAACTGCAGTAGATGCGCTCGTGACGTGCCCCGCAGCAGCCCACTTGGTTGCTGTTGATTGATTCTTGGTACTTGGTTGAATGTCTCCGAAGAGTAGCGGCTTGTTGAGCTCAATTGGCAGCTTTTGGGCAGATTCACAGCTGATTTGCTGGCAGAGATGTAAACAAATACGTTTAAACGAGAGGTTCCAGGTTGTATCTAGACTCTACAAATACGAGCAATGCTGCAATTGGCAGGTAGACGGTACATGTCGCATACGTCAGTCCTCCTCGCAGATACCCCGCCACCCATACTGCTCCGCACCCGCTCGCTTGTACCTGCTACCTCGCTCAGGTCCCCGCGTGCCGTCACTGGACCACCAGCTCCCTCCCGCGGTTCAGCCGATGGAAGGTACTAGGCCCTCGAATTTTCGGCTGTGTCGTAGCCAGATGCCGCCTAGAGCTGCCTGTATTATTAAATGCATTTCGTCTCAACTGTAATCCTATTACTCAGTCACCCCTCCAACCCGGCAATGCTCACGACGGGCAGATTCTTGCGGGCTTGCTAAGAGGACGACGAACAAGCGCTGAGGAATTGCTGCCGTTTGCAGGTGTCGCCCTCTCTCTGCCTGTCCTGGGTTTCTTCTGCATTTCTAATCCTCGCCATCTATACACCACCAAAGTCCCGAATCCCGGTAGTTTGCTTACCTAGCAGGTAGACGACTTCGAGCTTGACTCCGACTTCGAGCTTGACTCCGACTTCGACTCCGACTTCGACCCCTTCACCATGCTGCCCCGATCGCGAGCCTCTGGGCGCTTGATCCTCGAGCGCTCAGCGGCACATCCCGCTCGAGTGCTGTCCGACTCGGTTCCCCGAGCATGGACGCTGAGCTCGGCTCTCCGGGCTACGCAGATCGCCGGCCGTCGCTATCCCGGATTACGACCCCGGGTGCCGGGAGCAGCATTCTCCACAAGCGCAAGGCTGGGGAAGGAAAAAGACAAGAGCAACAATTTTTTCGACTCCGCCGTCGAGCCACAGTCAAAAGAGGAGGAAGAGGCCAAGGCCAAGCTCGAGAACAATGCCAAGGACGAGTCCAAGGCCACCACCGCCGACTCAGTAGCCTCATCTGCAAAGAACGAGGGTGGACAGTCACAGGACGGAAAGCCTAGCAGCGCTGCAGGAAGTGCTGCCGGCGCCGGGTCTGGCGCGGGTGGTGAAGGTTCCGGCGGCGAGGGCGGGAAGCGAGGTCGCAGAGCTGCCGAGAGGGCGCTGTCCAAGCCCGTTATCCCAGAGGTCTATCCGCAAGTCCTGGCCATCCCCATTGCCAGACGGCCGCTGTTCCCGGGCTTCTACAAGGCCATTACGATAAAGGATCCCAATGTTGCAACTGCCATTACCGAGTCCATTAAGCGCGGCCAGCCATATGTGGGAGCTTTCCTCTTCAAGGATGAGAACGAGGATGATGACGTTATTCGAAACGTGAACGATGTGTACGATACTGGTGTCTTTGCCCAGATCACGAGCGCATTCCCCATTCATGGACAGGAGGGTGCCTTGACGGCAATTCTATACCCCCACCGGAGAATCAAGCTGTCCAGTCTTGTTGCGCCTGGAGGACAGGATGCGGACAAGACCCAGTCCAAGACAGAGCCCGAGCCCGAACCGATACCACAAAAGACAATCGAGGAGGATTCCCAGCAAGAGAAGAAGGGTGACGTGGTGGCAAGCTTCGAGGAGAGTGCCGTGGAGAAGAAGTCGGAGCAGGCAACAGAGAAGTACGAGCCTACTTCGTTCCTCAAGAGATACCCCGTCAGCCTGGTCAACGTGGAGAACCTGGTGGACGAGCCCTACGACCCCAAGAGCCCCGTTATCCGTGCCGTGACCAACGAAATCGTCAACGTCTTTAAGGAGGTGGCTACTATGAACAATCTCTTCCGCGACCAGATTTCTACCTTTTCAATGAGCCAGTCTACCGGAAATGTCACATCGGAGCCTGCCAAGCTGGCCGACTTCGCCGCTGCAGTTTCTTCTGGAGAGCAGAATGAGTTGCAGGAGGTCCTGGCCTGCATGAACATTGAGGAGAGAATGCAAAAGGCCCTGATTGTGCTCAAGAAGGAACTTATGAACGCGCAACTACAGTCCAAGATCACCAAAGATGTTGAGAGTAAGATTAGCAAACGCCAGCGGGAGTATTGGCTCATGGAGCAGATGAAGGGCATCCGTCGGGAACTCGGCCTGGAGTCGGATGGCAAGGATAAGCTGGTGGAGAAGTTTAAGGAAAAGGCCGCCAAGCTCGCCATGCCTGACCCTGTCCGCAAGGTGTTTGATGAAGAGATCAACAAGTTGGCTCATTTGGAGACGGCTGCCTCGGAATTCAACGTTACCCGGAATTACCTCGACTGGCTCACTCAGATCCCCTGGGGCCAGAGGAGCCCCGAGAACTTTGGCATCCCGAATGCTGTCAAGGTCCTTGACGAGGACCACTATGGATTGCAAGACGTCAAGGATCGAATCCTGGAGTTTATTGCCGTGGGCAAGCTGCGAGGTTCAGTTGAGGGCAAGATCCTCTGCTTTGTCGGGCCTCCTGGTGTCGGAAAGACGAGTATCGGAAAGTCTATTGCTAGGGCGCTTAACCGAGAGTATTATCGATTCAGTGTTGGAGGTCTGACTGATGTTGCAGAAATCAAGGGCCACCGAAGAACATATGTCGGCGCTCTCCCTGGTCGGATCATCCAGGCGCTGAAGAAGTGCCAGACGGAGAATCCCCTCATTCTGATTGACGAGATTGACAAGATTGGACGAGGCTACCAGGGCGATCCATCCTCGGCTCTGCTGGAGCTGTTGGACCCTGAGCAGAACAGCTCCTTCTTGGATCACTACATGGATGTTCCAGTTGATCTGTCAAAAGTCTTGTTTGTTTGCACGGCCAACATGACCGACACCATTCCCAGACCTCTCCTGGACCGTATGGAGCTCATTACTCTGTCTGGATATGTCGCAGATGAAAAGAAGGCCATTGCAAACCGATACCTTGCCCCGGCTGCCAAGGAAGCGGCCGGTCTGAAGGACGCAGACGTTCAGCTGACGGACGAAGCCATTGAAGAGCTCATCAAGTCGTACTGCAGAGAATCAGGTGTCCGAAATCTGAAGAAGCAAATTGAAAAGGTCTACCGTAAATCAGCACTGAAGATTGTCCAGGAACTAGGAGAGGATGTCTTGCCCGAAGAGGAGGCCCTGACGGAAGAAGGCAAAGCCGCCGCAGCGGAGAAGGCCAAGGAGTCGGCGGCAGAGGCCCAGGACGGAAAGAAGGCCGCCACTGAGGCCAGCGAAAGCGAAACTACAGAAAAGCCGCGGAAGCCCCTGCAAGTGCCGGAGAGCGTTCACGTCAGCATCGGCAAGGACAATCTGACAGACTACATTGGACCTCCGGTCTTTACGTCGGACCGGTTGTACGACGTGAGCCCGCCTGGAGTCTCTATGGGTCTGGCCTGGACGCAGATGGGCGGTGCGGCCATGTACATTGAGTCGATCCTGCAGGCTCCGCTCCGGCCCAGCTCACGGCCCGGCTTGGAGATTACCGGTAACCTTAAGAACGTGATGAAGGAGTCGACTACAATTGCCTACTCGTACGCCAAGTCGTTCATGGTCAACCAGTTTGCGGATAACCACTTCTTTGACAAGGCCAAGATGCACTTGCACGTCCCAGACGGCGCCGTTTCCAAGGACGGCCCGTCTGCCGGCATCACCATGACCACATCGCTGCTGTCGCTTGCGCTGGATGCGCCAGTCAACCCGACGGTGGCCATGACGGGTGAGATTACGCTCACCGGCAAGGTTCTGCGGATTGGTGGTCTGCGAGAGAAGACGGTGGCGGCCAGAAGAGCGGGATGCAAGACTATCATCTTCCCCAAGGACAACATGTCAGA